CATGTTGTCTTTAAGCGTAAGAGGAATCGTGCACATGCAGTCTTATAAACAAAATATGTGAATAAAATGTCTCAATTTGTAGATACGGTATGCTGTATGTACTTTTCTAATCTGTCTTTTTTTTTTTGCTTGTTCGTAGCAATTAATTCTGTGGTGTTATAATGTAATTTATTTTATTTTAACTGTTATTTATACCCTTTGAGTTGGTTAGACCATACTAGGGCAACTCACAAATTATATCATTTAAATACCTAATAAGAAATGTTGCACTGGTACTGGTTGTTCATTAGCACCGTTATTCTTTTCTTTTCTTTTTTTTTCTTCTCAACTTTTGTTTTGTTTAGAACAGTATTTTGATCCTCTACATGCAACTGGCAGATGGAAGTTGTGGATTTAAATAAACCTATTATTTTTTATTTAAACATTGTGTATAGGTATAGTATATATTTCATATATATTGTTATTTAACTTTTATAAATATCTAATTAGGTATTTTATATATGGACGACAGTGATAATGCAGATAGTTTTTTATCAGCTTGCAGCAATGATAGCTTTTCTAGCTTACCATCACTTAATGATGTCATCATGTCGCACTTTTCTGATGTTCCAAATAACTTAAATGTTATTCATATCAATGCCCAAAGCATTCCAGCCCATTTCACAGATATGCTGACTAGTTTTGACTGTAAAAATATCCACGCCATTCTTGTTTCTGAATCCTGGCTAAAGCCATGTCTTCCTTCAGCTTCATACTCCTTACCGGGTTTCCAGTTGATCAGAAATGACCGCGCCTCTGGTGGTGGAGGTGGAGTTGCTATATACCTGAGATCACATATTCCATACAATGCACTTAACATGTCACCACAGCCGCCGCCACCTAACGCAGGTGAGCACTTGTTCCTAGAGGTGACACTGCGGCATACTAAAATCCTGCTTGGGGTATACTACAGCCCATCATGTCGCGTGGACTTTTTCTCTTCTTTTGAAAAAATATTGCAATCTCTTACCCCTTCTTACAGTCAAACAATTATTATGGGTGACTTTAACACTTGCCTTCTCAAGAAAGACTTTCGCTCTTCAGCATTGTCCACTGTCATCGAGTCTAGTAACCTTTTCATTCTACCTTTAAATGCTACTCACCATTTCCCTAACTGTACTCCTTCTCTTCTTGATCACAACTGCTGACAACTGACTCAGTTGTATGATGTGCATGCTCCGATACGCTCCGTAAAGATTAAACATCCTCCTTCACCGTGGCTTAGTGAAGATATTAAAGCATTAAGTCACCTTAAAGCTGTGGCCAAAACTAAATACAAACATAAGCCCACTAGCGCAAACTGGGAGAAATTCGTTGCAATTCGTAATCGCTGCAATAGAGTATGTAGGAAAGCACAACGCCACTACATCCACAGTTCCGTCGAAAACGGGGACCCAGCAAAAGTCTGGAAGTTTCTTAACTCTATAGGGATTGGGAAATCTCGACAAACGGCCATACCTGGTAGCATTGACATAAATTTATTAAATCAACATTTTTCCTCTTCGGCTCATTTTGACGAGAGTACGAAAGCAAATACCATTCAATCAATTTCATCTCTGCCCCGCCCTAATCATGATCCTTTCTTCATTAATCAATTCTCTGAATGTGATGTTAAAAAGAGCGCCTTGTCAATTACATCCAATGCAGTGGGCAATGACTGTGTCAGCCGAAAAATGGTAATGCCAATCCTCGATGAAATTCTTCCTGTGCTAACACATATATTTAACTTTTCCATATCTGTTAGTGAATTTCCGTCATCCTGGAAAGAAGCTCAAGTTACTCCACTTCCTAAGAAATCTAACCCTGTTTCCTTGTCAGATTTTCGTCCCATATCCATCCTCCCATTTCTATCTAAAGTCCTTGAGCGTCTTGTTCACAACCAACTTAGCGTATTCCTAGTTAAAAACAACCTCATGAATCCCTACCAATCCGGTTTCCGACCAGGTCACAGCACTACTACTGCCCTTATCAACATAACGGATGATATTAGGCTAGGAATGGAAACTGGAACCATAACGATCTTGTGTCTACTAGACTTTAGCAACGCGTTCAACACTGTTGATTTCGACGTTTTGCTTCAAAAATTACGCTCTATTAACATATCTCCATCAGCAGTTGATTGGTTTCGAAGTTACCTGTCTGGTCGCCGGCAGCGCGTCCGCGTTGAAGATTCTTTCTCTTGTTGGTGTGACTTAACTGCCGGGGTGCCGCAGGGTGGCGTTTTATCTCCTTTTGCTGTTTATATTAACACAATTTCCTGTCAGTTACTTTCTTCCTACCATCTTTATGCAGACGATTTGCAAATGTATACGAAAGTCCCCGCTGAGGATATAAGTTCTGCCATTGAAAGTCTTAATAAAGATTTAGCTCAGATTTCTGAATGGAGCCGCAAACATGGGCTTTGGGTGAATCCCACCAAAACTCAAGTTGTCATAGTGGGCAGCTCAAGGCTTAGAGCTAAAGTAAAGTTTGAGCAGACCCCGCAAATAGTTTTTGATGGAATCTCCTTACAATTTAGTGATCATGTTAGAAATTTAGGTGTATATATTGATAAAAATTTAAATTGGGATGTGCAACTCAAAGAAGTGAGTTGCAAACTTTTGGCATCTGCTGGGTCTTTAAGAAGGCTTCGCAATTTCTTGCCTACTGCCACTAAAATTGCGCTCACACAATCTCTTCTGATGCCCATTCTCGATTACGCCGACGTCAGCTATCTAGACCTTACAGAAATGCAACTGAACAAGCTTGAGTGCCTTCAAAATTTTTGTATAAGATTTATATTTGGACTACGCAAATATGATCACGTTTCCGTATTTCGCGAGAAACTCAAGTGGTTGCCAATTCGATTTCGCCGGAATGCACATATTTTAAATATGTTATTTAGTATACTTTTTAATCCCACTACCCCTTCTTATCTCAAAGATCGTTTCAAATTCGTCAAAGAATCCCACCCCCGCTTCTTGAGATCATCAGAAAACCTGCGGCTGGAAATGCCAATGCATTCCACTAAGTACTATGATAAATCTTTTACCGTCCATGCTGTACGACTATGGAATGCGCTACCTTTGTCGATTAGAAAAGCTAATTCTCTTAATATATTTAGGAAACTTGTCAGAGAGCACTACCTGTCCATGAAAGTATGTATATAGGTATTATATATGTATATATGTATTGTATTTTATATGATAATAGATATTATATTATAGTATATGTAAGTCTATTATAAAATTGAATTATAATAAGTAAATAACAATTGTCAATTATGCATATTTACAAATTGTTTATATGTACACCATCCACTACCCCATCATTAGATCTTTTATATTTAACTCCATCCCAAGGTTGCCTGGAAGAGATCACTTTTAGTGATAAGGCCGCCAATTGTACGTCTCCTGTTTTCGTCATATAAATGTATTTTTGTCTTTGTGTGTACAATAAAGAATATTCTATCTATCTATCTATCTATCTAACACGAACACGCGAATTCGAATACGAAAAGTAATAATTTAAAATATATACGGCCAGCACTTGACCATAAATCGTTCGAAAAGTAAACCTGCCTATAGTAATGTGCTCGGACGTTACAGTACTGAGCTCGGACGGCCGGTGAGTCGCATTTTGTAATGATTTTACGTTTACATTGAAATAAATTATCGTTTTTATTGAACTTTTTTTTTTCTATATTAAAAACAGTGTTATTTCAGAATTTCGAAGTCACTACAAACTATACGACTATATTAGAAATATCATATTTTTTTTTATTTCATTTGCTTAGAACAGTAGCTCAATCGAGGAGCTCAAAAAAGTGTCTTCGTGCATTTGACGAAAATCATTCTCTGCAATTATGGTTTAATTAAAAGTACCAAAAAACGGTGACACTACAAACTATGGTAAGAGCTATTCTGCGCTATTCAATAAGTCAAAAATATGAATATATTTTTGTTTCCGAGATCGATCGTTGAAATGTAATATAGCTCTTAACATGTAACCCGGTCGAAACGTCGGGAAATATAGGTAGGTGAAAAACCTATCAATCTATCGCGTTATTACCCGTTTCAAACAATCTAATATTCGGGTATTTATTACAGATATTATAATATCATACGTAATTGTAATTTTATGTAGCTATTTACCTATCGATAGTGTTTATGAATTATTGCAGCTAAAGATTTCGTTTACCAGGTATTAATTCGCAGTATAATTTATTAAATAACTATGCCGAGTACTATATAAACTGTAAGAAGGCATGTGAATTTACGAACAACTTAAAGACGTTAAATTTATTTGTAATAATGAGCATATATATTTTACAATCAATTAATAATTCAAATAATAAAGCATTTTATACTTGTGGCAACAGGCAAAAAATTTTTCTGTACCAAATATGTAATTTTATTTAAATTACACTTAAAAGTACTTTTTGGATACAATTTGAATCGAACCTGATTATTTTTAATAAAATATGATTAATTAAAACCACGTTTTAATTTTCTAAAACACACACTAAAACACTAAATAGATGACATGACGTAGGTATGAAACAAAATGTAATCAGCTTCTGGGCTATATATAAAAAGACATTAAAAAACATTGTATGCTTACCATACAGGAGGAAATGTCCTGAATGCTTACCATACAGGAGGAAACTATATTTTATAGAGATTGATTGACCATGCATTTCTGACGATTGAATAACCTATAAGCGACAGCCCTGCATGTTTAGGCTATTATCTCTCGTTCGAGACTCGAGTGATTCTACTTGTCTGGTTATACTATTACAAAAGTCTCTGTTTCTGATATTTTTAGTCGCTAAATGAGTTAAAAACTGACCCGGAGAAATTCGTGATTAATGCGTTTCGATTCAGCTTGACTCTGCGCGCCTAGTATACGCAAACCTTAAACCAAATATTCTATTGCTTATGACCAACAATTTTGTGGTAGCAACCCTTTTGTCTACTTTTAGTTTTTTGGACAAACAAAAACCAAGCAAGCGAGCTGCAAAAAGTAATTTTTCTTCTCGAGCATAAAATAGTTCTAAAACATCTTTCATTGTATTGTATTGAATAAAGTGTCTTACCGTATTATATTTAAAATGTTAGCTTAAAAAAGGGTACTGTGTTTCATAATGAGCAACAATTTAGAAAATGAAAGATCTGTTACAAGTGGAAAAATGTATCCAATTGATTTAGCGCCACAAAAGATTACTATCGTGAAAAGTGTTTCTAATGCAGAGGTTAAAATGGCTCATCTAATTCCGGGGCAACCAAAAACCTCAAGTTCTGGTCAAATTATAGCCCATACTGGCCCTGTAAGTCTAATGCGTCCAGCTGCTCAAATTATTTCGCCAACAGGCGCTTCTCAGGTAAATGATTCTAATGTGAAATGTTTTATTTTCCTTTTTAATATTTCTTTAACTTATTAACTCTGTACGGTTTATTCAAATAAAATTTTGTCAACTGCCTTCATGTTACTTTTTTGGTTATATTATTACCTGAATAATTTAATATATTTTGATTTCAGCCTCAAATGATAGTGAGTGGATCACCGATATTGCAGGGAAGCCAAGGTTCGCAACTGTTGAGTCAGAGCACACAAATTATATCTCAGTCTCAGTTAATTAGTCCGAGTGGCCAAATACTGAGTCCTGCTACACAAATAATAAGCCAAGGATCACAGTTATCTGCTCAAGTATCTAATAACAATACAGGTACAAACAATGTTCAGACAAGTGTATCTTCATCAAGTGGGACACAGATGCTAAATGTTGGTGGTCAGCTTGTCGGAGGCAGTGGTAATTTGGTAGTTAGTTCATCTGTGAGGACATTGCCACCTAGTGTTAGAGTATTATCTCCTTTACCACACCATAACACGAGACCGGGTAAGTAATACAACAGTATTCATATATTTTGCCACAACTCAAATAGAATGTTTTTCAGTTGGAGTGTAAAAAAGGTCAACAGAGTCTTAGTCGTCCAGCACTAGCATATCAACTTCTTTATTAAAACTGAAAATCATCTTACTAATAATACCTAATCTTGCCTACCGTTAGGTAACCCACCTTAAATATTTTTTAGAGTTTACACCTATAATTGTTTTTTTTTATTGTAACAGTACTATCAACTGTGAATGTGAGCAGTTCTAGTGGAGTCCTAGTGAGCAAGACCATTAGTATGACAAGTCATGTACCCCGTGGCTTAGCTGCAGGTGCATCTCTTGCTGTCAGACCAGTCGCACCAACTGCTTCTCAAGGAGTTGGAAGTCAAGGTATAATTTATTAAGAAATATGTATAAAACTTCTTTCATAATGTTATATGCCTTCATATTGCAAATCTATCATCACATCACAGATCTTTTAAAAAAAATTACACATAATCTAATCCCATTTTGATCTACTAGGTGCCTGGTCAAGCAGCACTAGAGGACCTCGAGGTGCTTTAGTATATGGAGCTCGTGCGACCACACCCCGTGCTGGGAGCAGGCCTGTTACTCCTACAGGACTCTCAACAACCCTGGCCCAGCCAGTTCCAGTTCAACCCTCTTTGCAAACATCGCAAACTTCTCATAATATTGTGTCATTGTCCAGCGCAACTGTTCTCACTTGTAAGTATTATTATTAATAGTCATACAGCCAGTTGCACAAACATCCATTAAAATTTTCACTACTTTAAAGCAAGGTTCCAAAAATTTTTTTCTGGTAGACCATTTTAAAAAATTTACTGGTTGCGGTGGACCTCCTGCTGCTACATTTTTAACATATTCCCAAAATTCGTCCAAAATGTGAAGATCTAACGATGAAAATTGGCGTCGCGGGTGAGTACGTAGACCCCCGTTGAATCCCTCCCCGTTGGACCCCTGGGGTCCACCTATCCACTTAGGGAATCACTGCTTTAATCAGTTTTGACATGCATTAGAATTTAGAGGCATCAAAAAACTTATTAGATGTTTGCACAATTAATTGTTTAACTTTTTCCTTAATTGAGCTATTGCAGGGGTAGCAAACTGCAAATCATACTGTACAGGATGCAACTGCTCAAATATGAGGATCACACTAACTACATGCCACACATTTCACCTCTTTAATCACTAAAATGTTCATTGTCATAAAAGTAACCTTAAAATTTATATCAACTTGCATCATGGTTACTAGTAACAGTGTGCAAAATACTTTTTTTATCGGAAACATCAATTATGGTGGCAGTAATCTGTGGGATTTAGTACTTAATATGAAATATAGATGACACTTTAATCAAAAATAGTATAATCAAATAGCTTGTAACTTATATAATCTCTTGATAAGCCTGTGTAATATCTTCGAATGTGTTCTTAGGTTGACATTTCTAAGGGATGACAATTGGCTATTTGAAAGTTCAAGTGGTTAGTTGTACACTAACAATAAATGTAATTATGCTTAGTTATAATATCAATATTTGCAGCCAGTGGAGTCATATCCAGTTCAGTAAGAAGCCCAACTCCACGTTTGCAAGCTCCAGCAACTTCCTTGGCATCTGCTCCACGCCCTTTGCCACTTTTGCAGAGAAATTATCAGCCTAAGGTACTGTCATTTTTAAATAAAACTTTTGTGTTCACTTCTAGGACTTTTTTTTATTTTTTTAGGATTAATTGTATGGTTTGATTGTCTATGTTACCATTGTCACAACTGACTTGTTCCAAACTGGACATTGATAAGTTAATGATGCAGTCTGACAGCAGTTACCTACATGTAATTAATAAATTTGATATATCCTTATTTTGGCAGGTAAATATTCCAATGATAACCCACAATAACCAATTTTTTACGTATACTTAAAACAGTAAAATGATGGGTTATTTACAAACCTTTTTTAACAATACAGTATTGATCCTTATTGATATAAATAAGTTAGATACGTAATGCATATAATGTAATCAAAATTGCCTTTTACACTATATCAAAAAAATTAATAACTAATGAGTTGTCGAAAAATAAAAAAAAGTCCGGGCGAGCTATTAAATAGCGATGAATAAAAATGAATCGCCGAAACGTATGTACGCGCATAACTTCCGAATTCCAGTTCCGACTGCACCAAATTGGATGATTCTATTTTTTATGTGTTTCACGATTCATGACACAGTTTGTATTATATTTGATACAGTTTGTATTGTAAGATTTTTTTTAAAACGGGTATAAGGCGGAACGAAGTTCGTCGGGTCAGCTAACATCATATCTCTGTTATTATTTAAAAAATTTAAGTGTTCTAAATAGCACCTGTTCGCTCACAACCTCAGTTTAATGTAATCGTGGATAGTTATAAATGACTTAGATTTCCTGTTGTTATTATAAATATAAAAGGCGTATTTAAAATTTTGGAACCAACTAATTATTTACAATAATGTTCAGTCAAAAATAATACCTAACTCAAATTATTCATTAAACATAATTGCTTACTATATACTAATCGCTGTATTACACTACCCTAAAGGCTCGCATACAAGGTATACTCTCCGTCGCATATATTCTACGAGCTGCGTTTAGATTCTCACCACTCAGAAGATAAACACGTGTACTATCTAGTAAAACTGGGGTGTATTCTGACAAAGTGATTACAAAATACAACATGAAAAGCCTTTACCTACCTACCTCTACCTTTTATAATAGGGATAAAATTTGAAACAAATTATGGAATATTGTTCTATTACTGAATCATCAAAAATAATTCTCGCACTCGCAAAAATCCTCTATCACATTACTAGACGCGTTAGTACATTTTTAGGTCAAAATTGGACATGATTGTTAATATACAGGTACTAGGAGTTGCGAACGTGGGTGTACGCGGCGTGGTTGGTAACAGCGCGCCCGCTCAGTTGTACTACGAAGTGCCGCGCGCCGCCGCGCCTCACACGATACCGCAGCGATCGCTCGCGCCCTTCGCGCACGCGCCGCAACCGCAACCGCAGCCGCAACAACCACTAGCGCCGCAACCGCAACCACAACCGCAGCCGCAACCACAACAGACACCACAGCCGCAGCCGACACAAGGTTGTTATTATATGTACAGTTGAATCACGATTATCCGAACATCCGATTATCCAGAATCGTTCGTGTCAGTTCTAAGTGTAAACTTAAAAAATATTTTTATAGCGCAACGGGACATGTCGTCTTCGACGGTATAACCCCGCTCTTATATGATTACGGTATATTGTTACATTTTCTTTGATAGCGTGCAAATGATAAGTAGTCTTTTACCATGACATGAAACGTCTTTAAAAAATTTACTATTTTAATAGAAATACAGAAAATTAACAAGAGACTGAAACTGGGAATGTAATATCGAGTAGCATCTCACGCATCTTAGATGTTGGTTTTAAGATCTGAGAAACAAGATTAACATTAGCGGATTCCGTACAGTTGTTACAACTGAAGGGCATCAGGAACTTTGCCGCAATGAAAAGAAATAATTATTATTATTTCCAATCCAAATTTAAAATGCGTAGGTATTATGTATCTCATTCTTTTATATAGTGTTTATCTAAACAACGCATGTAAATTCAAAATAATAAGAATGTATTTAATTTAAAATATTTAATTTGATTTTGAAATAGATTATCTGGATTTAATTGATCCGGATAATCGGGATTCTACTGTACTTAAATATATTATTACAAAAACATACTTAAATAACAGCCATACTAGGAATATAAAATAAATGTCTTGTATTTTTTTTATCTCAACAAAAATATTTTATTTTCAATATATAAATAAAGTAATATTATGCCTTAAGTATCAATTAAAAGTATTTTTTTTTATTGGCAAATAAAGTAAACAATAGAATGTTTAATAATTAAAATACTATTTTTCTTTTCTTTTTTTTTTTAGTGAATACCGTTCCAGTTGTAGCAGAAGTTAGAGCTCCGTCAAGTACTGTTCAAACTGCCCCAGTGGTACCACGGCCGTCGATACTAAGAAAACGAGACATTGAAGTGTAAGTGACTTCAGTTACCAATATTTTGCCATCCGTCTATTTACACCAAGCATATAGCGATACAATATTAATTCTTTGGTTTTTTTTTTCAATTTACGTTTCACATAATATCATATTTTTAATAACTTCATTACAATGCGAATGTAATGTTTTCTTAAGTTTCGTTCCAGGATCTCATCTACTATTCAGTTATTAATTTTATTTTCACTATTTTGAACTATGTACGACTACGATTTGCGTCTTTTCGCATATGTTACGTAACTAATAATTAAGTTACGTAGCCCAATTTTTTTAAAAACCACGTAACTCAATAGATATTGCAAATAACTTACCACGCATTTGTGACTCATTTGCAGTTGAACAAGAGCAAGGAACAAAAGGTGACTTTTTAACTTTTTATTTCAGTAAACTGAAGAAATAAATATTTAGATTAACGTATATACTCATTTCACTAAATTTCTTATTTTTTTTTTTTGTTATTTATAACATATAAAAAAATATTTATTTACCTATTAAAATGTATTTATGTCAGTTTAAATGTAGACGTACGAAGAAAGTTATATTTAGTGATACAATAATAGGGGTGTGCTTTTTTATATTTTTAAAAATATTTCAAAAAGGTATTATTTATATAATAAGTTGAAATCTAAAAATTAATTTAATTCTCAAAATTTACCGCGAAAAGTCATTTCTGTCATGGCGTCGCCATGATGTCACGACCATATGATAATAATATCGTTCTATTGTATGCATAAGGTTGAATTCTCTAAGCTCTGAAATGAATAATAGGGGCGTGACGTCATGCGCTGTTTTGCAGACACGTGACAGTGAGTATAAAATATTTGTATTTTTATAATTAATTTAATTAATGAATAATTAATTTAAGCAATATTATAAATATAATAAACCCAAAAAAATTACCGGTAATACTATTTTTAAACTTTACGAGAAAAAAATGTATTAATTTTCGTTTACTGTCTACACCCGTATTACTGTACTGAAGCGTTTTATTTTCCAAAAAAACACATCACTAATTGGAATTAATTTTTGCAGACATAAAACACATCCTTGAGTTTAAAAAATCCAAAGATATGATGCTACATATTATTCCTTACCTCAATTAACTCAGTATTTTTTTGGCCTTACGGAAGATATTTTTTTCTTTTTTTTATAGTTTATCATGTTTCAATATGTTCACTTATAAAGAAAAATTATCTGGAATAATTCCAGGACCCACAACTTCTTCAAAGATATCATTTTCTGATGGTAAGTAAAATGTTAATTTATTTTATAGCTATTAAAATATAGTGGTCAATAAAAGGTGACTAAAAAGAAAACGAATTTTATTAATTAGTAATTTTTGAGATAATATCTTATTTCACTCATTACTTTACAATACAAACAAAATTCTTATAATTGTTTGTATTGTAATGTAATTATCTCATTTAAGAAAAGGTATGTGTAATGTTATTGTTTCTTTTGTTTATTAACAAGATAATAACACATTTCTCAATAAAATTGATTATATGTATATATATATCGGATGCACTGGTTAGATACTCAGGAATTGTTGGACGCCAATGAAATAGTAATAACTGCTGAAGATGTCCTGTAAAGGGACGATATACTAACAGAGCGGAAATAGTCGAGATATTAAGGCTGTGGTCCTACAAGTGTAAATACAGGTTTCTGTTATGTGTTCGGAAAATATGAACTATTTAAACTTATAACACAAAAAATGACACTAATTTGGAAAATATTATGCTTTGAACACTTGGAAAAGTAGGAAAGTATATTACAAAAATTTTCTAAAATACATATGACATTAAATTAGTTAGTGTATATAAACATAAACGCATAAATAAAGATATTACAAAGATTGCCAAGTCGACTATACGTTTCTCGAATTTGTAGGGAGCGTTTTACTATTACTTCTACATTGTTTCGTAAGATATCAATGGACAAATATAAAATAATAAAAAACGATGTCGACTAGCATTTTATTATCGTTTATATATGTAACATTTTGTACGGGTGGTGCACAGCAGATCTTGAAGGTACTAACCAGGTGTGGAAGTTGCTAGATATTACAGTTTCACAGCTATATATAGCCAAGCCCGGCTCTATGGGCAGTGTCAGGGTGGTGTCAAAATCATCTTAATATTACAGTTAATAAAAGCAGGAAAATTAATTTGTTCAAAAGTAGATAAATGCGGTTTTAATGGGCTTATAAAAAGCAAATAACTGAGTGGCAAGGCGTTGTAATGTCTTTTGTATTATTGTTTTGTTTATGTTTGAATTATTTTTGTCTTATATACCTCTATGTATTTTGTTTCCTTTTCCCACTCTCAAAGTATCTGCAGAATTACTTGAACAGGACACATTACAAAAACTATTGAAAACAGTATACAAATGGCGGCCTTATTGCTTAGCAGCAATTTCTTCCATGCAAAAATAAATAAGGAGTAAAGAGGGGAGAGGAATGGGTGCAACAACGATAGTATATTAAACAGATACATCTAAAGAAGAAGAAATTATTTATAATAATAATGAGAGAAAAATAAATAAATTACAAATAATACAAATTTAGATAAAATTTAGAGCCTTTCTTATAGCATCCGGTAGTGACTTCCAAAGCCGAATCGGCTGAACCGAAAAGGAATAGGATAGGAAGTCAGTGGTGTGAGGAAGGATACCAAGGGTAAGGTTAGAAGAAGAGCGCAATATACACTGGAACCGAGTTGAGGAGCTGCGAAAAGAAAATAGTTTTTTTAGGTAAGATGGAGAAGTTCCTGCCCGGAAAAGAATACTTATTATGTATTCGCCAAATAAACATTTCATTCATTCATTCAGTCCGGTAAGATTGCGATTGTAAATTGCATGATGGCATTTTTTTTCTAACCCAGGGCGGGTTAGAAAAAATTTAGTTCAGGGCCTGGTTATAGAAATGAACTCGGACAAGATACGCGCCTGATTCTATTGAATACTCAAATGTTGTGTATGATGTTAGGTCTCGCGTTTCCGAGGATGCTGCTGTTTTTTTTTTTCTAATAACCCTCTATATCTACCAGTTTCAATATAATTATTTATTACAAACTTACAAACAGTCATCACTTTAGGTTATATATTTACTCAGTTCAAGTTTACGATCTTTTGACAATCTTTTATGATATTGCTTGGTCTAATATATTGCTGTCTGTATAATATTATTTTATAATACTTGTTTATTATTATTTTTCAGGCACCGTTTAAAAATAACAAGTTGAAAAGAAATTGAAAAAGAAAAGTTTATTGACATATCAAATTGATCGTGACTAAAAATCATGCATGATTTTTTTTTATTACTATTGGCAATGAAGAATTTATGGGCATGGTCTTTGGAACACATATAATGTATTAGATTACAAACATGTAATACTATTATATATATCTATATTATTTATCTTGAAAAAAAAAACTGTTTATATGATTTACGAAAAACGTTTATTCCATTGTTGTTTGCCATAGAATGCTAAGATGACTTGCAATTAATATTTCTTATATTATTAGCCTTTTAAGTAAAGTATGTCAGTGGATTAGATTAGAATTGAAGTAGTTTTGGAAATTTTTTCAAACATTAAATATTATTTTGCGCATGGAACAGTTTTTTTTTTTTTCAATGTAGGATTTTAAGTATCGTATAGCTAAGGTGGATAAATATTTTTGAAAATAATAAATACTTTTTATACAATGTTTTTTAGAGTAAATATACGTAATATTACACAATTAAAGAATATTTCATTTCAACATCATTATGTACTAGGTACATACAACTTAAAAATATGATTCATCAAACCAAATTAGTTGAGCCTTAATCCATATTCCAATTTAGGCTTGCCTTCGTCCAATTCTGACGTACGTCGGTCGAACGTAAGAATTAACACATGATTATAGGCACATTTTTTGAAATTTTTTCATATGATATAACTGTAAAATACAACCGGCACCGAAAATACTAAAATTTTGTAACAATAATAAGTCATATCTATTGTATAGATATTATTTATAGAAATTTATTATGGTCTGGGCATATATTATACAAATATCGCATGTCTTCGAACCCTTATAGGGATGAAATATGCTATAGATTCTTTCACATAAAGATTTATTTTTTAAGGTAAACCGTATCCTAGACTGAATTAATTGACTTCAAAACATATTTCAAACAGGTCTCCAACAAAGGTGACAACAGTGGCCTCAGTTGTCGGTCCACCGTTAGTTCCTGTGAGCACTACTTACCGCGATAATACCGGGTGGGAGGACGTACCAGGTGGGGGCGGAGGCCCGGGTTCCGGGGGCTCCACGACTATTTCTGCGTCGTCGTCACCCGCACCTGACGATGAAACAGATCCGCCACGAACTGAGGACGTTTCGCCTAGAAAGAAGCCTAGGAAACAAATGTAACTATATGCCTATTATATTCTTCAACTTTTCTTTATACTTTATTTTTTTTTTATAATTATTTAAGTTATTACAGATATTATATAGACAAGACAGTATCTTGATGCATCTTCTAATAACTTTTAGTGATTTATAATACTTAAAAATCAACAAGGCCATGCTCCCTTGGTTCTGGAAAGCATGAAGGATGTAACAAAGACAGCTGATAAGATAGCGACAGTGGAAGGATGTAGCAATCGCTTAAGGAACATATCTGTCATCAAATCGATCGCGCGCTGTGATCTCAGCCATGTAACCAGCGAGCTATATGAAAAGAGTAATGAACGACAAGGAGGCGAAAGGTGTATATAGAAACCGTGCCTTGTGGTACTCTGTACTCTCTGCTTACCCCGCAAGGGATCCGACGTGGAATAGATATATAATACATATTATTTGTCTAATAGGTTGACTAATGAATTAAGACAATGTGAATACACACCAGAAGAAACTCCCCCGACTCCGTCACCAGTGACTGTAAACCCTCCTCCAAAACGTAAGTGATATACACTTGGAAATAATTTTAGTAATTCTCACAAATAGAAATATATATTTTTAAGGTAATGGACAGAGCCAATCATTATGTATCTAATTTCGTTGAAATAAGTTGAAGAAATTGAATAAAATGCACTCTCATCCATGTTATACATTGCATGTCACTAAAATAGTAAAAAGTATGATTTTTATTCCATTTTTTTTTGTTTTCCGATAATTTCTTAAACTAGGCCAATAATTATTATGATACAGGAAACATTTGTAATCAGTGCACAAGTTTTAATATTGTATATGTTACCTTAGTTTATTCACATATTATTAATATTCTCATTCTACTAACATGGGTGATAGAAAAGAAAAATATATGTTCTTGTTTACACCAATTAAAATATAAATATTATATACAATACAAAACATTTTCTTCAATATTGCGGACTGATTACAAATTTGCCCTGTATAATCCGTAGAGAATTTACCGTATGTAGGTCCATTACTAAGTTCGAGTTACGTGTGCGGGTGGCGTAGTACCGCGCTTCACTTCACGCGACCGTCGGACGTGAGGCGTAGAGAGCCCCGCGCTAAAGACATATTAGCTATTGCCAGCCAGAAACATGTTCTCACCAGTGCCGAGGGGTGGAAGGTGCACCATATCACCGCACAAATGGACGACTTGGTACGTAGTTTTATTGCGAACAACAAAATTCGATTAAAATTGTTTTTGCAGGATAATTTATTAATTAATTTCGATATTTTCTACAATTAGTAATTGTAATGTAAATGCTAGTTAAGTGTTATTTAGTAAATTAACAATTCTTTTTTGTATTTATGATGTTGACTTGCCGTCATTAAACAAATGAATAAAATTCTGACTATATATATACTATAAATATATACTGTATAATAGATGTATACTGTACTGTAATAGGGTTGTATCCTACAAGTGAAAATGCAGGTTTCTATTATATGTTCGGAAAATATGAACCATTTTAAGTTATAAAAATTTAACAAAATTAATTTTATTGCACTAATATGGAAAATGTTACTCCTTGAAAACGCTCTGGTTGTGGTAATTGTGTCTTGTGGTCATCCTGTTTCATAATTTTAATGAAATTTAGTATACAGATAGTGTATAAGCTGACTTAGGTAATAGATCTTTTTATCCCACTAAACATTTCCCTAGGGACCACGCGGGTCAAGCCGCTGGCGAAAACTAATTATATAATAAAGTTAACAATATAAACGCAAGTTATCGCCCTGGGCCTCTGATTGGGTTAGTCTGTCACTGTGTATTACATAGAACATTTATTAAACCGACATCTATTATATAGGTATCATTAGAAGCTGACGTAGGGGAACAATTAGCAAGTCTGTTGCGGGCGCTGGAAACTGCTTCTGGTCGTGCGATCGCGGCTCTACAACCGCACTCTCATACAATGCTAGAGTTACTCAAGGTAATTTGTTTTTTACGTAACGGTTTAACCCGGAATTATCAATAGGTATCGATACATACAGGCGAGTGTCGGTAGTTTCGGAATCTATTCAATACAAATAATCAAATTTTGTCTCCTTTATTGATTAAGTATCACACAATGGTGACATATCTATACTAATATTATAAATCTGAAGAGTTTGTTTGTTTGAACGCGTTAATCACAGGAACTACAGGTTCGAATTGAAATTTTTTTTTTATTTTGAATAGACCATTTATCAAGGAAGGCTTAAGGCTATATAACATCACGCTGCAACTATTAGGAGCGAAGAAATAATGGAAAATGTGGAAAAAACGGCGAAAATTATTCATCCTTGAGGGCTTCCGTTGCATGCGCTGCGAAAACGGTTCAAGATACAAAAAATATATGTATGAAAAACTATGCGATGATAACTGCAATCATTGTTTACTATTCAATTTGTAATTATATCTGTGTCGTGCTATGAATCGATATCCAAATAAACAGTTCCCTAGGGATCACGCGGGCGAAGCCGCTGGCGGAAAGCTAGTAAAACATATAGATGACGTTATGGCAATATTACCGACATTAAGTATTTTTGTTAAACAGAATATTGAGTAGTGTTGTAAAAGAACTGGTCTTTTAGTCCTAATTTTGCGACTATAAGTTCTTTTTGCAGAACTCACGACTTATTAGTCTTCTGAGTCCTGAGTCTTGAGTTCTTTTGAGTCTTTTCAGTTCTTTCAGTCCTAAAATTTCTTGAGTCGTTAGATTTATTCTAAGTCCTTTCGTTTTTTTTTCAGTCCTTTGAGTTCTTTGAGTCCTTTAAGTTCTTTGAAGTCTTATGAGTCATGTGAATTATACAGCAGGACTGCAGTCCAATCAAAAAGACTCGTGTCCGGTGATGGCGTACCTCACAAGATAACCTGGTCTTTGTGACGTACTCTAATGTGGGTAGGGAATCCAAATTTGGTCTTAGAAACACGATCACAAGGCGCACAGTGTAGCTGGCCTGTCGCGTTATAATTATTAGTGTAGGTAGGTTTTCGCAAGACTGAGCTCTTTTTAAAAGGACTCAGTCGCTAGTTCTTTTTAGGAAAGCTAAGTTTTTATTTAAAGGATTTTAGTCTGGAGTTCTTTTTGTAAAGAGTTCTCTTTGGCAAGACTGGAGTCTATTTTAAGAAGACTAAAAACTCAGAGAGGCTTGAGCTTTAACTTACTCTTTTTTGACTTGAGTCTTCAAAAAAAGACTCGAGTCTCAATATTAGGACTAAAAGACTCAGTTCTTTTACAACACTAATTGGGTGTCATATCAATGAATATTTTGTCATTTAAAAAACTAATGGATTTTTTGTGATATGTTTGTTTTGTTTATATTTCAGGGTAATATACAAAGAAGCAAGATAGTGTGTGAAGGTATTCAAGAAGCACGGGAAGATATACTTAGAGTTTTCACTCATAGAAATTTTGTGTCTGAAATTTTAACACGACAAGCCGACAAAAGATGTTTCAGGAAACATCGGTCGCAGTCATAGCATAACATTTTTAAATATAAAACACATTGTAAATACCATAGGTAATGTGTACCTTTTTGGAATAGGAAAGAGTATTTATATTAGTTGAAGTGTCTTCATTTTGTTTTGTGTCTTAGACTTGAATAATAAATATATTTCATATAAGAATAGTGGATTTTTCTAGCCTGCCTTCAATATCACCATAAAAGGTATTCATCATCAATATCAATAGCGTATTGTCGCCAATCGCCACTTTAAGTATTGTACTAAATTTACTGGTTGACTGGTAGAGAATGCCTCTTTGTCCGCCATTTGTCTATTTGACTAGGCAATTAAGATTAAATAAATAAATCATCACCAGCCCTTTTACGTCCCCACTACAGGGGCTCAGGCCTTTCTTATGGATGGTTAAGGAGGATGGGCCATGACCCTCCACACTGGCCCAATGCGGATTGGAGGGTATTAACGACTGCAAATGCAGCCGGGACCCACGGCTTAAAGTGCCTTCCGAAACACGGAGTAGCTCGAGATAATAATTTTTTGGTCACCCATCCCGTGTCCGACACTAGCGAAAGTTGCTTAACGACTGCGATCGTGTGCCGCGGCGCTTATCCACTACGCCACCGTACTACCCAAAAGAGAGGTATTCACAGTGTCTTAATACAAGTGATGTTTCCGATTAAGACTTATTGTAAGATATTGATACTGGAAGTCTAATGAGAGTTCGAAAAGCAGTGTTGCCAGAAGACATCAGACTCGAAATCTCCAAAAACAAGTTTTAGGTTAACATAAAGAATCTTTAAACTGACTTGAAATACATCTGAGTAATTGCATAATTCTTAAGAAAAAAGGTTACGAAAACCTATAAACTTTATTTAAAAATATGGTCAATAAATCTTCGCTAGAATTCAAATGAAGTTTCTTTAATATGTTAATCACTTGTAGTTTAAGAAAAATAATATTCGATTTTTTTGGGAAGGTTTTTATCGTTGATGTTGAGGCATTTTAAACTATTCGATACAAGTATTGTTACTTTTCATTCGATACTGTATAGAGAGAAAAAGATAAACACTAATAGGGATGATGACTGGGTAAAAAAATGCAATTCTATTTAGTCCGTCAGTCAGATAATAGAAGAATATTAGATAAGTTTTTTTTTTACTTCAATTTAACAAGAAATAGCTTAGATAACAGGCATTAAAGTTGAGGAGTGGGGGCTCGCTACGTCACAGTTGAGTAGAAAACGTACTCTAACGTGACGTCATGCGAAATTTCAACTCAATGTAACGCCGTAATTTTATGATAACGAAAAAAATACAAAAATACGTGTTTAATATTTTTTAACACTACCTGACGGACAAACAAACAAAAAATAGTCACAATAGGGAATTGTCGATTTCACTACGGACATCCCTATCTCTCACTTAGCTGCCACTTTGACTGACGTTTTATCAATTTCGCGCCTATACATACAGGGAGGAACAAAATGATCGACACAGCCGAAAGTTTCAAGTTAGGCTACATGCAAACGTTCATTTTATTTGACAAATATTTAAAAATAGAGGAGGTGTAAAAATTTTAAATTTCTAAGTGTTGACAGCCCTTTAACGCGCATGCGCAATATAGATTGTGCGCAGATTACAACGTACCGCGAAATACATTCATTTAATTTAATTATTTACCGATATCTTAATGATAGTCGATGCTGAAAATGTTCAATTCTTCTCTGAAGACAGCTAAGCACACTCTTTTGCATGCCAGTGTATGCACGCGCAAAACACATCACATTTCATACAAAACTAAACACAATCTTCACTAAACTAAACACTCAAGACGAACACTCTAATATCTTATTAACAAAAAGTCAATTAAAAATGCACTAGAACAAAACAAAAATCGACAAAAAAGACGCTTCGCAGCGGTGCGTCGGTGGCGATGCGCAACAATACTCCAGCGCAAAAGGTCGGCGGCGACTGATCGGCCGGACAATACCAACAGAATAATAAAGCCGCCTGGCGGCTGGCGGGTGGGTGGGGCTTTGATATTGAGGGATGAACTCTGTTTTTATTCGTCTTTTGATATCACGCATTTTTTAATGTTCTTTTTAAATACTATTTTAATTACAAATTCTTCAATGTTTTTAAAACAAAGTTCATTTGTGTTAATGATGAATCGCTGGAAGATTTGTGAGTTTATCGAGTTTAATTATCGATCCCGTTGTTAAAGGAGTATTACCCCATTCAAACAATTTTTATGGAGAACTGCTCTTTTAAAATAACGTAGGTTAATGTTAGACTGATCTCTCTACAATAATTTAGGAAATATTACACTCGGTTTCTTAATTGAGTATTTAAAGTTAAACGTCTCAAACTAACATCACTTACAATTTGACTTGTGAAATTAAAAAGAACTTAGGTTATTGAGAATAAGCAGTAGAAATTTTCTACTTTTTTCAAATCAGAAACCGGCTGTTAGTCTGTAAATCGATTTAAGCATTTTGACTGCCTTGATTGGTAGAATTTGCATGAAAGCAGTCTTATAAATCACAAACTAGTTTATTTCGTTTTTAGAAATGAAGAAGTCAATGACCGATTAAAAACTTTTCCTTAGTACGTCCCAAAAACAGCTGACTCAGGGTTGAAAACACTCATTTTTTTTTTCAAAAACTTTGTAATTTAATATCTCCGAAACTATTTGACCTAGAGTTATAATTTTTTTTACATCATATTAAAGACAAATAGTACTGTCCAGGAACCTCGGGAGTGTCGGTCGTTCTGTTCCACCGAGTATAGTTATAATCCTTGTTAAACTATTAAAACATCTCCGTCTTTCAATACAAAGTATGGATACCACATAAATGACCGATTATCAAGTAAAAGTATCGATACCTAGATGGTTTCATTTTAAACCGCTATTGGCCTTTTCGTAGTAACACGCCAAGTGTGACGTTAGCGATGTGTGCAAAGTTTGATAATAGCAAACGAAAAACCTTATAAACGCCGCATAGCTTCAAATAAAAAAATCATCAGTCAGCCATCTTTGCGACAAATGTGATCCAAAATTCATTAAAATGTTTTGTAAATGTTCGCTCAAACTTTATTGATATTCGTATTACGGCAATGATATAAAATATTTAAGTCGTATTTAGACTGGAACTACTTTTATTGCATTCATTTCGCTAGCAGTGTTCACGTGTAAATGTTCACTTTCACTATGCATGCATATGTACGGCAGTAGAGCATTTTCGTGTCATGCTCATATTTTTGACAAAGCTGGTGTTATTTAATTATATTTCTAGGAATTCATATATATTTTTTTTAGTTTAATGTTAATTTCTTATATTTTACAAGTGACTTTCTGTATACAGTGTGTGATGAAACCCATAAAATAACACTTTAATTTATAAATTCTATCTCATGAAGGGTTATGTCAGCATATTATAATTTTAAAATAACTCATTAATTTAATATCTATAACGGAAACTACCGTATCATTTACGAAACCGATACAATGATTCTCAAATGTCCGTATCCGGATCTGAAATAAGATATCGATAACATCTCTCTTCTCTCGCTTCTGCCATAGATGTTAATGAGTTTTTTGACATTTGAAATATTTGATAGAAATTCTATCGAAGCTGTTTATAGAATCCTTGTAACATATAAAATAACCACAAACATTTATTTCTCTAATAAACGTGGCCTAAAGAGTTAATTCTTACTGTACTTATTTTATTTTTTACAACTAAAATAAATTTTTAGTTTGTGATTTATACTCCACAATGGCAAGCAGCCGATTAGAACGCATTGGCACTATACTAACAAGGTATGTACTTTAAAAGTTTATAAAAAGAAAACAAAAAAGTAAGAAAAAAGCGCGGTTTTTTTAGCGGGAAATTTGTTAGAATAGGTACGGATATAAACTTTCTTTTTAATCATAAAATAATTTTATAAGTTTACATTCAAACGGGTAAAAACTTTACATTTACGATATGTCCAATTTGAAAAAAACAGCCAAGACCTCTAAATTTGTATCAGGTGAAATTAAAGATTTTATAAATGAATCTCAATTCATTAAGGAATCTCCTAAATCTAAGAAAATGCAAAAACGACAGAAGAATGATACCAGTGAAGAAGAGGACATTGCAAAATTGATTGGACATTACCAGACCACTGTCAAAAAAAGGAAGGCAGATACAAATCTTGAAACTTGCAAAGAATCACGCCAAAAATTATTAGATGTGATGGGCCACCAATTAGAAGCAAGGTAACTCCATAAATTTTAACTCCATTTTTTTTTGTAGATTGTTGGATGTATTTGGTTTTGTTTGATTCTCTATTTCCAGAAAACAAGGCAATGAAGGCTTACTGCACTCTTTGTCAGAAATTTTAACTCAACTGGAAGCTGATTACAATGCTATGAAAGAAAATGAACAAAAATTGGAACATCTTACTGCAGCTCTAATAAAATGTATACAACAGTCGACAATTGCTCACAAGCAAAAATTGAAAGCTTTGAAGGAAATTCATACATCATTCAAAAAAGAGTAAATAACATTTAATATATATTTTACACAAGAAGTTCTTTCTCATGTACATCATTTATTTAAAATTTACTCTTTTAATCCCAACCAGGTGTGAGGAAATGGAAAATGATCATAGGGCTGAAACCGATAAATTGGCTGATGAACTCGAGGAGGATATCAAGAAATTACAACAGAAGTTGATATCTGAAACAAAACGCAGTGGCTGGGAAACATTGCGTCGAACTATATTTCAAGCAATGCAGAATGACTTTTAAGAAGTTGTTGCTAACTTTATTGTTTTAAAATTTTGTTAATGAATTAATAATAACTTGACTAGATAGTTACACTTACTTTATTTCGATTTCAATAAATTCTTTATTTAATTTAATGTTTTATGTTTAATTTGCTTTTACTGAGAGCATTACTCCATTGAATAGGATTCATAAAATAAAAATAAAAAATCACTGAATATTTTTGCTAAATATTTTTAATCAATACACAAAAATATATTTTCCAATATTTAGTTATAGTATTCTATGTCTCATGTCTAATGAAACACCAATCAGAGCATCATGATGACATCATATGTAGGAACAGTAATAAAACTAGGAAAAATAGCAGTATGGTGAAGTTCTTTGTCTGTCCCATGGACCAAACAAACTACTACAATCTTGTCATATGACTCAAGTAGGATTTTGTGTCTCTCAAGCCAATTAACTACATCACTTGAGCAATACTTGAGTTTTCAAGTAGCTTGAGTAAAAAAATTTCAACATAAATTACTAATATTCTGGAACCTTGTCTAATAAATAACTAATAACACCCTTGTGACGTTATTTGAAATTAGAAAGTAAAGATAGCATAAAATGCAATACATATATCACTTCTTAATTATCGAAATAATAATCCCCAAAATATTGTTATAATAAGTTAATAACTTTTAGTTTGTTAATTTATTGCAAGAATTTTCGAGAATATTAAAAGTACTAAGGTACCTAAATAAGAGATCATGACCCCTTGAGCCCTTGAGGAGACTAGTCTTTTCCTTGTTTGTTCTGAGATTGACATTTAATTATAGAAGACTTATTTTGCAGAGTGGAGGGTCTTCTCACACGTGGTGCTATGAAACCTGACGATAGACCTCTATGGTTCGATGTTTATCGAGCATTTCCCCCATTTACTGAACCAAAAATGGCTAAACCAAAACCAGAGATCAAGCCCATCCGACAAATATTGTATCAGGAAGATATCATAAGAGCGTAAGTGCCTTCCCTAAGTTGCATTTAAAATGCTTGGTTTAGGTAAAGAAATAAAATTTCAATTAGGTAATTAACATTTAATTTGTAATGATTTAATACTTTTTAGATTTACTAGCCCATTCTGCGTATATGTAGCAACCAACTGGTTAAACCAGCCGTTCAAATGGGCGACCAGCCACTTCATTGAACGGCACGTCTAGTTCTCTAGTTGAAACATGACATATGGACCGTTCAACAAGACGACCGAAAGCCTCCAAAACGGTTATTTAGTTTTCTCATCTGTTAAAAAATGAATTCGAAGTTTAAGGCGATCGTGAAGCGTAGTGTAGCGATTCTAACCTATCACAACCAACTACATAGACAACCAAATTAACTTCGTTGTTTATCATATTTGTTGTTATTGTCTATTATAGCACAAAACTTCGAAATTGAAATAAATATACTTAAACAATGGCAATATATTGCTTACTCTCATTTTCTATAGATGGCGCTGTGGCCGTCATAATCGCAGTATATATTGTCTTCGTATAATTGTTTAGCTAAAAGTTTAGCTTGCTGTAGTGATCGACCATTAACACCTAGACCTTGGACGGTATGAAGACGGTACGTTAGAATTGGACGGCTGATTTAACCACTTGGCTGCCACATACTTATAAGTATATAATACCTACTAGCCTTTCGTATCGAGTTGGCGCTGCATGTGTGATGTAATATGCATATTTCAATACATATTTAATTCGTTTCCAAAACTATTTATAACCAACGATTTGTCCCTATTTATCTCAATACGGTCCCAATAATATATGAAAAGTATTTTGGTCTTTACTCCCAGCCTTAAGGAGTTTCTGTCTCCGAATAAAGAAATATTGTGTATATGAAGTTCTCGAATAGGAAGTGATTATTTATTCTGAACATTTATGCTTCGACTCTGCTTTAATATGAATAAAAAATTTTGCATGACAAGTAGCAAAGTACGGAATAAGTTTAATATGAATTGTTCACCTCTTTGTACCTACCTGTATTTGCAAATAAATTATTTTGAGAAAAAAATAATTGATTGATTTACAGGAAGTTTCATTCAAAAGGATTGGGCTTGGGAACTACAAATATATTAAACCCTAATAGTGAGACACATATGAAAAGATTAATTAGCCAATATCAAAAACTAAAATCTGATGGTGTCCCAGAGGAAGAGTTAATCGAAAAGTCAGCTGAAATAGTTGATGGTGAGCGTCAGCGCCAAGAAAACATCAAGGAACCTAAATATAAAAATACTGTAAGTCCCGAGTCTGTGACAACACAAGTGTTAGCAGAAGCAGATTTGAAAAATATTTTTAGCGAAAAGTGATTTGCATATTTGATTTAGTTTTGTAAATTGTAGCTGAATAAACTGTTAATAATAGTATAGGTCTTTTAATCCCGAGCCGATAATTAATTTAATAATAAGAATATTACTTTTGGCGATCTTATGTACTCAAATACCAATTTTCATCACTATATAAGCAGCACATTTCTAAATAACATTAGAACAAGTACTTCAATAAATAATGCTTGTTTTTAGATAGGTGTATTACAGTGACAAATCAAATAGTAAACAATGATTTCTATGGTAACAGTTTGATTCCCCTTAAAACCTCCACTCCCATTTTCATTTACCGTTCCAGGGTCTTAAGCTATGTTCTGTGGTCTTAAGCTACTCAAAAACCAATTTACATCGATATACCTTTTTCAGCCCCCTTCGGAGTGGAATTCCTAAAAATCTGTTCTTTGTACACTTCTACGCAATAAGACGAATGTACACTCCAAATTTCAAGTTTCAGTCAGCATGTCAGTTGAAAAAAATGAACGCTATCAGTGATCATAGGTAAATATCGCAGTCGCGGGCTGCGATATTTACTGGTAAGCTAAAGCTGTACAATCTGTTGAATTTCTCGTTGTACGTATTTGCTTATTACTTTGTCATTAATTCAACACCCTCTAACATAATAGACACTGTATATAGAATAAAAAAAAGTTTTGAACAAATACCGATTAAGTACCTTGAGCTAAAGTAATTTGAAAGCTAGAGCTTCCGCGATCTCATGATTGACTGTAAGTAGAACTATCGGATTCCATAGATAAGTTTGAGTCATGATTTACTAAGAAGTGTTTTCAGCGGCTATAGTATAATATTTATGAACGACAGAAAACGGTACCTGCGTATTACTAATACTGCTATCTTATCTTACTCTGATAACCGCCTTATGTAGATGGCTCACTTTTAGTTTTGTTAGTGTCCCATTAAATTAGTTTGAAATAAGTGATAAATATTCTGGTGTGTGAAAGAATTTCAGTAAAATGGCATCAAGAAAGTCATTTCTGTTTTATTTGGCTGCAATTTTGGGTAAGTTGAGCTATAAGTAAAAATATATGATAAACTATAATAACCAAAATAAGGCGCATTAAAGACAAAGGCCGCTCCCATATTGATAGGACCGTTTTTTTAACGATCCTCGTTAACTATACATCCTTGTTTTATATAAGATTTAACAATATTACATAGTATAAAACAGTTGCTTTCCGCTGTCTGTACGCTGAAATCTTTTAAAGAACACAACGGATTTTAACGCTGTTTTCATTAATATACCTACAGCATTATTCAAGAGAAAGGGCTTTACAACTACACGACCACACGGGTGAAGCCGCTGGAGAAAAGCTGTAGTTCTCTTACATTTGTTATAATCATATGTGACTGTTTAAATGCATTGTTATTATACACAAAATGTGACAAATTGTTGTGAAACTTGGCGTTCTTCCAATTGCATATAAATCCTTGAATTGGTCTTGCATTAGGATTGAGACGTTATCACAAACTGGGGAACGAGCATATTAAAAAATATTTGAAATGGAAAAACTCCTTTTTTAAAATAAACCTAAAAACCGTGTGAGTAAAGGTTATAAAAAAATTAGAAACCGCGGTGAAAACATTACAACCAGACCGGGATATTTGAACTGACTTTCATACAAAAATCATTTTACCTAATCCGTTTCTGGATTCAAAACTAGGTAGGTACTACATTTAAACTACACCTACATTCAAAAGGTCCGTCCCGAAACGGCTGGTTTAGAGCTAAATTACGATAAATGATATAAACAAAATATAATTCTGTCAGAAACCTAAAAACTATTGATGCTTTATTAGATGCTAAGTTTGTTTGCTACGTCATCGACATCCATAATAAAAGATAACGTAAAATCGCAAAATAAAAAACCCGGTAGGCACATTGGTTTACAAGCCACAAAATAGAAATATCTATTTTAAACTATTTTACCAACGTATTAAGATGGAGTGTAAACCAAATAATCGTCTCGACTATGCCTGCAATGAGATAGTGACAACTTTTTCTAACCCGCCTTATGAAATAGCGAGAAAAACAAGATTTTCTGGGACAGAAACTTGATATCTGGATTTTGTCGCTGTATAGGTATACACCTCTCCCCCGTATATTATAGCTTTATTATATAATACTAGCTTTCCGCCAGCGGCTTAGCCCGCGTGGTGTTGTATTATACATAAAAACCTTTATTTTGAATCACCCTATTAAAAAAACCGCATCAAAATCCGTTGCTTTGTTGCATTTAGAGGCCCCCCAAGGACCGGGGTGCATAGCCAGCCCCCCCAGTCCGCCACTGGTTTCTCACTGTAAAAGTGCTGCATACAGACCTCTGTTACAAAATGACCTGCATGCATGTATTTTTAAAATAAGGTTACCTTTAACGATTAACAGCGACTAAAATGCATTTCAGAGGTAACTTTGTGTTGATTGCTATCGAAAAAATTTGATAGGCTCTTTACATAAAATGTTTTTTGTTTTTTTTTTTGTGCAAATCCAGTTGAATTTGTGATTTTCATTTAGTAAGTTTAAAAACAAATCGAGATATTTTGTTTTTTTTTTTTTTATATAACATAATCAAATACCTGACGCAATTTATACGCTCGTTATTATAGATATAATAATTGTTTTATAGTTATTCTCAGCACTCTCACACATGAGGCTGAAGCTCGACGAAGAATCCTGCGAGGAAGGCGGGTGATGACACGCACGTATTATCGTAAGTACAATTTTAGGCATTAATTAGTCTCTGTGTACACTTCGGGTGTTGGGTGTGTAGCACTACCTGCTGGCCAAAGTCCTTCCACCAAAAGCGAGTGAACACAAAGGGCGTTTAGTGTGTATACCATCCGAATTTTATGACTAGCCTTCGGGCGGGTTCGTGCGGATGGAGAGTCCCACACCCTCTGTCGCATGTCAAACGAAGAGTCGGGGCAACGCATATAGCATTCCGTTACGATAAAAAAAGCTCAGTATGCATTTGATATATTCAATTTATTCCATTCTCGTAGATTATAATACTTTTATGCTCGCGCTTGGTAAAATGATGTAAAAATTTGCGTGTTCTAATCTCATATTGAGCACTTGACTGTTAATTAAGGTATTTTTATTTGCATAGGTATTTAGCCTATGTATTATTAATAAAAATCTTTATTAACTAAAGCAAGGTTAAAGGAAAGTTTTACAAATTTAAACCAGCTTACTTTATCGCCAAGACGATGTGCAAATATTATAGTCAAAATACAATAAATTTTCTATTTTTTTATGAAAAAATATGTCCAAATATTTGATTCACATAAAAAAAAAATGCCGGATTAGATCGTCATTAAAGACTTTTTTTCAGGCGGCCTTGCAATTCCAGCTTGGGCAATAAGCTTGATAGCAGGGATAGGAATGCTGCTAGTCGGTGGCATTCTCTATGTGGTTATGAGGAAATTAGTGCTATCATCGGAGACCGGCACTTTAAACACATACCAACCAGCAATGCAGAATGACCAAGTTTAGTTTTTAGATATTACAGTGAGTGATTAATAATTTTAGTTGTAAGGTAAACAGCACGTCAGTTTATACAAATCTGTTAAGTTATTCACTTACTTTTAAACTTTAATGCATTGAGTGTAGAGTTATAATTCATTTGCCATAATAAGGGTATCTGACACTATTAAAAATAAGTTGTGTGTTGTGGACATATTGTTAGATAAACCTATTAATACTATAAATGTGAAAGTGTCTTTGTTTGGATGTTTGTCCGTCAATCACGTTGAAACCACTAAACGGATTTTTATGAAATTTGGTATACAGATAGGGTATTAAACTTTATATAGGTACCACTCAACATTGCCCCAGGGACCACTCGGGCGAATCCACAAGCTAGTAATATAATAAAAGATTTGTATTTACACATACAATTTGCAGCTCATTTTTATAAACAAAACCATTGTAGATATAAATACAAAATATAAAATTTTACTTCAATTTCTCTTCTCTAATACGATTTTCTTACTTCGTAAATAAATAGTCGATAAATAGATTATGTCGCCTTGACATATTTACCGGCGTGCGACTTCACAAATACCACGTGATTAGCGCTATTAAATAGAGTAGCGTTTATTGGCTTTTTGATTTAAACTTTAACAATTATTTTCATCGAAAAAAGAACTGATTCCCATGAAATATATTTACATTAAATTTATAATGTATCAAGAACCATATAAAATAGTTTCCAGAAGTGTCAAGTACCCTAATTAAATATTGTAGTAACCTGACGTGTTGCTGTATGTACCCATACAATATTGTAGATAATTAAGACTTTTGTAAGATTAAAGTTTTGATCAAAAAACATCAGACTTTTCTTAAATTAAACATGTTGCTAAACCCACAAAATTAAACTTTTTTAAGTTTGTCTACTTTTTAAGTTAGAATTCGATGCGAGCAGTCTCCTTTCAACAGGAGAAACAATTTATACATATAATGCTTAATTTGTCTGTCATTAGTTTATTACATGTCTCCTCATCAGTCTAAGGAGACACACGAGTCTACAAAAGATTTTAAAGACTACGATTAATAAATATGAGATATCACATACATGAGTACTCGCATTATGTAGTATCCGAAACAACGAACCAGAACACCTAAACCAGAGACAATACAGAAAAGTTTATTTTCTACATTGACCGACCGGAAATCGAACCCGGGATTACGGATATGGCGATCCTTTGAAATTGGCGTACGAGCCACTTGACTATTATCACACATGTTATAGGTATAATCTTTGTCGAAGGATCAAAGGCAAGAAAACAGGAAAAACCCAAAAAGTCATAATTATTTCATTTATTTATATTTTTGATAATATAATCAAGACAGATAGACAAAAAGTAGTCCACTAAAAATGAACTTGTCGCTTAAAAGTTATTATTAGGACAATGAAAAGGCTATGAAAGTAGCCAGGTAATTCTACAATATTAAAATTCTCTGCGATGATATTTGTCTGGATCGAAGTATGACGTGACGACGACACGGTTACTGAACTTGCGACCAGTGAGAGTTTGTTGCGCCTTCTGACAATCAGCAATGCTGTTGAATTCTACAAACACCTAGAAGTCGAAATTAAACATCGTTAGACACAGAACATTACTCACACTAGTAAAACATTACATTATTATTTTTATTTACCTTTCCACAACCAGGTACTTCTACGCCTTCAATAGGTCTGGGAATCTCTATACTACGTACACAACCGTACTTATTGCATTCCTCTCTGTAAAATTAATAAGAAAAAATGCATTGAAGTTAATGTTTATTAGTTATAAGAAAAAATATTTATTATGTTAGTTACTTATATACTATCAATACTGACTTTATGTCTTCAAGAATGTCTTCGTATTCCTCTTCATCCCGTAGTTCGTCTGGGGTGACCATGTTAAGTAGACAAAGTACTTCGGTAGCCGGCCCGGCCCCTGCTAAAGTCAGACCAGCCACTTGTAGCTGCACTGGAGCCGCGCCGGTCATAGCTGCATCAAAATAAACATAGTTCAAATGAAAAAGGCATTATTTAAACTAATTCACCACTAACTCCACAGAAGTTCAAGGTGAAACTAAAAAAAAGGCGTTATTAGAACTAGTAACTCCAAACATACAGATGAAATTTACAGATCACATGTATCAAGCTTTTACCTAGAGTAGAGTTCTTTGCTCCAATGCTGGCTCGTTGAACGATCAGTTTCTTATCTCCAAGTTGCATTCCATTTAAGCCAGCAATAGCCTATTGAAATGGTTTTTATTATAAGTAAATGATATACAAGTAATTATAACAAAATCTATATTGTTAATTTTTACCTGATCAGTCATAGAAATATCAACATATTCAGCAAAGGCATAACCCTTACTGAGTCCCGTTGATGAATCTTTCACCAAATTGAAAGCACGCAGTTGCCCAAATGACATCAAAAGCTCCTTTACCTATGCCACATTTAGAACAGTCAGTATGAGTCAAATATCAAATTGAACAACAGGATATATACAAATGTAAAAAGTTTGATACATAAAAATAGTTAAGTCTATTATACATCCCTCATTATTAATTTTGATTGTTCCCATAGGATATTTGCTATATATATGCAGCATACATAAATGAATGTTATCTGACCTGTCTAGTTGCATATTAGAACCAGATATGAATAGAGGAGACTTGCCTTTGAGTGCCGACGTCTCATTCAAGTACAAGACGTATAGGTGAGAATGAGAGACAACAGTGACACGCGGGCCGTGAATGTGCCAAATCTAAGCTAGGGAGGGGCAGAAAGCAAACTATCAGTGAGTTGTTTAAGAGAATATCGAGCGTGAAGAGGGCACGCTCGTCCCCGCTACGGGTACCTGAAATACCTGAAACGGACCAAAATATAACGCGGCTTACTGCTGACGCCACCATAGCTGTGTCTACTGTTGAATCTCGCCTGTAATTGTCTCCTAGAGCTACCTAATGGGAACGCCTACTCCTATTATAACCTGTTTTGATAAGCATCGCCTTTGTACATGACTGATATATATATACCGTTATTTCTTTTGATTTTTTCAAAAATATGATGTTCTTATTTATTTTTGATAAATGTATAAAGGCGACCTTGGAAATTCTCTGTTTTGATATACATTTAAGACTGTACTGTAAAAAAACGAAATATTACTTTTGTTTACTTAGAAAACAATGTGGAATCTGGGTACTGACCTGGAAAACATAATTTTGCAAAATCAAAACCAGTTTCAGAAACAGTTAACAGAAAACACTATGTTATATGAATAAGGGTAATGGATATCTATGATCGAAAAAATTTATCCCTCCATTATAGCATTTATTATTGAATTCTGTTGGGTGGTTTTTGACAACACTCATAAATTTATACCTTTTTTCAGTCTTCAAATGTAAAAGATGAAAATTTATTGTTTTAAAGATGGGAATGTATTGTAAAAATGATGAATTCTGCAATCAAGGTTAATATAATATTCATTGCAATAGTAAAAACTTGAGACTTTCTTAATTAGCAATTGTATTGCCTCTTATGTGAAACATAAGTTCTGAAAATTATATAAAATTCCTAACATTATCTTAAATTATATTATTTAGAACTTATGCTTCACAGTGAAAATAATAAAAGATGTTAATATAATATAAGATAAATCTTACTTGATCTTCATTGAGATAATTAGGCAGACCTCCAATGAAAATCTTATGTGGGGAATCTGGAACTACAGTACTAATAACCCCAGCTGAAAGTGAAATCACAAAAACTTAATTAATATCTTTACATAGTATAAAACTAAGTCGCTTTCTCTGTCCCTATATCTTTATGTATACTTAAATCTTTAAAACTATGCAATGGATTTGATTCAGTTTCTTTTCATAGATAGGGTGATTCATAAGAAAGGTTTTTATGTATAATACAAGACCACACGGGCGAAGCCGCTGGCGGAAAGCTAGTTTGTAATAAAACATTTGTGTTGATTTGAATAAACTGGTTTCTGAAATGGAATAGGAGATCAAAATTGTTAACAAAAGTTACACTACAATACTCAAGTCAGTTTGAAACATCTACCAAATCTGTTATTGTTAAAATTTGCTTAGTACATTTTTGATTTCAAGTTCTATCAGAATGAGTGTAGACTAACAGTAGCTGTTTTCTCATAATTTCACCTGTAAATTATAACCTATATCACCCACTACGAAGAAGATTCCCATAGGTGTTTAACCAATGGGAATATAAATTGATGCAGTAGTTTCAAAGCCTATTCAATGCAAACAAACAAATCCCATTTGTTTCCCATCCAGCGGGTCACTACCTGGTACCGGGCCATCAAAATAAAATATAGGATTGGAACATTCTCATTTGTGTACAAGACCCTTCTCATTTTCTTTAGTAAGAAGAAAATAAGCAGCAGTTTCATACTTCGCCCTAAAATTTAATAGTTACATAGGCAATACCAAGGTGTGTAGTATTTTTTACCATGGGAATAATAATATAATAAATAGTTTTAAGGTTACTCAACCTATAAATGATATTAAAAGTATTAAGTATGTCACAAAGGGGCAGTGCGTAACATTACTGAGCCATAAAAGAACAATGTTTAGGAAACACTATAAGCATAGATAACACTTACCAGGAACATTAATGGCTGGATTCTCAGTTCCAGGCATTGGTTGATAATCATGAGGTCGTCTTATCTTCAAACTCTGCCCTTTAAAGTTAATACCATCAAAAGCCATAGCTTGAGTTGTTTCATCAATAGACCTAAATTCAAGGAATGCAAAATTTTTGTCCAAGTTTATTTGACAAGCTAATACAGGATTTCCGGCTGCTTGTGCTAAGCCAGAGAGATGCATCTGTTGATTGAAAAACTCCATAGTTTCTTCTTCAGTCACTCCAAAGGGTATGTTTCCTACATACAAACGTCTTGCTTGGCGAGTGATGGTTGAACCAACAACCGGCACAGCTGCCTGAGGAGTATCAGCAACAATATTGGCCGGAATTTGCCCAGCTGCTTGCATGGCTTTATATTGCAATGGGGTTATATGCTCAAAACCTGGAGGTGGAACATCCCAATAAAGAGAAGGCTTGCGCCTCCGCGACCTCTTAGATTGCGATTTGGACCTACTTCTTCTTTTTTCTCTACGCTCTCTAGAACGGGATCTTGAACGTCTTCGATCCCGTGAACGAGATCTGCGTCGCCGATCTAAAAATGAGAAATAAATCCTGAATAAACCATTAGCTTAAGTTAAATAACAGCTTCTGATTATTATTTTAGAGATAATCTACCTTTATCTTCACCCATAACCACTATTTATTTATATCTTCGATTAAAAGTCGATAAAATGTAAGCAAGCAAAGCCAATCAAGCATCAGACTCTCAAAATGGCGTCTCATCAGTGCTGCCAACTCTAGAAAATAATTTCTGCTAAATAGGCTTTAAAAAAATGCCAAAAATATGCCAAATATTTTCGAAAATACTTAAAAAATGCTTTTATTAGAGAAACAGAATATTTATTAAAAATCTTTATAAAGAAGCATTTATAAATAAATTGCGAAGACCCTCGTCGGTATCCTGAGCCATTGATGTAGCCGGTAGGTATGGAGCAGATGACGTAGATGCATAAGCCTCATTACATTAGTCCCTATTTTTCGCAAAATTTGATCATCGATTCTCCTCAACAATAACTCATTATATTCAAGCGGGATTTATCTAACCAAAGACTACTCTATGACTATAAATCTACGAACACTCTTAGGTTGTGTTCAGACATATATAGCATATTTTTTAAGAAAAAATGAAAAATATTTTTAGATATTTTACTCTCAATAAAATGCTAAAAAATATGCTATATGCTAAACTGAATTTAATTATGCCAAAACACTAGAAAACATGCTAAATTTAGCCATAAAAATGCTAAATTGGCAGCACTGCGTCTCATTCAGGGTTACCATTATAACCGTTCTCTATGGTTACCCTAATGTACTCTGTGATGGTTACCATCATAGGTATACTGGTTGTCATCATGAATGAGCCAAGATGAAATGAGGAAGTATTTAAAAAATAAAAATTAGTTCTTGAAATCATACTAGATGTCACTCGCGATGTTTGGATTTTGTTTATGATATTCATTAAAATTGTATTTCTGACGTAATAAAAGTACATTGATTATTCGAAAATTAATAACATCGTTTTGTGTTTCTTATAATATCTAACTTTCAAATTAATTTTAATCGTAAGTTTAAGTAGTTTATTATGTTACGTGTAAAGGAACGATGTTTGGTTTATACTTCAACATTAGTGATATATAACCTTGCGGTTCGTTTAGAACAAACGTTTCTTGTTGATAGCTGAATATTTGTTAAGATGATTTAATTATGAATTTAACATTTAATAACCGATCGTAGTTTTTTAAAGTCTTAATTTCGAAAGTACAAGTTATTTGTACGTTACACTTTGCACAAACGTCATTTAAGCCAGAAGTCATGTTATTTTGTACGAAAACATTGTATATTTGATACATATTGGGTAAGTATATACATAATAAACGGATTTTTATTATAATTATCGTTTTTATGACTTTTGTTGCTGATTAATAAACCTTATTCATCCATTCACCATACATAATATAAAAATATTATTGAGACTTGATGTAGTTTTATTGTTGTAAGTTCAACAAACAATTAACTTACCTAGTTGTTATTGTTTTCAGAACTTTTGTTAAATATTATAATGAAAAATTCAATCCAAAAATAAAAAAAAAACCTCTGTGCTCACTTCTATTATGTTAGTTTACATTTTCCTCATATACAAATAAAAAAGAAATTTATTCAAAGATTACTTTGTATAAATCGAGTTGCGTTTGCATAACTCGAACTAGTTAAATTTCAGTTCGATATTAATCCGAGTTGTCAAATCCATAACAACACTGACAATTCTTTTCTCTTTGGTTTAACGTCATGAATTGACGTTTAGATCCAACAATTTGTGCTGCAATCTAGTGACAAAATTTTTTGTAGTTTCTTTTTTTTAATACTTCCTCATTGTGAAAATGATTAAATAAGGCCTCGTAAATTTTTTGGTTGGTTTAATTCTTTAATTTTTTTTTGTATAATATTTATTTTAATACTGAATTTACAATTTTTTAACCGTTAAATTTCAACTAAGTTTCTAATCGGCACCAGGCTTAAAGTAGAAAGAAAAAGGTATAAATGCATTTTGGTGTCGTGTTGTAGTGTTGTATTGTGCACGGGTGTGTAATTATCATGCTTATAGATACTTCTATGGATACTACTCACTAAATATACTACATTAAACATAAAAGTAGGTTAGAGACACGCAAGAAATTTATAACTAATATATAAACTTAATGGAGACATGTCATGAACATATATCTATTTTATTCTAATCTAGTGAAACAATAACATTAAAAATTGTGGTTATCCTTTAAGATAATAGAGTAATAACACATATTTCACTTTATTTAAAAAAAAAAGTATAATTTTTGGAGATTACACAAAATAAAATTCAATATTTTTTGACATTTTATCTGCGATGAAACTCCAATGACGTCATTTAGTAGTAAATATGGGTTTCTGTTTACGATTTTAGTATTATCTCTATCTAGATCAATATAAAAGAATTTAGGTAAAGTTTAGGCTGTATGAAACGTGATCTTTGCCTTAAAATACGACACGAAATGAACTCAACTAAAAAATAAATAAAGTCATGTATGCATGGACAAATACTATGTTTTTGTGTTTATCGACTGGAAGTGAAAGTTTTAAAAGTATTATTTTTAAGTAGTCGATGGAGCATACGGATGTATACGTAGTTCACAAAGAGAGACTGAATATTTATGTTTGTTTTTCTAAAATATTCTAATAATGGTGAGTGAAATATTCTTAAATATTTTCCAACTTATTCGTATAAATAAAATTTATTGGTTTCTTTTAGTATTATCAAGAAGTGAATGGGAAAGTAAGGAAAAGAGCGTCAGATGATTTTAACAAAAAAATCGATACCGAAACTCGAGATTCAGAAGGAAAAATTAATAATGTTTCTGTATCCAATGGTCGAATTATTGCACTTGTTTTTTTATCGCTTTTATTAGACTTGTTAGCTTTTACCATGATATTGCCACTTCTACCCACCTTACTGGATTATTATAACAGAGAAGAAGGCCACACAAATAGTTTTTATTCACATCTACTCCAGGCAGTAAAGAGATTCCAAAAATTAACTGGTGCACCAGATCAATTTGCCTCTGTTTTGTTTGGAGGGGCCTTAGGCTCCATGTACAGTTTTCTACAGTTTTTGACAAGTCCTATAGTTGGAAGTCTCTCTGATGCATACGGTAGAAAACCCCTGCTTCTGATTTGCTTGGTAAGTAAGCACATATAATGACTAAGATTAAAGCATATGGCACTATTAATTGTATATGGATACATTGCGCTTATAGTGCAATAAATAGGATAAATTAATAAATTCTGTAAACTTATGAATTTCTGATATGATACATTTATGATAATGACTAAAAATATAAAATATGGGTCAAGATATAGTATTAAACAATTCAATTAATTCTACATTATAAGTTGCTGTTTTATTGTTATGTTACAAGACAATGGAAAGAAATTAAATATAGATAAGAAAAAAAATCAGTTAGATTATATGGTAACTTAAACAAGATTGATGCTCATTTCCTCTGATTTCACTCCTATTATACTCAATAACACCTTAATAGTGAAATCACAGGAAATATATGTAAATTGTTTGTTGTTCATATTAGATAGTGGATGTTTTGAAGAATGCAAAATGTTATATTAGATAATTTTTAACAATTCAGTTTTACAAACTAGACAAAAATTTTTTTTACTGATTAGCTGTGTCTCTTATTCTGTTAATAGCTAAAATAATTTAGGTAAATTGTCTATAGACTTATTACAGGAAATCAATGAAAATTAGAAACTTTTAGTTTTGATTAGTTTGTTAAAGAATGTGGAGTTCAAACACTACAAAGTAGATGAATATCATCATGACATACAGAATAGTATCAATCATATTTATAAATACCAGCTTTCTGCCAATGACTTCACCCACATGGTTCTGTGTTATACTCTCATCTTGTGTACTGTAGACACTTGACAGATGTCCCTTCTGATATGCACAAACCATAATAGTTTTAACCAGTTAAAGGCTCTTTTTTATCATCTTAGTGAGCATCTAAGTCCTAAAAAGAATATGCATGTAAAATTTGAAACTCCTAGCACTTGTAGTAACAAAGTTTCATACAAAATTTAACTCCTAATTTACCCCTTTAGGGGTTGAATTTCATAAAATCTTATCTTAATAAGCACCTACATCATAAAAAGAACCTGCAATTTGAAACTCATAGCACTTGTAGTTTCAGAGATTTCGTGATCAGTGAGTGAGTGTCCTTTCACTTTTATATATAGATTATTATTTATTACAAATATTGTCTTTTTGTAAAAATTTGGGTAACTTTTATGATCTAATTCATTTATTTTTATTTGATAAATAATTGATTGCTATCTGCATTCATATAGGTAGTATCCTTGAAGCACATTTAATTTTTTAGTGAACTACTTTTCTCAATTTGTTGTTTCCAGATTGGTATAGCAATATCACACGCCCTCTGGAGCTGTGCAAGTACTTTTAGTTTGTTTGTATTTGCACGTTTCATTGGTGGCTTAAGTAAAGCTAATGTAAGCCTCTGTATGGCAATTGTTACTGATGCATCTAATGAAAAGACCCGAGCTAAAGGAATGGTAAGATTGTTTGAAATAATACTTAAACCAGCATTTATTGAATTTATTTATTGAAATTGTATAACATTTTACGATGCTACACTAAAATAAATTTAAATATTAAAAGTTATTTAAAACATGAATTGGATTGAAGAAATGATGAGTGACCAATAATGAAATTCTGTATCTTACTTAGATCAAAATAAGTAAGATATATTGGTCTCTGCTGAAAAAAATACAGTATCATTTTATCAAGATAAAGATACCATCACCAGGTTGACGATTTGATCCCATATCATTTTGAGTGGAATATGTCAAACCCATCTCAATTTTTTTTTATATCTCACGTATTTTTTAACGATATAATAAGGTAGTATGTAGGAATGGGGCGCAATATTATTAACTAATATATCTTTACATTTCATAATGAATTAATACAGTGTTATGATTTCTTTACGTGTAGTTGAAATTATCACTAACTATCAATAGTATTTAATTTGAAATGTTAAAATTATATAACAGATCTTACAAAAATAATAGTGAAAAGTTAATCGGCGGATTTTCCTCAATTGATACTGATTATCTTTTAAGGTGATATTTTAACAGTCGTAAAAAAGATAAGCATATGAAAACAAATCGGTTACACAACAACATAAAACGAAGTAAAGCAGAACATTTTGGCCTTTGTAATATTGTTCGTAATACAGTTTTTTAATATTAAATTATATGAATATGTGTAATATAATTATATGAGCTTATTTTCGCTTGAGTTTTGTTGGCTCTTTAAAATTTACCTTTACTTCACACGTGAACAAAAAGTATCATTAGTTTTACCTAATACGGATCCATTGAGCGAGTTCAAATAAATAAAAATAGCAAGATTAACTGAAATATTTCAGTAATTTATTGATTGAGTCGATTAGAAAACATCCAAAATAATAACTAAATTATTCGATCAATTAAAAAAGTCTATTCTTTTGTTCGTAATATTAAAATTTCATATTCTATGCATTCTATAAATTACGCCTGACGCATATTATGCTGATGTACCTATTTTATACTTTTAGGAAAACGTGAGTGTGCGGGATATTCCATCCACACTTTGAAACGTGGAGAATTCTCGTTTAATTTTTAAAATATACAAATTATTAATATTTAAATTAGCAACCCAATACCTCATAAATACAAAGAATCGGTTCTACCTATTACAAATCCGTTGAATAATGCTTTTCTTATATTGGCGCCCATTACTTTGCTATTTGTTCAGATGGGGTCGTATAACCTCTAGATGCAACATGAGGATACTAACCATAATAAATGAAAGAAAACAACTCAATTCAATGCGTACTATTTTATTCACACCTTTATTATGAAGACAGAACCTATAAATAGAATTTTACGAGACCGCTTTCTCGGCTAAATAATATATGCGTGCGTATTAAAAAAAAAAATTGGATGTAGACAAAACGATTTAACGATGATAAAAGTTATTTTACGTATAAACGTACGAAACTCATACTTGGCGCCCTAAGCAAAACACTGAAATGACGCCCAAAAAAAATCACTACAAAATAAAAGATAACATAATGTATGCTCACCGATTAAAGAGTGTAATTTTGCCAATGACAAAAGAAACTCCTTAGGTGATCCTTAGATGGTCTGAAAATTCTATGCCTACAGGCAAAACTAAAAAATATTTTCTAGAGAAAACATTATCTGTTTGCCATACCATGCTGCCCACCAAATACGACCACCCTATGCGGTTGCCTAGTTTGTCTATATGGATGGTCTTGCACCCAAGTGTATTGGTGTTTTTGTAGGCTCTAATTGGTCTAGCATTCTCAATTGGATTCATAGTCGGGCCATTAGCTGGAGCGTGGTTCGCGAAGAGCGGCGATATTACATTTGGTGCTTGGGGAGAGAAGCCCGCCTACTACGCTCTTTCTCTCGCCGTAGCGAATATATTCGTCGTTCTATTGTGTATACCGGAGACATTAGCGAAAGTAAGTTTTAAGGTAAACTACAACACTCAAACAAACACTCTGCTCTTAGGGCAGGCGGAAAAACCGACAGTGCGAAAATAAAATAATATTATATAATATTAAGATCGTGTTTTGATCCCAGCACTTCGCTCAACGGGCAAACGATCTACCTAACGATAAATTGTATATGTTTCTATAATTTTTATTCGATCTGCCACCAACTACGGAGCGATAAATGTGGGGTCTAGTTCGCGTAGTTCATCTGTGGGATCGTTCTTTCGAACTAGTTCTTTCGCGAACAACATAAAACTATACGCAATATACGAATAGTTTTTTGCCTGCTCTAGGAAGTGCTCTGTTCAGCAGAGCGATTTTGTAAAAATATGAACCCGAATTCACTTTGAAAACGAATCCGCCTAACTTATATTTGTACACTCATAGGCACAATTAACCGCCCACCTTCTATTTCTTTCAATTCGCAGAAATCGCCAAACTTAGACCATATTTTATGAAAGGAATGTTAAAAACTACACTTAAAGAAAAACAACATAATATTGGAATAAAAGTCTTTTGTTAAAGAATGCTTACAAAAATCGATTTTAGAAAATTTTAAAATTTTGGTTTTGAAAATAATGGGGCAATTGAAAGAAAAAAATAAAAATTAATAGTAACTACCTCGGGCCCTTGTGACTTCTTGGAGCCAGTTTGTCAATCCATCCATGATGTCTTGGATATCCGATTGGGGGATATTATGCCACTCCTATACTGCAGCAATTTTTAGTTCTCCTATAGTCGTAGGGACTGGTACTCTTGCTAGGAGACATACTTTAAGGTTGTCCCAAATGTGCTGTATTGGATTTTGATTGGGAATGCGTGCGGGCCATGGTAAAACTTGAATCCCGACCTCAATAAGGTTGTCATACATTAATCTGAAGTTGTCACCAATAAACGAAACGAAAGGTATGACATGGTCTTGAAGAACTTCTTACACGTATCTTTGAGCTACACTTCATTTATCGAACACATCAAGATCAGTACGAGGCTCATAAGAGATACCTCCCCATACCATTATGACAATGAGCATACAGTATAATTTTAAATTAAACAATATTCGCCCACTGTGATATAAAACAACAGGAAATGTTAACTCAGTAACACAACAGCAACAATTTAAAACAATGACTAAATTCCGAATTTTGTGTCATCGAAGGGCGATGACAAAAATTTAGGAAAAAAAAATAATGGTAGTTTTATTTATTACTAGACTACCCACTTAATAAAAATCAAAACAGTTGATAAGCCATATTTGACGGAACCAAACAAAGTGACGAATGATACAGGTAGGCGGTTATTTGTGCCTGAGTGTATTAAGTGTAGAATTTTATTGATCTCATTTTTTGTTTATAGATACAAAACAAGATTGATTGTTTCATACGTGTCTCAGATATTCTATCCCTATGCCATTTCGAAACTCTTCACTTATGCCACCTGAGTGAATTTGAATTCTGGTTCGGATTTTATGGAATCGCAGTGCGTATGGGCGCGTTTTGCCGTTCCGCTTACTAAAACGGAGTAAGCGAGACGGCAATACAATCGACTGACCTTGACTAGTAGTATACTTAAATAAATCCTTGTCTATGTATAAAATAATGGATGATTTGTAAAATGTAAACTTTTATTTTTGTAGGTAATCATTAAAATAGGTATTTACCTATGAAATTGCCGTTCTGCCGTACTGGCCATTTCATATATTTTTTTTTCTTATTTGGAATTAAATAAGAACATGAAATTCTTTTTTCTAAAATCTTCATTTGTAGTACTTCTTGGTGATCGTCAAATCAAAGATCGACGTTATGCTGTTGACATACGAGTGAATTTGGTTTAATTTTAGAACGTTATGGAAAATAGATAGTTATTGTATAACTGAATCACGAGTGATCGCGGTTCAGGCAGATCACTAGTTGAATAACTGTCTATCGCGAATAACGTCCATCGCTAATTTGTTTAAAAGTTAGTGTTTTGTTGTCAACGCATTAGTATATTTCCAAAATTCAATACCCGAGAGGCAGTACAAAATGCCTATGAAGAATTTGTTGCCTCCCGTCCAGCTGATTTCTTCAAGAAGGGCATCAATAAGCTACCAATGCGTTGGCAAAGGTGCATTGATTGCATGGGTGATTAGTTTGATTAATAGAAATAAAAAATATAGAACAAAATACGCTTCATTTATTTCATGTAAAATGGCAATTTCATAGGTAATGGCCCAATAAATTCATAAACTCAATATTTTTATAGCTGTCTAGTGTTTATATGTTAGTACTATGTAATACTTAATAACAACAAAGTAATTCCATAGCTTAATTTCTTCTTATAGCAAATAACATAACTTTTTCACCGCCATTATATTTTTTTGAAATATTCTTTTCAGTGCTTTGTTTTTAATTCTCTACTATTTTCAGGAAAAACGTGCACCTCTATTACTTACGCTTTCTAAATCTGTGGATTACGTCTCACCTTGGCATTTATTAAGATTTACAGCTGTGAAAAAGCTATCCTCTCACCAAAACAAAGTTCTAAACAAACTGGGTCTTATTTACTTCTTATATTTATTTATATACTCGGGACTCGAGTTCACTATAACATTCCTGACTCACCATACATTCGGTTATACTGCAATGCAACAAGGAAAAATGTTTTTGGTAATAGGTAAGTTTTGCAATCAGTGCTAGCAAACCAATCTATTTTATTAATTCAATTGTCTCAGCTGCCCAAAACTCGATTTGAATCCATAAACTTTCGCTAACCCGACGATTGCTCAGTTAAAGTTACTTAATAATGGAACAAAATTGTTTTACCATATTAAAAATCTTAATATTAACTGCGTATGTATATCACTTATTCCTTAATGTTATACAAAGTTACATAAATCCACGTTACGTTTATTAGTAATAATAATCAGTCTAGCTATTCTGTTAGAAATAACCTCCAACTCGAAGTCTAACTCACCGCTGTCACGTCATAAAGTTTCAAAGAAATACAACCTTTAGTGCGTTCGGTCTAGACTGTTATTATAACAGAATAACACTGCTGGTATCTTTGGTATAATAGCTTGTCTTCATAAAATGTAATTACATTATGTTTTGATCGCGTTCTGTAAGAGGTGTACGTTCTAAGTTGAAAGTGACTATAGATCTTCTTACATACTTATTGTTTTTTATACTTTTACTCGTGTAATTTGCATTAACATTATGTAAACAGAGATGACTGTTTGATGCCAAAATAAATTTAAAAAAGTTTAAATATTTCTGTCAACTGCTTGGGTAAAATACTTGTGACATTAGAGAGTTTCTCCAAGATCTCGGTACAATATGTAGAGAAATCCTTAGCGAAAGCTTTCAAAATTAACGGGTTCGAATCCTGTGTCGAGCTGCTTATTATTTTTCTTGAAGATAATTTCCCGTTTAAATCAAAGCTTGTTGAATATAGTCTCGAAATCTTTATTTTATGACTATATTCGTCTCTATAGTCATGTTTTTTATTTTAGGTTTAATAATGGCAGTATTGCAAGGTGGCGCTGCTCGTCGACTCGGTGCAGTCGGCGCGGAGAAAGCTGCGCGTGCGGCGCTCGTTTTAACTCCTCCATCGTTCCTTTGTATTGCTCTCGCTGCGTTGCCGCACTCAACTATATTTCTGCCCAACACCTGGCTTTGGATTGGGCTTGTATTGTTCGCCATATGTAAGTAAAACAAAGCCAGCTTTTTTGTGTCACAGGCGGAATGCATAATGCATTATGCTTGATAGGCGGCTGATGTTTATGTAGAAAATTGCAGCGCTAGCGTCCAAGATCTGTCAAAACGCGGATGGCTTTCCCACAAAATCCCTTGCAAAAGCACGCTTGGGGGGAAGGGCTTGGGATTCAGTAAGGACTACTACCTACACACCCAGCGTCCAACTGTCAATGAATCTGCAAACGTTATATTTTTCTTGAATATTCGTAACTTTCAGTTGTCAGGGCGGCAAAATTAGACAAACAGTAGCTGTTTTATCAATATTATCTTAGTATTAACTTAGGAAAATACTTGGGAGAAAATAATGTCACTGGCTGAACTTTCGCTAATTTTGATTAGATTCCCAATTGCTCAGAGCTTTCAGTCAATTAGGGAATGTTTCCATTCTCGACTATTTTAAGATTTTTTCATTTGCAAATATATAGAAATGCAAAAAATAAATAAAGTAAATGAATAATTTTTGTACTATTTTTTGTTAACGTGTGTTTTACGACTCACGTTTCCTTTATGATATTTCAGTATGTTGTTTGTAACTATTTTCGTGATTTACAGTCACGAATTATTACTCGTTTCGCAATTAGAACAATATACTTATCAATAGCATGGAGTTTGTACGATAATCATGTTATATGATAACTAGATGTTTCCCGCGACTTCGCCCGCATAAATTGTAGCCTACATCACCCGTGTATGATTTAGAGACCCTTAGGTGAAAGAATTTTAAAGTTGGTCCAGTAGGTTCGATGCTAATAAACAATTAAATCGTTCCTCTTTATAATATATTGTGGCCGCCAGCGACTTAGTCCGCGATTTCCATTATTTCTTCGCTCCTAATAGTTGCAGCGTGATGTTATATAGCCTAAAGCCTTCCTTGATAAATAGTCTATTCAACACAAAAAGAATTTTTCAATTCGAACCAGTAGTTCCAGAGATTAGCGCGTTCAAACAAACTCTTCAGCTTCATAATATTAGTATAGATATTGATTAATCTTAGAAAATCTGAAACTCTTGTGAAAACGTTCTATCGTGTTAAGCAGCGGTTATATACAGCCTACCACGCCTCGCGCGTTATTAGAGGGATTTATTAGCGCAGTCCCGCGTGTCATACATAGGTATGTATTAGTGCATAGGGCGGGCTGAATATGGTTTAATTTACACCTTCAGCACTGACCCGTGTACATGCGGTTAAGAGCCATATTACATCGCAACTGTGATTTCTGCATGATTTTTCTCGGAAACAAAAACAAATTAACAATTTTGACTTGTTGAATAGTGAAGAATAACTCTTGGTATAGAAATTAGTGGCTCAACTTTTTGGAAATTTTGCTCATCTTTTTAATTAAATCCAAAATACCAGACAAAGTTTTTCATAAAATGCGCAAATACACTTTTTTGAAGTCCTGGAATGAGCTACTGTTCTTAACAAACGAAATAAAAGAAATAGAATGATATCTCTTATATAGTCGTAAAGTAAACAGTAGCTCGAAATTTTGAAATAGCACTGATTAAATATAGAAAAACAATTATATTACAAACCAAAAAACATCAAAAATTGCTTGAAGTTAACGTTGAATTTCTCTTAGCCACAACAATATTATTTAACAAAATTTATGCCAGATTAATGACTATTTCATAAGGAACAAAGTTATTATAATTTTAAAGCATAAATTTATTATATTATTTCAATAAATACGATAAATTTAAACGCAAAATCACTACAAAATAAGATGCAGCGGCCGTCTGAGCTCAGTACCGCGCGAGCGCTCCTCAACGTTAGACCTGTGTCGCATTTCTTCGCGCCATTTTTCGATCTAGATACGTTCGAGCGAGCGTAAATAGAGCAGTATAGTGGGACTTCCAACTTTGGTCACGAAGTTCGATTTATATGGAATTTATATAGCTTATTGAATTATTTCTAATACACATTTGTTATTTTCAGCATAGGTCGAAAGACCCCTAGGTATATTTGTATAAGAAAGTTAAAATATATATTTATATTATGAAATGCAAATAAAGCAAGGTACTTCTTCTCTCAATACACTTATACTAGTACATAAAATTGGAGTGCATATTTGTAATATTAAAATAACCGCTTTTCACTAAATACATTTGTGTGTATACATGGTACATATACAAAAATAATATATTTTATCTGTCTGTCTGTTAGTTCTGGCTAATCTCTGAAACGGCTTGGCCGATTTTGAAGAGACTTTCACTAGAAGTTGATTTACGTAATGAGGATTAACTTAGACTTATGGCTCGATGCAATTCGACCGATATCAAATTTATCGGAGATCCGCATATGAAACAACTTTTTCTAAATTCAATATATTTTTAATCCCGGACGCAAAAACGACGCGGTGTTATAAGTTTGACATGTCTCTGTGTGTGTGTGTGGTGTGTTTGTGTCTTTTTGTGGCATCATAGTTCCCGAACGGATGAACCCATTTTGATTTTGTTTAAAAGGTGTATTAGTCGGGAGTGTTCTTCACTTTGATGAAAATCGATACAAGATGGCCGCCGCCACATAATGTCGGATCACATATTTTATCACCATTCCATCAATATGGGTATCAAATAAGAGGGCTTGAGTAGTAGAATACTGAACACTATGACAAATTTCAAATCCAAGATGGCCGCCACCAAAAATGTTGGATTACCTACATATTTTTCACGACTCCCTCAATACGGACATTAAATAAAAGGGCTTGAGTAGTAGAATACTGTTTACTATGACAAAATTTTATATACAAGATGGCCGCCGCCACAAAATGTTGGATTATCTATTTATTTTGTACACACATACAATTTCATATGAACAAATGTAACAGACATTAGTACAAGGGCACTGCTTATTTCAAATTGAAATTTCTACCAGCAGGCCCAAAACAGGAAAAAGAAATACAATAAGGTAGTCAGTGTGTACCTCCTAAATAAATTAATATCGAATAAAAAAAACAAATTCAAATACCGGGAAAGAGAGAAAATAAAAATACATAAAGTCTAGAAGAATTAGAACTGTAAGAGCTTTATTCTCCATAGCCCAACGAATATCATCAGTAATGTTTATTAAAGCTGTTACAGTACTGTGACCAGGGCGGAAACCAGATTGGTACCTATTCAAAAGGGAATTAGAAAAAAGAAAAGTTGATAATTGCTTATGAACAATATGCTTAAGAAGTTTAGAGAGAAGGGGAAGAATAGAAATAGGACGAAAATGAGATGGGACTGAAGGATTAGATACTTTAGGCAGTGGAATAATGTGCGCCATCTTCCAAATTTTGGGAAAAGAACCGGATTCAAGTGAGAAGTTAAGTATGTGAACAAGTATAGGAAGGAGAAAAGATAAAATAGGGGTAAACATTCTTACGCTTAGGTTGTCCTCGCCAGCAGCCTCGGAAGAAATGGCTTGAATGGTATTTTTAATGTCAGTTTCGGATATTTTTGAAAAGAAAAAACGATGTGCTGTCTGGCCTCGGAACCAGTGAAAGTTCTGCGAGCGTAGAATCCTTTATGTCACCATCGATAGTAGAAGGAGGAAGGGAGAAGTGTCTGTTAAGGACGCTTAAATCTACATTAGTAGACACAGTAGCAGTAGATTTCCCCACTCCTACAGAGCGCAAAAACCGCCAGGCATCAGTAGGATTGCGATCAGTAAGAGAGCTACGGAAGAAGCGTCACTTAGCATCCCTACACATACGACTGCAGCAATTTCGAAGAACCTTAAAACGAATAAGATTGCGGTTAGTTGGACGTTTCTTATATGCTCTTTTTGCCTTATCTCTTTTTTGACCACCAAAAAAATTGACCACCCATCCAATTGCCGGCCTTTGCAATCGTCGCTTAACCTCCTCAATCGCAGATCAAACGAGCTATCTGGCACCATCGAGCTTTTCATTTGTTTATATACGGATATTGCCGTATTTTTTTGTAAAATTCAATATATTTTGATGATATGGTAAGTATGAGCAAATGAATCGTTCCTCGATATTATTGAACAGAAAATCAAAAGCAGATCGAGCGTTCTACCACCTTCGTACATTTGAAGTGATACCGCAGACCATGAGATTTGTGACCGATATTGACAGATAGTACAATCTCATGAGCAAACACTTGAGTTTTTCCATACATTTTATAAGTGCATGCTATTCGTGTGATATCGTTCATTCATATCGAATAACATCGCATCTAGCCATGAGAAAAGAACCTTAGGTTACTTTCCATTCGCATAAAGCCGCGGGCACAACTAGTTTAATACAATTCTAATTTACTACTTTTCCAAACAGGAAACAGTCCATGTTTCCTATGGATGACGAAAATATTTCGAAATCGTCGACGAAAAATATGGCACGAATATTTTTTAATTAATATTTTAATTTTATTGATATATTGTCATCGCTATTTATATTTATAGCCTATGATTTGGCTAAACTTGTTTCTTTTAATTTTTGTCCGATCTTAGCAGTCGTGTTTTTAATTTTTAAATATTTTTTATATTTTATTCATTTTAGTGAGCAGTTAATTTTGTATACAGATTATATATTTTTAATGGACCTTTAATTTGATACCCATAAAGTTATGATTACAAAAAAACATACTTTTTAAATGGCGTCACGCGTCCCCATACCTATTTAATATTAATAATTAAGCTAGTTTTACTGATACTCTATGTATTTTGTGGTAACTTAGGATGATGTTTCTAATGATACCCTGTACATTCATATCCGTTATATCTTTCAAAAGTTATGGTGCAATAAAAATACTCACATACATACATTAATTCTAAAAACAATAGACTCCTTTTCGAGAGCAGTCGTTTAAAATATTCGAGAATCGATAGTGAATCTCACCATAGAAATACTAAAATAAATACAAAAATTGGGAAAAGTATCAAAATAGCTTGAACGTGGTTTCAACACAGTATTGTGGACTCGTGACCTTGAACAAGTTCTCGAGAACTCAAATCACAGAGTGAAAATTTGTCATATGGCTCTTAAACCGCATAATAATAATAAATTAATAGAAAGAACCAATTTAAGAGTTGCCAATCCAAGTAGTGGGAGACTGGAAACTGTCACTGAGTTTACTACTGAGTTAACTACTCTTTATTTTCAGTTACCAGACTCCCCCTCGAAGAACACCGTAACATTAAAAAAATATATTTTGAGATTACAAATATTATTTATGTGTGTTGTGTGTGTGTGTGTGTGAGAGAGAGAGTCTCCCTAAATGTGTCCATACTATGTAAACAGTTATATAAAATGTTCAATTACCCACATAACAGTCAACAATGTCTTGCAATACTTTCCGCAAAATTGTATCCCCATATTTATAGCAAAAAAATAATTGAATTTGTCGACAAGAGATCATGCGATGTATCGTTTGTAAGCTTACTTTGTGCTTTTGAAACGGTAAACAAGAGAACTTAGATGCTTAGCGAAAATTGTACATAACAGCTGATTTCCCGTGACTTCGCACGCGTTAATTATAGCCTATGTCAACCCCGTATGATGTAGCTAGCCGTAGGTAAAATAATTTTTAAAATCGTTCAAGTACTTTTGGAGCTTATTCAATGCAAACAAACAGTCTTTCCTCTTTATAATATTAGGATAGACACGTTACATAACTTTGTTTATTAACATACATCTCCTTGTTATGTAGTTTAAGGTGGAGGCCGTTAGAAAAAAGGTATTTGCCACGTACTATTCACTAAATAGACTACGCAACTTTTTGCCTACTAGAACTAAAGTCTCTTTAGCGTATTCGTTATTATTATCGATCATAGACTACGCTGATGTTTGTTACACGGATCTATCAGAGGAACTTCTTAACAAATTGGAGCGTCTGCAGAATATTTGTATCCGATTCATTTTCAACCTTCGTAAATTTGACCATGTGTCGAATTTTCGTTCCAGATTGTCTTGGCTCCCTATTCGCCGGCGCAGGGACTTACATACTTTAAAGTTACTATATTCTATACTTTTCCTACCTTCCTCTCCACATTATCTCAAACAATGTTTCTCTTTTCGTTCTTCTTTGTCACTGAGTTCCTTGCGATCCTCATCCAACCTCACTTTGGACATCCCGCGTCATACTTCCGATTTCTTCTCCTATTCCTTTTCTGTACATGCTGTGCGTTTATGGAATTCTCTCCCGGAGGATGTCAGGAACAGTCGCTCTCTAAATTCTTTCGGCGATCGAGTTGAAAGCTATTTCCTTTCTCTATGCTAATGCTATTTACTTATACTTTCTTATTTAAAATGTATGTAATATATGTGTAAGATATATCTTATCCCTTCTGACTATTGCACCCAATACCCCATATTTTGCCTTTCCTTTTATTATTCTCCTCCATAGGTTGCCTGGAAGAGATCGCTGTTTAGCGATAAGGCCGCCTTTTGTGTACTCTGTATTGTTTACCGTGTAATTTCGTTTTGTTTTCCTGTCTGTATGTGTGCAATAAAGATTATATTATTATTATTATTATTATTAAGACTAACCTTAAAACGGATATAGAATTGTATGTCCACATTTCTATATGTAGTTTAATAATGCGCGATATTTTTAGCGACTGCGTTTGCAGTATCGTGTATGACGTCAATGGCTGCGGGACAGGCTCCTCAGGAAGCACGCGGTGCGGTGTTGGGCAGCTTACGTTCACTAGGTGCACTAGCAAGAGGAACGGGCCCTATGGTTGCCGCATCAGGTACTATTATATTAAATTTATTTAATGTTTTCTTTAATAGAATTTGAAAGCAAATCTATTTAAGATGTTTGTGTGTTAACTTTTGACTTTCTTGCTAATATTATTTACAATTAGTTACTTGACATTTCGAGCCGTAACGTCACATTTCAATAAACATACTGGTTGCACTCGCAGCACAGAAGTTGCGCGTAGGGTTTTTGTAGTTGTAATTCATGTATTAAAAATTGCTAGTTAATTTTGCTAATGTTTACATTATAAGTTACCATTTCCAATGCATTTCATAATTTATTAGTAATATTGTCAACTATCCGATTTTATCAAATACAGATAATTAAAAAATGATGTTATAAATAGTTAATTGTTTGCAGTGTACTGGTGTTCGGGTGCTGCGATTACATACGCAATTGGTTCAGCGATTTTAATAATTCCTGCTGTGATGATATATAGACTGAAAATTTAAATGTACTTTTATCGCATATACAGTACCTATATATAACAAGCAATAACACTAGAACTAAGTCACAATGAACAATTCCATTAGTTAATTTATTATCTTTTTATACACTTTTTGCCTTATTGTATTTTTATCATAAACTCTATTGTGTTGTCTCGAATAACAGTATTAAATTATTTTACAAATGAATACATTCGTTTCTTTTGCTTTAAATAATATTTTCAGCTCAGTATTAGTAATAAGCAAAAAAAGGAAGATTTATTCGTATAAACGAATATATATAAATTTATACGTACAAATTAACCAAAAACTATATTGTTGGCGTCATTTACGCATTGGTTGGGCGATAGGACACAATATATAAGAGTTGGGCGATAGGACACAATATATAAGAATCCTTTTTTTCTTATAAGAGTGAGTTATGTTATTACCGTTGCCGATGTTTTTCTGCATTCTTTCGCCCATATTATATCTTCTCGTCTTTTTTATTCATCACGGATAAGTCATAAATGTCACGGTCAGATCAATGAAATACGTTTTTAGTTCATGAGATATCGTTATAACAGCACATTATTATTATTATTAGACATACCTCTGTATACAAGACATTAATTTGTAATATAATATTACAATTTAGTCATAAAACAGATATTGTTACAATATTACATTGGGGTTTATTATGTCCATATTATTATTATATTAATATCTATGATCTCTACAAATAAATGACTAGGTCAGATAAGTTAAAATAAATTTTGGATAAATTTTATTATTAATTTAATCTAATTTTACTTTGGGGTGAATACATTTTTGGTTATATATAACTAAGAATTTCATTAATACTTTGAAATAAATCTTTGTGCCAACATCGCAAGCAGTACCTATTGACGAAAACGGAAAAAATATACTTGTTCTTTTTTTTGCGGTTTTGTTTAAACTTATAATAGATATCAAAGAAAATTCAGTAACCTCTTGTTATATACAATTAAAGAGTGATATCATTACAATAAAACTCAAACAATATTCAAAGTAAGTTATCTATGGTTAGCTATAATCACAGTGACAGCGTTTTGTGATGTGATATCTGTTGCTATGGAAACGGCTTGTTTTATTTTTTTGCAGCACTGAAGTGGTATAAAAATAAAGGAAGCAATTTTAAACATATATACCTACTATAAAATAAAAGTATGTAACTTAATTTTTATTTGGTTCTTAGTTCAAATAAAGCATATCCGTATCTAATTATAGGAATTTAAATGTGATATTTTTTACATTAACTTTTGTATTAAAGAATAATGCCGCTATTCAGCAGCAAATTTACTGCTAAAACTATACCAGTAAGAAAACAAGATACATCGGTGATTAAAAATGAGTTTGGTAGTGATTATGCATCAAAAGAATTATCACTTGATATCGGACCACTGACACTGAAATTAGGAGATTTTGAAGTGTCTTTTGAGGAAGGCCAATGGATTCCAGGTTAGTATTTTTAATAGGCTTTAACAGTAAATATGATTAGAAATAGATTATTCCGTTGAAGAGTCGCTCACACGTTGGTTTCAAGGTAATGTCACCTCTGGCGGGACCTTAGAGATTAATTATAAGCCCGATTAAAAAGGACAATTTTTTTTTGGTGGTTTCGAATAAGTTTGAAGGAAACAACGCTTTATAAGCGAATATTCTTTGTCTATTAATAGAATAGAAAATTACCTTTGATTATATTAAACAAAGAAAATCTACAACTAACGGGAACTACATAGAAACGGGACTGATACGTAATTCGAAATATCAACAGTTTTTTTCCTTTAAAGGGTAAATAATAACGTTCTAAATTTTGAGCATGTGGCTCAGAGCCTGTTCAATGGGAGTCAAACCGGTAATAGTACCTACAGGGCGGCATTCTTAATTTTCTTTAAGTGCAAATTTTTAAAGCTTGAGTATGCTAAAATGAAATGTCACGCTCATGATTTTATCGTTATTAGTGTTAGTGTTTCGCGCTTAGTTACGTTTCACGCCAGATAGTATTTGAAAACTACACGATTTCAAAAAAGCAAGTGAAAACAAAACATAATCAATTCTTCTTTTGATAGCATCAGGCAAAGCGGGAGTGGCGCACAAAGAAAATCTGAGACTTAAAAAAGAACTAGAAAGACTAGAAGAAGAAAACAACATGCTGCGTCTCAAATTTGAGATTCTGTTAGATATGATGACTGATAAGACTGTGGAAGCTGAACAGCAAGAATTACAAAGAGCGCAAAGTATGGGTTCTTTAAAAACAAAAAGTAAAAAACATAAATGGTAGCATCTGACATCACTTTATATAATTAATATACTATGAACTGACTCTTAGTAACAAAGATGTCTTCTTCCTAATTATTTGTTAAGCTTTAAAAGTAAGGGCATTTGAAGTATTTTCATTTTATTTTGTATAAGTATACCTTTCTCATATTCGTTGCCATAAAAACAAACTAAATGTGGTTTTTATGGCAACGAATATGAGAAATGATACTGGGGTTTATGCTTAGGGTTGGGTTGCTAGATAGGTCGACTGAATTTATTTGGACACAAATTTCAAAATGTCATTATAGGACATAGTCGGAACAGAAATCGATGTTTCCGATGTCTGCAAAATATAGCTGAACAAAAAAAAGGCCTCTTTACAGAAACATTTCACTATTTCGTGTAGGCTGGTTAGCCGGTGCTGATCGATTGAAATAATTACTTAAACTTTGGATGTCAGGACTTTTTCTTTTTTATTTTCTGGACATCATCCGAAATGTCGGGTCAACCCAAACTCATTTCGATCATCTAGCAACCTTATGCTCATTGGAAGACATCAACAAGCCGGACTTATATAGCCTGTCAAAGTTAAGACATTTATGACTGTTTGCTCTTTAAAGATAGCCGTTATATTCATTTAATTAGGTATTTTCATAAAATAAACTACAAATCTTAACATATGAAATTTATTTTTTCATTTTAACATAAGAATATAAAAAGCGGAGTACGTATTTATAAAATAAATCAAAAATTAAATGGCATAGTTATATACTATGTCTTTCTAGATCTCATGAACTGTTGTTCCACTACCAGGGCTGGCTCCAGGGTAGAGCTGAACTTTAAGAAATGACCTTTTTTATAAAACAACCAAACTATCCATATCAGCACCTTTTGAACAAGACCCTTCATACAAATTACCTATATTTGATGGGTCCGCTGTAGTTCCGTGCTTGTACGTTTATTAATATTATGACGCTTAGGTCGTTCCACTCGACTTTCCGGGAGCTGGCCCTCCATACACCTTTAGCATTTCGTTTATTAATTTTATTTACAATAACGATATTAATAAGTAACTCCTTTTAAAAACTAAATACGGGTAGTAATGTTTAAATTGCTTTCTATAGAATTCGTATAGGGTTCGTAGTTATCAAAATATTTTTTTTTTTATAATTATTATGGTTGTTATGTGATAAATATCTGATAATTATCGGTTGACACTGGCAACAATTTTTAAACAACAGAAAGGCATTAATAATGGCATAATCTTATATTTTGTTGTTTTAAATTATACAAATTAAACGATAATTATACAAATTAAACGATAACGATAATTATACCTGTTAAATCAAAACATTTTTTAAAGGAGGTTTTTAATTATTTTTTTTTGCTTCTGTAGGTCCATCCTAGACAATTTTATCTATCAGAAACACTATATTTGATAGTTGTTTGAAGAAGATTCCCCTTTAACAACAAGTCTTAAAGTACAAAAAGAGTTTGCGTAGTGTTTTATAATTATCAAGGTATATTTATCAAGATAAATCGTGATAATTATCACTCCGAACCCTGTTTACCATTATGGGTACGACGTGGTCATGGACGTGGGGATAAAGTACACGTTACTGATTATTGGGGCAGCGGCTGCGCACGTGTCCCTCCTGGCGACAGTGGCCGCAGCGTCGAGCGCGCGGCTCCCCGCCCCCGCCCCCGCCGCCCCGACCTCGCCCCCTCCCGCGACCCCGACCCCGCCACTCACCACTACCACCCTCTCCCCAATCTAAACAAAATATCGTCAGTTTTAAGACTAATTGGATCCAATATTTGTTCTATATACAGTTAATACATACATATTTGTAATTAGCAACGTCCGATTCCAATAAAGATGTATAAGTCAATATCAAATAATGTCGTATGTATCAATTAGACTCGAGACACTGCACAGGTTATTTGTGGGTTTGAACAATTAAAATTTCTTAAATCTTAAACTTAAGTTTAAATGTACAATTTTTAGTAATATTAAAAATTTTAAAAACTATGGACATTGCCTTTATCCGTACCATATTGCGTCATGTCAAAAAATAATGTTTTATTTATATATATTTACCACTGGTTTTTAAGCCATATTTTTAACTGCATTAAAATCGAAATATAATTATAATTAGTTTTTATTTTATCTAATTATGAAAAAATACATTGCGTATTTTATTAGAAAATCAAAACAGCATAACGGACACCGTTGTTTTTGACATTTGGATGTTTTATGTAGGTTGATCGATGTTTTTACTACATTTTAGTCGTACTGCTATTTTTAATGAACAAATCTATTGACGGTATTTGGATAGTTACTTTTGTATTGTGGCTTATAGTGATTTGCCTGAACCGCGATCACTCGTGATTCAGTGATACAATAACTATCTATTTTCCACAACGCTTTAAAGTAAAGCTGAATTCACTCTTAATTAAATCACTTAAGGTTGATGTTTGGGCGATTCGCTTTACAATAACCGAGATCAACAAGTCGAATACGTTAAATTAATATGGATCGTAAACAATGCAATTGTCATGTGTGAAAGAAACAACAACAGGATGTCAGTATACGTGTGAATGAAATAGGGCATACGTTTGTACGTGTAGTTCGACTTTCGGAGTGATCAAGTAACCAGCCCAAAAATGAGCTTTATCGCGTTTGCATAAGAGTAAAATTCGATTTGCTTTTATAGCGTTGTGGTTATCAAAAATAAACAGTTTGATATCAACGATTGGATAGCGGCTGTCTTACGTGATTAAAAAAAAGGATAACGTCCCATCGCTAATAGTTACTCTGTGTTGAGATAGTCACTCTTTTTGGAACACTCCGGTCGATTTTTATGGTGCCTGCTTATTTGTTAAAGATGAATAGAAAAATAAAAGTTCAGTTGTGTTTTATTACGCAAGTGTAGTAATCTATATTATGCCAATTCACTTCTTAAGTGCGGCCTTAACCCATTAGAAGTCACCGTACTCATTTGAGTACACCTATATTTATTGGCATAAATTCCAGAACTCGTTAAGTGTGCGTGGGATACTTTATTATTTTATTTTATTGTAAGGCCCCTCGCCCACGGCGACTTTTTGTAGCGATGCAGTCGCGATGCTCTCGCGCGTAGCATCGATACAGACGCGAAGCAGTCGCTAGCTGTGTGCCCGCGCCCACGGGACCAGATTCAGTCGCAATGCAAACGCGGTTCGGTCGCGATGCAAACGCGATTCGGTCGCGATGCAGATACGACACAAAAATCTTTAGAAAAATCATATAACAACAACTGATGACCAGATGGTTTACTCATTCTAGAACATCTCATCATACTCAACACTCATCTGCGTTTTTAATGATAAAGTACGGTATATGCGAAGTCCGACTCAAGTACATTGTAACACATTTTGTGTGTGCGGAGGCTCCAATACTAAAGATAAATAAAAAACTTACCACAATCATTCTTTTCTTTATTGGTTTTTTCTCCAAATTCTGCATTGAATAATTCATTTATCTCTTCCCATGCCTTTCTTTTTGCAATCTTATTCGAATACTCAGGAAGACGTGAGTCCCGATCGCGATGCAGTAGTGCGTTAGTAGCGCGACGCGGTCTCGCGCATTTATATCGATACAATCGCGATGCAGTAGTGCGTTAGTAACGCGTTGCAAATGCGACTAACATGCGTTAGAAAAGATGCAGTCGCGCGTTTAGCGAACGCGCGACTGTATCGCTACAAAAAGTCGCCGTGGGCGAGGGGCCTAAGACCCTTTCAGTGTATTCATAAATAATAAGTGGGTAGTGCGACATTTTTTAATAAAAAGTGCTAGTTGAAGTTGTGTTACGGAAACGTCGTCGAGGTAAGTCAACGATTTTAGATTTTTCAAGTAATTGGTGTTTCGAAGTGTTTTATTTCTATTTATTTCGATGCATTAGATGTAAAAGAAAAGTATTAAGAACTGTTAAATAAATCAAATATTACCAAAATAAAACTAGAATCTTGTAAATATAACTGTACTCACATGAGTACACTGACAACATACAATACGTAACTGTTTTTTTTTTCAGATAATTTGCAATGAAAATCAGCAATTTACAGCTCAAACTAGGTACCATGGGCTTCAGGATGCTATCGAAGCTGTGTTGCAGGATAGCGAAGATGACGAATGTGACTTGGCTATCATACCACCTGATCCAAGTGCATTGACCGATGAGGAGGAGGGTGCCGACGAAGATATGGTGATGTGTCCCATACCGCAAGACGTACCTGGTACTATTGAGGTATTTAGGAATCGAGAAGATAATGGTAGCGAGGATTCTGTGCACAGTGACAGTGATGATGAACCACTTGCATCAAAAAAAAGAAGACTTGATACTACCTGCCAATCTTCTTCGAATCTAAACCCATTCTGGCGCAAATGTACCCCTTCATATTCTTCGGCTTTTCAGAGTTCAACAGAAGTCTCTGATAAGAAAAGTGCTATTGGTGAAGAACTAAAGGGCCTCAACCCTGTACAAATATTTGAAAAGATAATGGATGATAATATTATGGATATGATCATATCCAATAGCAAACTATATGCTAACCAAAACAATAGACACGAGTTTCAACTAGATTCCACTAATTTGAAAAAGTTTTTTGGGATTTTGATATTATCTGGCTACCACAAGCTACCTCGAGAACCTATGTACTGGTCGTTAGATGAAGACATAGGTGTAGAATTGGTCAACAAAGCCATGTCGAGACATAGGTTTCGTGATATAAAAAGAAACCTTCATCTTGTAGATAATGACACAGCAGCGACATCGAACGATAAAATGTTCAAAATAAGACCATTGGCCAACAAGCTTATGGAGAAGTTCTTGCAGTGGGGAGTGTTTCACGATTGTATTTCTGTCGATGAATCAATGGTGAAATATTATGGCCACCATCCCGCCAAACAATTTATTCGTGGGAAACCAGTTCGCTTTGGATACAAAAATTGGGTAGCAGCTAGTTCGACCGGATATTGTTACTCATTTGATTTTTACTGTGGAAAATCGCAATCACCAACTTCTGATCCTTTAGGTTCTCGCATAGTCAAAACTTTGTTAGAAAAACTGAACTGTACCTCAGCTAATCATGAAATCTTCTTTGACAATTTTTTACGAGCTATGACCTTTTACTAGAATTGAGAAGCCTAGGCTACCGTGCTACGGGAACTGTACGAGACAATAGGACGAAAAAATGCCCTTTGAAAAGCACAAAGGAAATGAAAAAGTTAGAACGTGCCAGTTACGACTACAGATTTGACAAGACAGGTGAAATATTACTGGTTAGATGGAAAGATAATAGTGTGTGTACCATGGCAACTAACTACGATACCATTGAACCTCTTGGAATTGTCAAACGCTGGTGTCCAGTCAAAAAGGAGAAGATAGACGTAGCCATACCACATTTGTTCCAAACTTATAACAAAAATATGGGAGGTGTTGATGAACTAGACCAGTCGGTCTCATTATATAGAATTGCTGTTCACGGAAAAAAGTGGTGGTGGACATTATTTACATATTTGATAGATATGGCTGTTTCTAATGCTTGGCGTTTACATGTAATGTGTAATGATAATCCTATGGATCAACTCATGTTCCGACGTCACATTGCACGATTTTATTTACGCCAGGGTGCACAAAGAAAATCAAGGCAAGCTGCATCAGTTGTTGAAGGGCTACCTCAAGATGGAGTTGGACATTATCCCCGCAAAATTGATAAACAGCTGCGGTGTGTATTTTGCAGTTCAAGAGTGCGTTGGCAATGTAAGAAGTGCCTAAAGACACTATGTGTTGAAAAAGCGTGTTTTGAAATTTTTCATACTTAGGCGGTCAGTGTACTCGATTGAGTACACCTCAATATTTTCGTGAAAAACAAAATTTTCCATATTTTTTTTAATTTATGTTTTTCTTTGTACTTACTTTTATATGAAAACAAACAAAACGTAAAAAAAATATGTGTAGTTTTCATTTGACCTTAAATGGGTTAAACGCATTTCTATATAAATAATAATGATAATTGGGGTAATAATCACAGTTATTAAATATCAATAATATTATGAGGGCACTTTTCGAATATCTCAAAAAATCTTGATGGAAGTGGAAAGTTAAATAAAAACTTCACTGGTTGAGAGTACATTTGAGTTGATTAAGTTTGTAGCTCGGTGGCGTAGTGGATATGCGCCGCGGCCCGCGATCGTTATCGTCGCAACTTTCGCACGGTCGGGTCGGTGACGGGATGGGTGACCAAAAAATTGTTATCCCGAGCTACTCCGTGCTTCGGAAGGCACGTTAAGCCGTTGGTCCGGGCTGCATTTGCAGTCGTTAATACCCTCCGATCCTCATTAGGCCAGCGTGGAGGGTCATGGCCCATCCTCCTTAACCATCCATAAGAAAGGTTAAGCTCCTGCGGTGGGGACGTAAAAGAGCTGATGATGATGATGATTAAGTTGGTACGAATCCCCATATAAAAAAGGCATTCTCCTTTATGTATAAACAAAAAACCAGTTAAGTGTGTGTTGGAACCGCGCACTTTTGTTGTATGGGAGCCCACTCAAATATTTATTTTATACTGTTATGGCAGCAACAGCAATACATCATCGAGAAAAAAGTGTTCCACGTGTCAAATCATACAAAGATTAATAGCGCATTGGTAAAAAGCTAAGACCCAAAAAATCGTTCCTAGGATAGGTGATCAAGATTTGATCATTTCGAACTTTGAATTTTTGAATGCTTTAAACGCATGTTGGGCCATTGGTCCCAGCTGCATCAGCAGTTAACTAGTATAAGTAAACGTACTATGTGTAAATGTATCTCCACCGCACAGTAAACTAGTATAAGTAAACGTACTATGTGTAAACGTACCTCCACCGCCACTACTGCCTCCGCCATCTGCCCATTGGAAAAAGTTGCAACGAGAACTGAAATCTTTAGGGCATCCGTAAAACTGGCGACCTTTGTTGGGGCCCTCTTTCTGTACTGTCAATCTAAAAATAACAGTGCAAGTAGTTTCAGAAATTATATCGAAAGACTAGACCTCCTTTCGCTCGAATATAGTTTAATAACCCATTCTCTCGTTGCGACTAGCCGTTCGTACCAATGGTTTACACAATTAATAGGCTGATGTTAAAAATATTGAAGTCAAGCCAAGTGAACTTGAAATACAAGAGAAAAATCCCAATGCCTTGTCATTCTCTATTCTATCGATACAGCTAAAAGAACTATATAATATTTAAAATATGTCTTCAATATGTCAGTCAGTAATGCTTAGAAACTGATAACAAAAGTTCTTGTGTAAAGTAAGTAAAGTAATAAAACGGTATGGTAATAGAACAGCGATTCCTTAAATGGAATCTCTATATCTAAGTTGTGACGTCATATTTCAACGTTTGAATATAAAATTACAGCTTACTTTTTGCCTGGCAAGTTGCAGTTGCACATAACGTTTTCCTCGTTCACAGGAAAGTCATCCCTAGAAAAGCTGGGAGTAATACCCCACCCTCTAGTAGTGTCACTACTATTTGACCCTTGCACTGAATCATTTCCCCACGATGTACTAGATGGCGGTGGAGTCTCGAAATTGTTTTGAACAACAGCGGATTCTGGTGCCCACAAAAAGAAATCGCAACCACCTCTGTCTTTACCCATCGAACATTTGTAGAACTTCTTTCCTAAAATTAATGAAAACGAAAATAGACAAATCAAATTATTAAAAGACATTAACTTCTATTTCACATATACATTTCGTAACGACTTAAGTTTATCGTTACAGCTGTTAAAATTTCATAAATTTCTTATTATAGAGCTCGATCACGCATTCGGTCTGTGACGCGGAAGTTATACCGTAGGATGGGTGACCTTCTATGCTTCGGAAGGTACGTTAAGCCATTGGTCCTGGTTGCACCTGCAGTCGATAACACCCACTAATCGGCACTCGGCCCATTCTCTCTATTCGATTCGATTCCATCCATAGGGAAGGCCTGTGCCACATCAGTGGGTACTTTAATAGTCTAATAATGATGATTATTTTTGTCAGACCAAAAAGTCTTGAATGGTTTGTAAAAAAATTTGAAAGATTAAAAAAGATAAAAGTGCTTTCAATTACCGATGGAAATTCGAACTCATGGACATCAGAAGCACCGTGAAAGCAGCATACTACTTTTTTACCAACAAGGTTAATAGAGATTCGAACACATTGACCTTAGAAGCACCATGAAAGCGGCATACTACTTTTTTTACCAACGAGGCTAATATTGGCATAACGTTTGGAATGTTATTACTTTTTTTAAAGTATTTTATGATCAATACAAGACAGAATTGTAAAATATAACTATATTAGACAACATCACATACACTGCTCAGATGTCTGAGTATCTAAGATAACTAAGGCACCGCTACACCCAGACCCGAGACAATTATTATTATCAAGTTGTTTACTCACCATAATTTGCATTTTGCTTCCTTACTGTTAGTAATACAGCTGGTTGGTTACAACCGCATATCACGTTATTGTCGTCAGAAGGGTTATCATTTCTTGGTATTGGCATTCTAGTGACATTAACGGGATTTTGACCCGTATTTGCAGGGGGCGGAGGCACAAATTGTCGTGGATTGTTATTGGGTCTGCTTTCATTTTGTCTTATAGCTACAACATTTCTCGTATCCCTTATAATATTACTGTTTGCCATACTTATTGTGTTATTTCTAATTGGATTAGTAGTTTCAGATCTAGTATTTACGGCTTTCACACTGGAAAGGTTTATTTTCAAGAGTTCTAGGAAAGTTGTATCACAGCCTCCTATACAGGCAACATAAGGAGGTGGGTATAGATGACTAATCGAATTGTTTCTCCATTCAAACTTTATTTTCTTATAATTAGGTCCACACTGAAATAATAATATATGTTGGTTTTTTATTCATAAATACGAATTTTAAAAATGCTTAAAGTATGTAAAAGAATTGAACTATATTGTAATAGTACTAAGAGCTTAGGGAATTGTAAATTGCAATCTAGTTGTGTTCCCATATCTATATGCACAAACGTTGGTTAAATTATACTGCTTTATTATAATATTAAGCCCTATGTAATCTTAAAAAAATGTTTCTAAGTTTTGAAATTGAATTGAAATCAATCTAAGGTTCAAGAAATGGATACCCCACTCTCCTCACTGAAATTTATACATCAGATAATGAAAAAAGTAAATGTTTATTTACATAACAAACATTTCTGAATATCGTTCAAGATATCATGTACGGTAAGTATTTAAAATACAGGTATCAGGAAGTTACCACTCTTCAAGATCAAATTAAAAAGAAATAAATATATAAGTAATAGCTATGTGTGTCTTGAATTCTTAAATATTTCTAAAATCATCACTCACCACTGGACAAGTTTCAGGTAACACAGTTAATGTTTTTACTATGGTAGGAAGCCAAACAGCATTTTTACAATTGGGGTAAGATAGGCATCCAATATAATATTCATCTGCATTATTCTTCTTTTGTCGTACTACCATGTCTGAATTGCATTTTGGACATTTTAGCGCTGTGAGACAAGAAAAGAAACAAATAAGATTATGAAATTGCAACATTAGGATTTTAACAATATACTCGTACACGAAGAACAGTTAGTTGTGATTACAGATATTATCATGGTTATGATATAATCGTGCATGTACGTTATAGCGAAAGATAAAAAAAAATTCAAGTAATTTGATTGATATTTAATGTAATAAAAATACAACAAGCCATATTTGATTATGATATGTTACATTCATAACGATATTTATAAAAAAAAATGTTTACATATATGTATAAAACAAAATCCCTTCCCAATGTCTGTACGCTGAGATCCTTTAAACTACACAATGGATTTTAAAGTGGATTTAATCAATATACAGAGTATTTTAAGAGGAAGGTTTATATGGATACAGGAATAGGGTGAAGTCGCTGGTGGAAATCTAGTATAAGATAAACCAAATTATTTCAAATCAAGGAAAGAAAATTCCGTACCTAACCCCACCTTGGGACCCTTAATATAAATTAGTTGATCGGTTAAAGTATATACATACATTCGAATCTACCTCGAACACCGGAAACAGTTGAATTTATCAGTAAGATAAATATCAATGCAATATTTATTAAACTTGCTAAATCGACATTACCTGAAGGCATTTCGATGGGTAATATTTCATTGCCTGGATTGTATTCATTTGGTCTCTCGCTAAACCTCTCTGCTAGAGCGCTGTCAATTTTATTTGCTTCAGCAGCCACTGTTACATAAACCTCTTTGTATTTTGCCACCTTAAACAAAAAATGAAAAAAAAAACCGTTTAAATAGTCCTATTTTTGTTATCCTAATATGAGAGCCGTTCATTCATTTATGTTGCAAAAAGCGGTAGGTTTTTTTTATAACGCTAACGGTCAGTTGCACAAACGTCCCTTAAGGCTTAATGAGAAGCATTAAACTTTAATGAATGTCATTTTTGTATGGGTAATGTCGCTTTAAACTAATGAAAACTTTAATGGACGTTTGTGCAACTGGCTGTAAGTGTCAACTTAAAAAGTTGCTAGTTCTGTCGATACTTTAGCGTTATTAACATTATTACGAGTATCTACCTGTTCAGATAACACTTGCTGTGGATTTTTTCTCCCCTCGCTTATTGCTTTCAAGTCTGCTTCTAATTGCGCCCTGAGATGAGGCTTGGATATTGTCAAGCCCATGGCGTCGTAACCTTCCACGAGTCCCATGCCAAGTAGTCCAGGAACAAAATGAATGGCATCTGCCAGAGCGACGTATGAACGGTTTTTTATGGTTTCTATGTGTTCCGCGTGAGTAGCGTCAGTTCCTGAAAAGAGGAAGTAACGTCGGACTGCGTGACATACAGTGGTGGCCATATAATTAAGAACGTTCCCTTGAAAATAGTGCATTTACTTAAAAAAACATATTATAGCTTGTTGCATGTATTATTTTTTATTATTCCAAAAACTTTCTACATTGTTGGTACTTTCTTCTATAAATTAGATTTAACAAATCACGAATAAAAAAGTATAAATTACGCAAACGTAAAATCTAATCCAAGAATTACCTCTTACTGGGTGGTCATATAATTAAGAATGCAAACTTTTTATTTTTTTATTCAAATTCAAACAAAGAACACTCTATGATTTTATACTATTTCTCATAAAACTGGTGCCATTTATAAGTGTAAACACAATTGGAACGTAATTATTCAAAATAATAATGGGAAAAAATAAAAGTTGCAACCAATCTACAAGGCAGATTATATTCAAATTTTGGGAGAAGAATTGGTCTTATAAAAAATAACTGACAATCTACAATGTTCGAAATGCTGTTAAACACTTTTACTGCCAGTTGCACAAACGTCCATTAAAATTTTCATTAGTTTAAAGCGACATTACCTAATACAAATTTGACATTCTTTAGAGATTAAAAGCGTCTTTAAACCTTAATGGACGTTTGTGCAACTGACCGTTAAACTTATAACAGTACTTTATATTCCGTGCATGCCACGACCGAGAAAAACATCTCTTCGAGACGACAGAAACATCATTATCCTGGCGAAATTAAATCCTTTCAAAAGGTCTTACGAGATACGAAAGGAATATTTTGGCGAAGGAAACTAAGCTAAAACAGTGCCATAGGCGAGCCCCCCTCGCCTTTGCAAAGTATGAAACCTGGACAGTTAAACAGTGGTCAAATATCCTTTTTTTCTGACGAAACGAAAAATTAGAGTGCTCTGGCGGAAGGCGATACGTACGACGCTCTCTAATAAGGCATTTGACCACAAGTTTACTAAGGTGACTTTAAAACATGGTGGTGGCAACCTGAAAACTCCAGTTTGCTTCTCTGGTAGTGGAATTGGGCCTATTAGGATTATAGAAGGAAACATGGATCAAGTTCAATACAAAAATATATTGAAAGAAACAATGTTACCCTATGCTAAAGACGTTCTTCCAATTAAATGGAAATTTCAATGATTCAAAACATACAGCCCGCTCAGTAAAGGATTTTTTCACTTTCAAACCGTTGCTGTCTTAGACTGGCCAGCTAAATGCTATGATTTAAACCCAATAGAACATATTTGGTATGAAGTAAAAAAAAGGTAGCAAATCGACAGTGTGGTAATTAAGGTACGACTATACGACGTTTTCACGGAAGAATGGAATTATATTTCTCATGCAAAATGTCAAAAATTGATAGTCAATGCCTCGTTCGGTGTAAAGCAGTTATAGAGTCGTTAAATTTATTTAGATAAGTTAAATTAATCATTAATGTGCCTCTTTGATATTGTTAATTTATATTGTTACATAATAGTGTTAATTTACTATAAATTTGGATCAATCAATTGTGTAATGTGATCAATAAAGAGTTTTGTATTGTATTGTGTAAGAGTCGTGGACATGCGACCAAATATTAATTTTAGTTTGGAATATGTTTAATTTCTTGTTTTTATGTACATTTTTTATATTATAACAATACAATTATTATGTATTTTAATTTAAAGATTTTACCAACACCTTAAGAGTATTGTTTCTAATTATTTGTCCAGCTTCATTATCATTATACTATAATACTGTCCACAACAAATAAACTTTTCCCAAAAATATCGTAATTAAATTTATATGTCTATCTTAGTTTAGTTTGTCTTAACTTACTGGCCCTCTGAATACGTAAGTAAATATTTACAAAAATTTACATTTAAAATATTGGGCAAACATTCTATAACTACAAATCGTTTTTAATTATAGGGCAACAAGGCGGTGTTTTATACTATACATGCCTCTTTCCTGTTAACCATAGAAGTAACCAGCTCAAAACTCCGATCTTCCCCTTCCCCTAACCCATAACTCTAATTCGAAAATAATGTCTTAGTGCTTTCCATCAAGTGGCAAAAAATATTATATGACGACATGACAGTTTTTGAAATGGGACATATTAATGTGTTGGTTGATTGAACTTTTCCATAAAACGTGTCTTAAATGAACAGGTCTAGTGTCCAATTGGAAGTTATGTGCTTTTGGATGTATGCGTGTAATATTATGTCACTGCTCTGTTTTTACATGTTACAACTGTCCCCGGCCGTAGTGATTGATATGTGCTTACCAATTCCATGTTTCTCCATCAATGCGATGAGGTCAGCTTCAGTCAGGAGATTGGGCGGACTTGTGCTGCCATCCAACATATCTATGCTGGTGGGATTAAATGTTTGACCAGTCTGCAATAAGAATACCATTTTTTATCTGTGCCACTTTCAAATAACTTGGTTGAGGCTTGGTTATGACTGAACTTTACACACTTCACAGACACTTCTAACGAAGTTTTCAAGTGATCAACTAACTTGGATATTTATAATTTGTTAGAATTTTTTTCTAACCGAAAGTGCAAGCATATATTTTGTATTGTCAATTAATAACTCGTTTAATTTTAGCCAGTATTGATATCAAGTTAAAAATAACATTTTCAAGTTCAAAGTGACTGTGTGTGCAGTAAATACTACACCAGTGTGCAAATAAATGTTGTTATTAGAAGCTTGTTTATAATAAATCTCATGTCTTGTTTATAACAAATCTCATGTTTTGTTTATAATATAATAATTCAGAAAATAAGAGTGGCCCTAGCACGCTACCCTGGGGCACTCCTTCCAATAAACTGCAAACCTGAATTAAACTTCTACTCAATTTTAATTTATATACATATGTATAATATTTAGTAGGAAAATGAGAAAAACGACACTTGAACAAATCCTCCGTAGTTTGTGTTCTATTTTTTCAATATGGACAAATTAGTATTGTTTCTATCATTTTCCCAGGACATACATAATATTATATTAATGTTAGTCCATATTATTTTTAGTATTACCAACTTGATAAACATGGATTTCCTTGGATGACCACTTATCGTAAGGATAGACTTCGAGATAATTCCTTTCAGTAATCATAAGCCCATTTGCTGAAAATTTTTCATTGGCAACGTCAATTACAACTGTTGTTTCTTGACCTTTCGCATCCTGGGAACAGCACGCTAAGAATGAACGGACTATAAACTCGTACAGCCTTTGCTCATTGCCTGATAAACCTAAAGAATAAATTCTTATGCATAATTATTTCATTATTAATATATAATTGTTTTTTCCTTCATACAATTGACTTCAACAGAAATACAACAAACGAATTTTAGCAATCTTGCCCACACTTTCATAATCTTGTGAAAGCAATACACTTTATTAATCTTTATAATCAGAGGTCGGAATTAGGTAGAGTTATTTATGTATTTGCTTATTTCTTTCTTCCCGGGATTTGCTTATTTCTTTCTTTCATTGATGTAAGTTTGACAACGTCGTGCGTGCAGTAGTTTAAATTGTGTAAAAGTAAATAACTTTTTATTAAAAAAATCACGGGATTTTTTTCATTAAATGTTTGTCACTATCTTTACGTGTAAAGGCCATCAACGTGTCATTAGCGGAATTGTGTAAACGCAAATAGGTAATGAATTAAAAAAGAAGAAGTGTTAGCGACAATACTAATCGTTTCAAAAATACTGCATAAAAACTTACTGTTAGTATACTTAGTGGGATGTATTGGAGGGTGAGCTTTATCACTCTTGTTGCCTTGACGTGGAGATGGCCCACCATTATCTAATATTCTTTTGGCAAATACGCCCCAATTGGGATCATCAGTTTGTAACCCCACTAACTGTGCGAGGTTCATCTCTTTAGGGTACTCATTTGTTTCAGTACGAGGGTAGCTGATAAAACCCTGTGTATATAGCTTTTCTGCTAGTCTCATTGTTTCTTTTGCATTAATTTTTAATTTTCGTGATGCCAGTTTCTCCAATTCCTAAAAATAAGATAAAAATGTGTCCATTAAAAAACGAATACACAATATGTTTCTAGGAAATGATGTAATAAGATGATGAATAAAAGAGAGGCAAAGTGTGTGGGAATAAAAGAAAAGATATGAAATAAAATTAGCGTTTTTAACCTGGATAATAATGCGTGCGGTTCATGTGTCACCTTTAAAAAAATAAGGTTTAATTAAGTAAAAATAAAAGATTTCGTTCTGGAAAACATCACATTTTATTGCCCACATCATTCTCTCTTTAAACTATGTCGCGCATACTCTAGACACGACATATTCATATAGAGAATAAATACATACGTGTTTCCAGATAAATAATAGTAAACTGATTTTATGGTAAAACAATGTGATTTAACCACAGTATTTAATGTATCATCATTCAGTGTTGCCAATAATAGAATAATTGAACTTACCACAGTGTCTAAAGGCAATGGTCTCCATTTAGATTTGGGTTTAGTTTTGACCTCACAGACTTTGGCTAGAGGATTTTCTGTACATATATCATGTAAAACTTGACAGGCTTCTCTGTCAAAAAGTCGAATACGATCCCAAGCGAAATCAACACTCAAACTGTTCAATGTGTGGTTAACTAAATATAAAATATTTAAATAATTAGAAGATGTTTTTTTAGATAATATTAACACTTATGCATTTTAACCAAATAATGGAGAGTCGAACTACAGCAACGCAGTAATTATAAGTACATATTCTGTTTAGATTATCACAGCACTCATAATCAATTTGAGATGTAAATACGGATTACATGTGAAATTTTTTAAATGGTATTAAATGTACAAGTACGCCAAAAGACTGAGCAATACATGACAATTTCATGATTCTAACAATAGGGACGATGGGTAAAAAATAGAATTCTATTTAGTCCGGCAGTTAGATAACAGAAATATATTAGATATATGTATTATTAATTTGCTTCCATTTAACAAGAAATGGCTTAGATAACAGGCAAAGTTAAGGAGTATGAGTTGAGTGCTCGCTACGTCACAACTATGTAGAAATGTACAAAGTAATCACGTAATGCGACATTTCAACTCGATATATCGCCGTAATTTATTTGTTACGTAAAAAATAGTCACCATTGCCATGACATGCACAAAACAATCACACGCTAGCCCACTCCATCGAAATACAGCTTTTTCCCAACAAGTAAGCTATGCGTGAATTTTCTGACTGGCAGTACATTAGAATTGTTATAGTAATACATATTGAGATGCCAAGACCAAGTATTTCTAAAACCTATTTTGATTAAAATTGTGAGTAAAGCTGTATTTTCATTACATTGACACGAAACTAATTTCGTTTAGCACATGTGAATCTAGTTTCGTAGTGGCGTCTAATTAACAGTAACTACTACATAATAATATTCTATGAGTAACTATGATACACTGGCTCCGGGTTTGTTATGCGCACTTACGACAATTAATGCAATTAAACTTGGATTATATTTTATACTTGCTGTGCCCGCGACTTCGTCCGCGTATAAAGTAGCCTAAGTTGTTATTGCCAGTGAAAGTCAGATCAAAACCGGTCCAGCCGTTTAAGACATTAGCCGGAACAAACAGATTGACAAAATGTATAAAAATGTTATTTTGGTATTGGCTATGTGCACGACTTCAGCGACACCTAGCGTTTGGACAAGATTTTTAGACAAGACATTAAAATCAACGACTTACTATTTTTTAGGTACTATTGCAAAACTACTGCGATACTGTGATTTGGGTGGACAGAGGTTTATTTTTAATCATTCAAATGAAATAGGGTAGGTACTAAATTAAAAGTATTTATTTTAGTGATTTCAGATTTGTTTAGGTCATTTTTAATTTCAACTTTACTGTAAAACATTTAAAGCGCCTTTGAAGATTTCATTAAATAATAGTAAAATATATAATAGAGTATTTTAGACATTACAAGAAAAAAATCGAAGAATATACAATCGAGATAGCTAAGGCAATAATCAGTCTGAAAATGTTAGTTTCAGTTCAATAAAATAAAGAAATTAATTTTTAAAATGGAAATATTTGGTCTATTTTTATTACGCGAATCAGTAGTCGTCATTCGGTTCATAAACAAAGAAAAAAAATAAGTTTTAAGCAAGAAAAATACTTTTAGTTAGAGGTTATTTTTTAAAATATTTGAATGACGAAATAAAGAAAAATATATTTTTTCTAAATCATGGAACAGGGATTTGTAAAAGGAAGATCGCACAAATTTACCAATAGTAAACACCTATCGTCAGAAAGCTTTTTACTGCAAATCTCGCATATACTCAGTAGCGGCGTTAGGGTAGGGCGCGGTTGGGCGACCGCCCAGGGGCGCCGGACGAAAAGGGGCGCCGCAGGCCGCGGCGCCCCTTTTTCGTCCGGCGCTTCTTTCTGATTCTGTATAATGAGGGAGTATTTAAAAAAAAACGAAAGCACTACAAAAATACCTCCACCTAGATGGCCACACTAGCAAAAGTTGATTTTTGCAGGAAACGAATGGAACAAAGACAGTACCTAATTTCCGTTCATTTTAACTAACATATTAAAAAACTGAAATTTGAAAAGTTCGAAACTTATATATCAATACAAATACGAAAAAGTACAAATAGAATATGAGTTGTTAATTGAGTTTTGAAAATTAATTTACTTTTAAACATGAAAGAAAACTGGAAGGGTTGTCATGGAGAAATCAAGAACATACCGTAGCGACTAGCGACATCTAGTTTGATTTCGGGAACTAATGTTTTTTTTTCTAATACTTCCTCATTTCCCACAGTCGCCCTCTTATAGTTCCCTTGCTCATTGAACAAGGCCTACTGGGTCGGCGAAAAAAGAACAAGAACCTTGAGGATGTTTTTAATTTTCAAGTTGCCTCAATTTCAGCATGAATTGAAAGGAAACTTAACAAGAAAATTATTATATTACGGTAAAACAGAACAACATACCGATTACTAATATGAAGATATGTATTTTATTAGGTAATATGACGTACATTGGCGGGCATTATCGCTCGGTCATTTAAAAAAATTTTCGTTTGAGCATGTTTAAACGTTAAACTGAAGCTAAAATGCTGCAATACAAACGAATGCGTCGGCATCGGCATCGGAGCCTCTGTCTGGCAAGTCAGATGGAATAGCTACTCAAGAGATTGTGGATGAAAAATCCCGAAGTAATGGAGCAAGTTGTGCTATAATTACAGATGCTGCTCAGGATAAATCTGTTATTGATGTACAACAAATACATGTACTAGATGATGTTGATACTGTTGTCCCGAATATAGCGGATCCAGATACTTTTCCACTTATTTGAAATAGTAAAATTATTGATTATATAATGAGTAGTGGCTCACTGCAAACTCACTGCCACAAAGTTAGAACAATTACACAAAGTTATAGATAACAATTATGTGACACCCTGCTAGGGTAAAATTGAATCTGTACTTACCTAATGATATGATCCATCAAAAATGAATCAGCAACTTATACGCTTTTTATATGTCTACTTTTTAAATAAAACTAATGTCACTATATAGTTGGAACAAGAACATCGTAACGTTAAACGTTTGATTACTGTGTTTGTTTGTTTTAAAATAATCGAATAATTGTTTTAAGAGCGTTCACTTATGTCATGCAAGAATATAATTGTTGATTGTGTTCTTCTTCGTCAAAAATTAAAAGAGATAGATCTAGGGAATCCCCGATTATAGAAAAACACATTGTTTCTGTATGGTCGGAAAGTCGGGGATTCCCGAAAAATTTACCGATTGAACACTTCTTTCCATTCTAATGCTGCCAACTTAACAATCTACCTAAATTTAGGGGAGATTACAAGTAAGTAGGCCAGGTCGGCGAAAAAAAGACAAGTAGACAGTTAGAGGGCGTCGAAGAAATTTCGCCCAGGGCGCCAGTAGTGCTAAAACCGGCACTGCATATACTGCAAATTTTTATTCTGCTATATTATGGACTGATGATGAATTAAAACAATGAGGTAAGTACTAACTTCTTGCAACTAATTGGATATGATAAAAAGTGTAAAAAATTTAAGAAACCAATAGCAACGTGTTTGTTTACAAAACCAACTGACGTCACAACTACAGAGCAACATGACGTCCAGTATTTTTATCCAATTTGAAAATTTAGTTTAGGTATTATTTTGACTGAATAAAAATTTTATATTTTCTTCCATAGTTTATTAGGACCTTAGGATTTAATTAAAATGCTTTTCAAAAAAGCTGTAATATCCTATTATTGTAAGTAATAATAAAAATGGTTTTTAGATCGAAATTAATATTGTTCTAAGGACCGGGTTTGTGTGTATCACTCACAATATAAAATAAAAACTTTGATACCTTGCAACGGCAATGTTTTTTAAAGTATATAATTAATGTCCGTTCTGTCTGTCTGAATTTTAATTTAATATTAATTCTATTGCAGCACAACTAGAGTACCTAAGAGATAAAAGCAAACATAAATATTATGTTTAATGAAAAATGCTTAAAAATCCACTTGATCCCTGACATTTTTCAGTATAGCATTGTGAATGCAAAATAAATATTATTTAAACAATATATTTACATGTATAGAAAGCTTATGCTTGCGATTTTGCTTAAATACACCTGTAATTATTTTATTGTTTAATTAATAACAATAAAATAAGTTCATGTGGCATAAGTTTGTTTTGTTACGATGGGCATATGAATACCCTGTTCTTTGGTCATCGCTATTATTATAGGTATCTCCATAAAATTAATTTCTTGTTTTAAACTTTTTAGAGTGTGATTTAGCTCTAGACGGGTTTTAGTTTTTGAACTAATTTTTTTAAGTTACAAACAGATACTCGATTTGAATTTTTTATATGGATAATGTAAACAAATAAAGCTAAGCAATAAAACTTATCTCATGCAACTATTGTCATAATGTAAAGTTGGATTTTAAGCAGAGTAGAAAGGACATGAAAATACTTTATTTTACCTCGAATTTTCCAAAACTGTTCAGCAATGAAGTTTTCTACTGCCCTGTACCTCTCAACCACAAAACCTAGTGTTGGAAACTGACATGAACCATAGCTGACAAGACTCTCAGCTAATTTCCTAGGAAACACTTTTTGAAGGCGAAGTGTTTGGAATCGCGTGAATGCTGCTCCTAGAAGTGATAATAGTATGTTATAAACAAAACAATTTATAAAAAATGCATCTTTTTACAAGCTTTTATATTTTTCTATACTATAATAACTCCCGCTAACTAATATGGAATTTTCTTCACAAATAAGCTTGAGCAAGTAATAATAATTTGTAATGTAATGAGTTGTTTAATATATAATATGATAGTAAGAAATGTAATAAGTTGAATAATATAATAACAATATTTGCACGCCTGTCCACAGCCAGAATACTGTACTTGTCTGATTATTTGTGACCTCAATGACTTGTATTCTGGCAAATAAAGATCTTATCTTATCTAAGATTTGACAATCTTGAAGCTGAATTTGACCCACTTCCAGGTTATGTAGCTAAATTTTAATGTATTTTGTATATTAAATAAAAGTATTTCTATTAACACGTTCCGAAGCGGTACTCCAGTCCACTATGACACTAACAATCTTCACACAAATGTTTCGTACACCTATACCCGTACTGTTGTTCACAATATTTTGCAACAACAAGTCTGGGTCAGTGACTGCTATAACCGTATAACGGGTTTAACCGTAGTGCCCATTCTTAATATAACAAGACTACAAGATGTGCCGGTACGGTCATACCCGTTATACGGTAGTAACCGTACTGCCATAAAATTGTAGGCAATATATTTATAAATGCAATGACACGGTGATTGCCGTATCACGGCTTAAACCGTAGTTACTTATTACAAAGAGCTGCAGTAAATTGCAAACGTCGCTTACTGCATAAGCAGGCAGTAAATAAAACAGAATTTTGTATAATTAAATTATTTATTTTGGAATAACACAGCCATCGCCACACAACTCGAGATCAACTTATTTTTTTTTCTTGTCTAATCTAATTAAATTTATAAATAGGTCAGTCTTCTTAATATTTTGAAAATAACAGAATCAGACGAAATAAAAATAAACTAAAAGTCACCTTTCCAGATTACAGAATCAAACCAAAACAAATTAAACCCAGTTAAAAATCAATAGTTTTTTTCTTATTTATATTTATTAATCAGTCTTAGTTCTTTTAAAGTTATTTATGAATTATTATTAATCAGTCATAGATTACTCAGATTCAGTCTCATTTACTACATAATTAGTGTGCCATTCCTCGAAACAAGCAGGACAAAGAGGATTTTTACAAATCTTGCATCTAAACCTGGTTTCCTTGCGCTTTTTCTTTTTACTACACAAAGAACAGTTCAGGTATTTAATGTTCCTTTTTGAATTTTCCGTAATCGGAATATCTTCAGGCCAGTGACCATTGTCTACTCTCCTGGATCCTGGCCTATCTGTTGTAGTACTATCTTTTGTGCGTCTACTGGAATAAATGCTTGCCGTTCTGACAACATCTTTGCCCTTTAAGTTACTATCGACTTTGGTCATTTGCATTATGAGCTTATCTCGATAGTTCAAAAACTCATATCTGGTATTTGGTTTATAATATTTGATAAACAAGTAAAATGCGTTCCAGGTTGATATGTCTAGCAAATGGAAAAACACTTTTTTGTACCACCTGATAGACTTTTGTGGAGAGGAATAATATGCCACCATCTGATCTTTACGATCTATTCCTCCCATGAATTTATTGTATTCAGCCACTTCTTCTGGTTTCTTGGTAATTTTTCTAAATCTGTTTGAGACATACGTGAGCTTTGGATGATTTCTTGTAGTGATACAATAGACTGGACGTTTGTCTTTCCATACAGAGACATAAACTTGTTTTTTGCGACGCCAAAAATAATCTCCCCTTTTCAGTTTAGTAGCCATTAGTGCTTTGGGGTTGCTTTTTCTGCTCTTTCTTAAAGTACCACATGTATGCGTTCTCAGTTCAAGTAATTTTTGACTGAGGTTGACATCATTATAAAAAATATCCATAAATACATGGTGGCCCTTCATTAAATATGGTCGTAAAAGTTTTATCACAATTTGTTCTGTCTTTTTAGTAAACTCTTCATCTGAATCGTTTTTTCCACTGTACATAATAACATTGAGAACATACCCATCAGCTGTAGTCAACTCATAGAATTTTATGCCATATCGTGCCTTTTTGCTTTTTATATACTGGCGAAAGTGTAGTCTGCCTCTAAATAATACTAATGATTCATCTATTGATAGTTCCTTTCCTGGACCATACACATCACGAAAATTACCACAAAGTGCCTCAATAAAGTCAGAAATTTTTTTTTCGCCTTTAGCGTCAGTATTGGCGGCGCAAATACAACGCAAAATCTGTTCATATCTCCTTGAAGACATAATATAACTATAAAATGGGTGAAAATATAACGGGTTAGAATATGAAAACATTGATCTTCTATTTAGCGCTCTAATTTGACCCTGTAACAAACATAAACCCAAAAAAGATAACATCTCTTCCTTTGTAACGGGTCGAAATGATTGTTTTCTACTATTTCGCGTATGTGGTTTGTTCGTATTAGTCAAGTGTATACCATAACTATTCGTTCTGGCTACAACAAACTCCAGTAATTGATCAGAAAATACTGACTTAAAAATGTCCAACTCGGTAGGATTATCTGGTAATTCAATTCGGAGTCCCTCAGATAAAAAATCATAATCGAATTCCGGAATTGGTCCTGTATTAGAATGCCATTCATCATCCGTTGGTTCAGTTGAAGATTCCAACTGTCTTTGATCTTGATTAGGCAAAATCTGCGCGTCTGCTGGTAATATTGGACTTTCAGCGCCTAGAAAGACGCTAGCGGCTGCGTTTACAGGTAAGGGGTCATGTAGCTCATCAGGTAGTACGATACCTGGTATAACTGGAATTTCAGCAACAGTGGCATCTTCAACAGACTCGTCAGGTAATACTTTGGCATCTTCTTGTATAACTGGAATTTCAGCGACAGTAGTGTTATTAGAGCTGTCATTAAGTTCATGAGCATCAACAGGTAGTGCTGGATTTACTGGCAAAGACACATCATTACCGTGATCTGCACAAAGTATACCATCTGGTGTTTGTAAACATGGATTAGCTGGCCTTAGACCTATATTAAGAGCCACCACAGCTCGCGACTCGTGTAATGATGGCACTAACCTGTTGCTCTTGCTCTGCAGATCGCCAGTATCACTTACTGATTCCGATGAACAATGAGTTAAGTCATTATCAGAACTTGATGGTGCGTCGACGTCAGGGTCATAATCCACATCTGATCCATATTCCCCGTCTTGGTCACTATAAGGGTCTCGCTCCGAGGTCGTGTCCGGGGTAGACGCGTCTTCTAAAAGCTTCCGTATTCGTTCTTCGTCCTTTTCCATCTAGAAACACAAATAATAGTATTATTATAGCATAATAGAAATAGGAGGATAGCGCACTATCCATTTCCATAGTAATTCAAAATGTATAACCATATAATCTAGCACAAATAGGTATTCACACTTACTTTTGTTGCGAGAGGCGCGATGTGTTCCTGCGCAAACTAGCATGGCACGCGTCACTCACTGATCGCTCTCGGCGAAGCACTGACTCACGCGACCAACTAACGTTCACACATACACAACGGTCACCACCGTACTGTCAATGTGTGTAGCCTCTTTATATGTGTGTGTATGATATCTAAAACGGTCTTAGTGTACACGAGTTTTTGACACTAGGAACACAAGCTTCTTTTACAGAATGACAGTAAGACTGCTCTCTATGAAACTCTTATGTAAAATTGACGGTTGTTGCCGTAGTGATTTTTAGATTGATTTTCGTGAAAACGGCGAGACCCGTCCTGCCATAATATGAATTCCACCTTTACTTTATATGCCGTTACCGCGGCGGAACGTGTTAAGACAGACTAGTAATATTAGTAAGGATAATCTAAACAAATGAAAATACCTTATGAGTAAATTCAAGGATATCTTACCTATTCTAAGATCAAGTTCCTGTCTCACATCCACAGCATCACTAATATTTTTATTAGGTGTTTCTAAGTTTTGCAAAGCTCTCTTTACGGACGCAGCTGTGATTTCAGAAAACTTTGCTCTAAATATTTGTAGGTTGCTTTTAACAGCAGTGCATACTTGGATTATTTCAAATCCTATATTTTCTCCTTCTCTATCACAATCTGTCCAGATTATTAGACCATGGCAAGTTTTCACCTCCCTTTCCAAAGTTTTCTATGAAAAGGTTAATTATTTTCTATTTAATATCAGTGATATACTTAAAAGATTATTGACAAACAAACTTATTCCTTTTATTCATAAAAAAAAAATTAAATACTTTGGTGATTAAATTTAAATCAATATCTAACCTTAATTTTTTCATAATTGTCAGGACAATATTTAAATACAGGTGCATCAAATAGAGTTAAAGGATTGCAAGAATTCCAGTTCTTATAAGCACCAACAAATTCTAGAGCTAACAAATGTCCCGAAACCGAGGTCATAACCATCTGACATTTTATACCTCTTACTTCTGCTTCAAATTCATAAATTTTATTGTATTGTGATAAGCCTTCTCTCTGAAAGAAATAAAGTATTTAGCAATATTTGGAACTAATTGTTATTTTGAAATTATAATCTCATAGATATACCCGTCTAGAAGTTCCTCTAGAAAGATGAAGAGCGATATTCTTTGCAGCGTCATTTTTTTCAGCTACATTCAAATACTTCATTATATTACTTTTATATCTTTTTATTAAAGCAAAGCACGGTTTGTTGTGTAAACAAATTCTATTTTTGAGGTTATTACTAAGAAGTAGTATTTGTTTCATAATATTTAAAATAGCGATAAAAATATTACAATTGAAATATAATTTTTAATTATTAACCACATTATTTCATCACATTACTATTATAAATCAAATACATGTTAAATATTTGTAAATATAAACAAATATTTTGCCGCGATTTTACTTTGGCGTTTGACAATCGCAAAATAAAAAAAATATTCTTTTTTAATGGTTTCATCGGCCCTGGCTTCCACGGCCTTCAGCCAATAAAAAAATTAAGAGAACACCACAAACCAAAAGGAGGGTATTACGTATGAGAAAACTAAGGATAAACTTAGCAACTTCAAATCCCTTGTTTGGTTGTAAACTTAAGTAGATCGCGAGCGAGTGATATAAATATAACATTTGTCTCAAGTGAGATAATATATATTTTTACTCGCCTATGTTTAAAATATATTTTTATATCACATAAAAATGCACATAAAAATAAGTTTATTTTCTTACTACACCTATGCTCGAAACAACTTCAGCCATTTAGAGGTTTGGCACAGACAATCCGTTGGGTAAATGCGTATGAAAGAAGTCTCACACAAATCCGATAAATAAAAATTTATATGGTTTAAAAAATTCGTGAAATTAAAAGATATTGTTGAGGATCGTCAGCTGAACCGACCTATTTTTATACGTTGTCTTTGTTTTTATAGTTTTTTTTATATATATTTGATTTTTATTTAATTTTTGTTTTGGTATTGACATATGTCTTTTATTGATTGTCACGTGCTTTGACGAGGATATTTGTTTTGTGGACAATATAGTTTTTGAGAAGATAAATTGTTTATTTTCACACCTGTGCCCACACTATTCCTCGTCACCCTCTTCGTCGATAACAGATATTATTCGACGAACATTTTTATTAAATAATGATGAAATATTTTTAAAATTGAGAAGTAAATTATGTAATTTTTCTAGATATGTATTCTGTGTTTCTAGTTAAACGAAACATCAATCAGCGCGTAACATCTGATATTAATACGAAATAAAAAAGGTAAATAATGATATTGTAAATTAATGTAGGAAAATGTAAATATTATAGTAGAAATCCACATAAATATAAACAAAATTTGTAAATAGCTATTTATTTTTATAATTAGCTATAAATATATATTATAAGTCAACAAACTAAAAGAATTAAGTTGTGAACGTTTCACTTTCAACCGCTTTGTTTTCAATAGAATATTTATCTTTTATAGCTCGCTCAGATTTAAAGGATAGATATATCTTCGAGCTAAAAGATATATGTCTCTCTTTTCGTGTGAGTGATATACATTGCGCAAGGCTATTGGTTGCTTGGCTACATCACTGTTCACGTTTCAATTTATATAACAATACACTTTTATTTATTTAATGTTTGTGAGTCGGTATGACCGTTAATGGCCGATTTCTGTCGTTTATGCACATTTGACACTTAAATTTTAACTCAGGTAGATTATGCTGACGATTTAAAAAAAAAGTCAAAATTCGGTAAATCAGGACAATATTTATCTTTTTTTGAAATACATTTGTAATGATGTATTGCTATTAAAAATACTTATGATTTTGTATGGCATATTTTATTTCATTTTTTATTAAGTAACTTTTGTTGCATGATACGTAGTACGGGAAAGCTCGTGGGAGTAGTACCAGTACAATTTAAGTGTGGACATATTCTAAAGAGCTATTGGGAAAATGCGTGATGCTAATGGAGGTCCAAATATCTCTATATTGCCAACTTTGCAAAATCTCTATTATATTTACCAATGTCCAATGCAAAAAAATCAATGTAATTAAACATAATGAAGGAAATGTTGATACATAAATTGAATAATTGTAATTAATAAAGTAATATCTTAGTATTTTATTTATTCGTGTATGTAAAGTTTGACATATAAGGTAGAAAATGGAATAAAGAGGAACTAAAATATTTTTACTATTAAATCCAGACACTCCATGCAACTGCGTCACTGTCAATATATAATTAAAATGGATTTCTATGAAAAATGTTGCCCGTGTAAAAGACAGGGGATGCTCTCGTTTAATTTACTTATTATTGTTTTGTGTTGCACTGCATCTACTCATATTATGGAAAAATATGATGGCATATTTTAGAGACTAGTTTGGCAGATTTTTGGTAGTGTTTGTTAGTGTCTAATAGATTTCTTAGCAAATCCAGATTATTGTTTTTCCATTGTTCAAATATATTTGTAATACTATAGAAAACATATAAATATATAGGTATTAAAATGTTAAATATTATCATAAATTGTATTAGCTGAAGGACTTGTATCCATGGCTATGAATAAATAATAATTAAAAAAAAAACTTATTTACACAGACCAAGAGGAGATATTAATACCTAGGTGGAAAAAACTGCTTAAAATTTTAAGCGTTGTTACTTTGTACGATTTTTAATAAGCGTTTTTAAAAACTGCTTATTGCTTAAACGCTTTATTTCGCCTGACGTTTGGAAATTGTTAAAATAAGTATGGAATGTTGGGTTGTAATTATTTATGTATGAAACTAACTAATTAACTTTCAACACAACGTGCGCCTACTCCAACAACGAAATGTGTACTGATATATTTTAAGTTTCGTTTGAAAAAGCGTCTGGATTAACCAACCAAAAAAGATGTTGCAAAAAAGTTTAGATGGATATTATTCGTAATAGTGTAATATAGTGTATTTATGTAAAGTGGGCAGCACCATTAGAAAAATGCCGAAATAGAAAAATTGATTGAAGCTAAATAGTAGTATAGTAGTTAAATCATGATTTGATAGATGGCGGAACGTATAATAAGCGCATACTTTTCTTCCAAGTGAAAAATCGCTTTTGCACTTATTTAAAAAAGCATGCTTTATTACTCTGTGCTATTAAGTCTGTGTTAGGGATGGGCAAATGGGAGGAAAAATATCGAAATACATCGAATCGATATTTTTCAAATGTATCGATAAATATCGTCAAAAATATATGGATATGTTAATATATCGATATTTTCTGCGTATTAAGCGATTATCAATGATAATCTCAAAATATTCGAAATTTTGAACCAACTACACACCTGGCTGTTTTGATATCAGTTTTATTATTTAAAATAGGCACATAAAGCTAAGAAAACAACATTGTTAACAGAACCAAAATTAGATTGTTCAAACAAACGTGCATTTCTCTGATATTGATATCAGGAGCACACTCAGTGATACCAACTAAACCAACAAGCAGTGTCACTGTCAAATAAAAAGACAAAATACACAAACAGGTCATAGACTAAACTCACACAGCCTACTGTCCACCTACTCATTTTCTAAATTTAAGAAATACATGATGTGACGCATGTGCAGACAGCAGAAATTAAAAAATATATCGATTTTGATATCTGAAAATAAATATCGAAAGCCGATATATCGTGGCAAAAATATATCGTTTATTTATATCGATATTTTTTCTAAAAATATCGATTTAAATAAGCGAATTTGATATATCGTTTGTTTTTGCCCATTCCTAGTCTGTGTTATGTATTTTACTGTCATTAATGCAAAGAGTAATGTAATCATTAATGGAAACACTGTAATTTGAATTACAATTATTTATTCAACTGATTATTTATAAGTTGATTAATATAGCCAAATGTGAACGACCAATTGTGGTTCACAAGCAAATGAACATGTTTCTTTGGCGCTCGCTGGACCCAAAATCCATGAGTCTACAAAGTCGTATCTTTTTCGACTGTATCAAGAGATTGAAAAGTTCACAACAATGGTTAAGTCGTCAGAGATCAGATCCATACGTAGAAAAGGCTAAAATTTATAACTATAGGTTGTTATAAAGAATACATCTGTTCAAATATGTTAGTCCAAAAAGTTTATTTTAATTTCGTTTTTAATTTTTCAGATGTAGAAGTGCATTTAAATTACTGGAAATTAACGAAAAGACTCAAATTCTTCGACCTGGCTTAACGGTTGTGGATCTCGGTGCTTCACCTGGCTCATGGACTCAGGTTGCTGTACAAAAAACAAATGCTGATGGAGCAGATCGTAATAAACCAAGAGGAACTGTGTTGTCTATTGATAAGTTGCAAATACATCCTATTGAAGTGTGTACCTATATTATGGACATAATATAATTAAGAAATCATTATCACAATTTACTGAAATCATATTATTTGTACTTTTCCTTTACAGGGAGCCACAATAATGACCAATCTAGATTTTTCTACTATAGAAGCACATGACACGGTTGTTGAACGTCTTGGTGATGGTAAAGTTGATATTGTCCTCTCAGATATGGCACCTAGTGCTACAGGTGTCAGAGAACTCGATAAAGACAGAATTATAGGTCTTTGCTATATGGCTATTAGATTTGCTGCATTAGTGTCAAAGATAGATGGTAATCTATTATTCAAAGTGTGGGATGGCAAAGAAGTGCCCATGTTGGAAATGGATTTAGCAAGATTTTATAAACATATAAAAATCTTGAAACCAAGTGCAAGTAGGTCTGATTCATCAGAGAAATTTGTCCTTGCAAGAGGCTTTAATGGTATACAAAAGCCCTTGAAGAATGGTCAGTGGAGTTAGGACGTACTACATAATGTTATAGTTTAGTTAAGTATGGTTTCCATAAAAATATTGCTTTGTGAAATATCAATGATCTTAAGAATTTGTCATAAAAAATCTAAGTTAATTTAAGATTATAATAATTTGGAATAAGTTATTTATTATTTTTATATATAAAACAACTATATTCATATTATCAATAAATAATGGCACAATAATTTGTAGGGAGAGGTCAATAATGTTTAAGATCAAAAAGAAACATTTACAAAGACCAATATTTATTTATTTAAAAGCATATTCAAGCTTTTGTTAATATAATTTACAATTTACCCTAGAAATAAAACCTGTTAGCTTAATATCTAAACTTTGCTTATATTTTATTATTGAAATTATTAACATATATTTTTGTTTTTTTTTTAATGTTTAAAGTGCTTGTTACACTTTTCTTAACACTTTCAATATTGAATCAAGATATTGCTTTACAAAATGAACAAACTCATAATGCAAGAGTTAAGTTCACTGTGACTGTTATTAATAAGTGTTTGCAATATTATACAAAGAATGTACATATTTATAGTACAAATTATAATTATTAGTAAATAATAGCTCTAGGTTGTATACTATTTTGTTAAATAAATTACTAAAATAGTGACTATGTTGTGCAATAGTTAACCAATTTATCTCTTAACTTCAAGTTGTACAGTCAGCAGCATGCTAGGTTATACAAAACTGACAAATTTCTCCCACTCAATTTTAAACCTTAAAACATTAGAGTAGATGTCAAAATCCATTGTTGAAATTTGACATTACCTTTATTTTAACTCCAGGAATATTGCAATAATGCTAACTTTTGAAATAATACTCATGCCTTTAGCAAAAGACTAATAATAGTCTTTGTTAATGCTATAAAATGTAGACAGAAATATTCATGAAATAAAAAAAGTAATTGACTTTTTGGACATCAATACTTGCTATGAAAAGAATTTTTTTATGCAAGAACTGCTATAATAGCCTACGTTACCTGCATATGATGCAACTTCCCGTAGGTAAAAGAATTTTTATAACAGTTGCCGCAGTTTTGGAGCTTATTCCGTGCAAACAAACAAACCATTCCTCTCTATTATATTAATATAGACCACAACAAACGTTTAAATATCCATTTCGTATCCCATAAAATTTATATTATACAAATTTTCAATCGTAAAGTGTTTCGATATGAAGCTAAAAACAAATAAAACGTCGTTGTTAGTGTTATAATGTGTGGCACGTAAGTTGAACCTAATTAAACCGATTCTCACGCAGGTTCGGGTATATAGCGTTGTTATGGTTTTATGTCTCACCCCCGCACCTCGGTTGAGACCCGATAATGTGGCATTTGGTTCAAATTACGCGCTGCGCATTATACCCATCTCAAACTCGATTACAATCGGTGCCGAATTAAGCCAGAGCGGGGTCCGTAGCAAATCACTTGTATCTTGCATTATTTAACACTGATTCGAAAAATTAATTAATTAGCTCTAAACCATAGCGAGGTTCCCAATTGTGCGGGACCCATAGCATTTGCTACTTCTACTACGTGGCTAATTCGGCCCTGATTACAATGTCGTTCCTTGCCCTAGTGCCTACATAATTATGTAAGCAGTTTGTTTTTGACATTTTAATTACATATTTGTTGCCCGATCAATATTACGGAGAGAAATATAACCAGTTAACATACTTAAATACTCTTTTTATTCCGGACGGAAGCTTAAAACGTTACAAATCAATCCTGTATACTTTATTAATTCTGTGGCAAAAAGCGACCTTGACTTTGAACTCGAAGTCTCAAAGGGCCATAATACATAATACAGCATAAAACTACACGAATTGTGACCTTGTGCCACTAGAGAGTTTATTGAGTTGTGCTGCAGAGAGTAAACTGGAGTGTGCTGCATGGTCGAGCAGTAGAAGTCGTTCGCCTCTTTCGTCGCTGGTAGTTTGGATATTACGTGCACATCTGCCGCTACCCGTCTCTATTGCAAAACTGCTCACAGCGCAAATAGCGTAGATGAACGTTAAAACGAAGAGCGCACACCCAAAATCTAAAATAAATAAGAAGTGGTAAGATAGAATAGGACTATGTACTCACAAAACTTTGAATTAGGTACAGTCAACGGCACGTCATTTTATTCTAATGGCACAAAGTTCTCCACTTGATTTTAAGCTTTAATATTTTGACTTTATATGTCGACTTAAAAATAAACTGAAGAAATTTCATATAATACACACACGGCTGCACGTAAGGTTATCAAAATACGGTAACCTTACGTACAGCCGTGTGTATGTCGCAGCAACTGGCGCTTTAATTGAATGGCGCATTTCAATTAACGGGGTGACCTTCGATCTACAATAGTAACTGACCATTCATCAGGGATATCGAATTTTATTGGTAGGATTAAAAGTAAACAAAATAAATAGTGTAGTGGTTGATTTTAAATGAAACTCAAAAACTCCTTGTTACGATCTGTAATCGATACAGACACAGGACTGATCAAAAAGATAATAACAAACTGCTTATTCACGACTGGGTGTTAGTTTATTAGTCCGTATGATCCAATACAGGATGCTAACGTAAACACAAATAACGCAAATGGGTTAAGCTTAAACTTTCATTCTTAATACTAATACAATTAATGACGAACGAAGTTTGGTGTTACAATTTTTAAAAATAACAAAAAATGATAAACAACGAAGTTATTTTGGTACTGCAGGTCGTATGATAGGTTTTTTCTAAATGACTAAATGAACGTTTTGGCGATCGATCCAATTAGAAATTTAGGCGTGCAATTCAATTAAATGGCTAGCCGCTCAACTGAACGGCTCATTTAATCCGTTGACTGGACATGTATATTAGTAATATAGAGTTGCCGCATTTATTTATTTCATAAGAAAAATAAATAAACATTAAATTTACACTAATCAATAAAGAACATTTAATTTCCTCTATTGCCTTTAATTATGGCGTGTCAATGGTGATCGCATTATTACATAAATATTGAAACCCAGGTCGATCATCAATTTTTTACTTGAAAGGCCATTGATTGAATCGCCCTCATCAAAGGGGCAATTTGGTATAGAGTTTATTTTGTTTTACAATTTAAATCATAGACCGCTTAGATGTATCCAGTGCCAAACGTCGTCCAGTCAAATCCAGTGCCAACAGAAAAGTCGTCCTTTGCTTTCCGAATAACACAACACAATTAATCTGTGACTCGAGTTTAATTTGTGTGAAGGTATACTTAAAAATATGAGTTTAGTCAGAAGCGTGGCTTATTTTATTTCTTGCATTTTTAACACTGACTTGAAAAATTAATTTAATGGCTCTGAATCAACTGCGCGGGGCCCGTAGAGCACTTTTGCTACGTGGCTAAGCCGGCCTTGGATGTATCTTTTGGAAAAACAAATGCCCTTTAAGGATCTATGTTTAGTCCTTCGAGTCTTTGAAATGATTAAATCATTTTAGAAATATTTTATTTTAAAAATATCAGATTACTTACGATAAAGATTATGTCCACCGAAGAGGCTGACTACACAGGGATACCCGTCGCCCACGACGATGGCTATAATAAGCAGTACCACACCGACACATGCTGCCATAATCCACGGCAATACGTACTCGCGTTTATACTTCACCGCTCCATGAAGCAGAGAGATACAGCACATCAGATATATAGAAGTCAGGATTGTGCTTGTATACAGGAATATCACAGTGACTGTAAAACATGTAATAATAAGTTTTTTCGTTATTGTTAGGTACCTAGTTCGTTCATAAAGAGCTAATCGTCGTTACTATCCATGACAATTTAGAATCTTTAGTTTCTATCCTTCCCACGACTGTTTGAGAGCCCTTTAAAATTGTAACCCTTAAGAAACTTCGTAACAACAAAATATAATACGTTGTAATGTATTATCACTATGATGTTAACTATCTACTTACTACTGCGATATTGTTGGTATTTTTCTAACTATTCCTGAAGTAGGTATAAAAAGTACCTACTCCTTTCAAAACTAAAGTCCCATTTGATTTTGACACTCAGCAAAGTTTTTAACACTGTCCAGAAATAGATACGCGCGTATTAGACTCGTTTCTTTTTACATTATTCGTTAGTGAGGAATGGTGTTACAAATTAATAAAAAGTTTGCAGTAATGCACCTGATATCGCGTCTTCTGGGCAAGGTCTCAATGTATAGAAGTAACAATCAAACGCATTTTCATGGTAAATTCATATACATGATATTACGTGGGTGTTTATTTCATCTGGACATGAACAGTGCTCCTTATAAACAAGGTTTAGCGTCAGAGTAAATTTACGCTAAAATTGCAATTTTAGTACTTATTAGTCCATATTCATATTACACAGAGTATAACCTTCTAGGAGCAAATATTACTCCCGTAGAACTTCGTACTAGGTTAACCTTTGTTAAGTCTCTGTTTAATAATATGAATTTTGACTAAAACGAAGAGCAGTCTCAGCGTAAATTTACTCCAACGCTAAACCTTGTTTATAAGTAGCACCTTATATATGTAATATATAAAAACTTACCAGACGCAAGGTGCTGAGCCTTAGCAAATCTGCGTTGATTGTTCGTGCTAACAACGTCTCCCTCATGGAACGTCAGTTGTTGGCCATAAGTTACCTCATAAAACCCTCGACTCTCCGCATCATCCTCCATGTCAGTATGAAGCATTGATAACATCTCTCCCACATGAGATATACCGACTAGTAATATTATCAGAACAAAAGATGATAGTGCCTGAAAGGATCATTTTAAGAAGGCATTAACTATAGATACCTCAATAAAATTATCATAACTGTACGGTATCTAAGTAAATAAAAATATTACTTACGATTTGATGGACGGCAATTAAAATTGTGCCTTGACGTAAATTGAAAACATACAAAAAATTATTAAGCCGTATCATCATTTTGTGAGATAAGTTACATTGCTTACTTCTGTCAAACATTTGTGTAATTTTAACTAACAGAGCATTGCCAAAAGATATATTTTTTATACTCGGGAACTTACGAATACTAACATCAATGTTTATATTAAAGTAGCAGCTTAGTAAGGCGCATGATGTTTTATATTGATTTACTTTTCTTGTACGTTTTGCGCATGTTACGAAACTTTTTTTATGATAGATTGTTTCGAATAAAATAATAAATATAATAATATTATTATTAATATTAATATTTATAACATTATAATCGATAAACAACAACTCATTAGTTTGTATTGGCATGATAGTTATTAATAAGTAGGACTCGTGATGGTGACGAAAAGTATCAAACGCTCGTCGCAAATGTTTATTTTTTTTTCCGCATTGAAATTTGAATTTTGGAATCAATTATTCAAAACAATAATAATCTAGTCAAAAGAGGATAACTTATTATACAGCCCCCGTGCAGACCTCATTTATCCATCATATAATAAATAAGTGCCCAATCCAAAAATTCATCGGGAATTCTGTAATTTTGCGTTCTCCTGATATAAACGGGAGTGGGTGAAGAATTTGGATGTTTGTTTGAGTATTACCTGTAAAGTGACTGTACATTTATATGCCATACAAATATATAATTAAGCTATTTTCTTTAAACTTCATGACCAAACGCACAAAGGCGGACTTACGCCCTAGGAATATTCTACCAGAGAACTTTAGGGTGATGTGGAGACAAAAAATATTTTCTTTGAAATTTAAGAGGCACCAACAGACCTGCCTGTTGGTACCTAACCTAACCTAACCTTACTTTGTTGGGGATATCATTACCTACTTACGTATATGTTCCATGATACACGTTAATCATTGATAGACAATATATAATAGCTTATAAAAGCAGTAAAATTTGATTTAAAAAATAGTTTATCAGGCATAGAAAGATGTTTTTTAATTTGACTAAAATATCTTTTATATTAAACTAAAAAAAAGACAAGTAGATACTTTATAAATTAGGTTTATTTCAGAACTTATAGTATCGTAATAACATTATGACTGTACCAATCTAACCCAAACTTTTAGCTTGCATTAGTTTATTTGGATAATGAATTAATAATAATTAATATAAACTACAACTATCACAAATAATACATGTAAAGAATTTGCAAAAAAAAAAACAATATGTACAGAGAAAATTATATAGCTAATCAAATTTAATGGTTGAACAACAACTTACTCATCTAAAAATATAAGTAGGTATATTGTGATAAATGATGACAGTGTTTGATAGTTGAAAATGTCTAATTCTGGATTATGAATACAATTGATATTACGTTTTTAATTTACCCTAGCCAATACTATAACATTCCTAACACAGACTGTATCAAATATAGCAATGCATGCGAAATCAAATAAAAAAAATCGATTATGATCTTTAAAAAAATAAAAATTTTGATAGGTATTCGACGCGATGTATCAATATATTAAAGTAACCACTACATGTTCCACTACTGTATAGGATGCATTACCGTGGACTTTGATTAAAAAACTCAAGATGCAACAGCGGCATGAGCAAAATTTATGCCTAATCCGCATAGTAAGCAGTATTTCGCTAAGTTTTGCACAGTTAGGCGAGTCACAATCACGCCGAAGTGTTTTATAAAAAGTGCAAGAATAATACAATTTTAAAAGGGGATATTATATCATACCGGTAAAGGAATATTTTACGTGAATTTAAAAATTCCAACAAATTCAATGCGAATTTTATTATGCAACGCAATAGGCCGCATAATACTTAATATCCGCGCAGTATTGCAGTAGTCTATTATTTTCGTTATGTTTTAACAATGATTAAATATTACTAATTTGAAATTTGAATGAAGAGATAATATAACATTGCCCACCTTTACTATTAAAAAATAAATAACCGTCTCACATGAAGGTAAAGACGCGGCACGTAAATCGAACCAGAACTGCGACTCCGTAGTGGCACGTTTTCGCGTCTCAGGATAATAACATTGCCTGCCTTTACTATTTAAAAATAAATAACCGTCTCACATGAAGGTAAAGACGCGGCACGTAAATCGAACCAAAGCCGCGATTCCGTAGTGGCACGTTTTCGCGTCTCAATCGGGTGCGGGGTGAGACGCAGCATGTAACCGTAGCAACGCAGTTTACCGGAGACGAGAACCTGCACGGCAAATCGCCATTTTGGTTCAACTTACATGCCGCGCATATTACACTACTCGCAAGGGTGTATCATAGCATATTATTCAAAGCCATATTTTAATGTTAATGGCCTATGACTGTCAATGGTAAGTACTGGAAATATTAAGGTAGTTTGACTAGTGTAAACGAATAGGATTTGAAGAAACTTTAAAGGCCTAAAAGAGTGGGCAATTATATTACGAATTTGTAGGAGATATCGCGTCTAAGGTCTTTTAATCGACGGCTGTGTATTAAGTGGGACTTCATCATACGCTCTATAGTGCGGTGCAATTACGGTGGTCAAAGCGCGATGGTGTTATACACGCATACAAGAGCTAAGGGTATTGTCACTTTGACGACTTTAGCATCGCGAATAAGAGTTCACGATAAAGCCCCCGATGAATGTCATCAAGGACGGATACAGACACTATATGTATATTCTAGTATGAATTCATTATTCCTAACAAATTAAATATTTATAGGCTTTTGTCTATGTGTTATAAGTATTACACTATCAAGTTAGATAAATAAAATGTATTGTATGTATGGAGAAGCAGAATAATTTTGTCATTCAAATATTATTTTTAAAATGTAATATAACCCATGCAATTTAAGGATGTCCATAGTATTCTAGTCTATTGATACATATTTACGAAATGTTAAATGCGACAGTCAACTTACATGCATATTGTCATGATACTAAAATGTACACAACCAGTTTTTTTTTCCTAAGAATGTGCATAAATAAAACACATAATTACAACTTACTCAATAATACCAAAAATATATATCCAATAAACATTATTTTCTCAAAATAACTGATTTGCTTAATTTATTATTAAAAATACACAAAATTTTGGTATGAAGTACTCGAAAAATTATCAATAATATTTTATAAACATATATTTACAGTCTTAAATACGACACTATGAATAGGTACCACTATAAAACCTTAACAGATTAACTTACGGTAATGGACAATAATTGATTTGCACAATTCGCAGGCTAGAGACATCCAAGAATTATCGTTACTCGAACTAATTGTACTTACGTTAGTTTTATTTGATAATAACGTTTCAAAAGGGATTTACAATTGAAATAAACAATTTATATTTTAATATTAGTTTGTATGGCCACAAATTATTAAATTTGGGCTATAGATGATAATTATTATGAAAAAAAATATAACTTTTAGAATATTGCTTCACGTCCTGCATATAAGTATTCACATAATAATGAATCCGTAAATTGTGTGATTTCTTTCTAATGTGTGATCGCTAGCCAGGTCTTATACTCCTAAAATCGACATCTAATATATAGCTGTTTCATCATCGGTCTAGCTCTAACATACAAATTTTTGATGCCATAGAGTAGGACAGACCTCGAAATTTTTTTTTAAAGTATCTTATGTTGTCCTTAAGAATTATTCCACTTAGACCGATCAAATCGCTTCACTGGTGGGGCAAAGAAGAAACTACCCTACTAAATCAATTTAGTAGGGTAAATTCCATTGCATTCCACTTTGCTCCAACGGTGGGGTGGTTAAGTGGGGCGAAGTCAATTAATTCGACCCCTCGTTTAGCATTAAAATATCACTTTATTTTACAAAAAATTTTTTGCCTTTTAGCCATTCGAACCTTTATTATATACAGCCGGCAGCACGTCAGGTAACTACATAAGAAAAAAATCTCCAATTCGTTTGACACCGTATTCTATAGATATTTAAGATCAAAATTGAACGCATATATTTAACCTTTCGTAGCAACCAGGATTAGCTGTTATGCGTACATAACTGCCGGTAGAAGAATTCCGCATATCATTCGGGTAGCTCTGTATATATTCACATTGAGCTATTTTACTAGGCACATAATAATAATTGTTTATCAGTACAAGTCACTATAAATACATACGAATATTATAGATAGTTAGGTTGTTTACAGATTGGGCGTACTTTTGTTTTAAACATAGTATTGCCAGGAGTCTGGTATAGAGCCGCGGCAGAGACTTGAGTGTGGTAATATATTACCTTACCCAAAAAAATGCGTTTGTATAAAGCCAGATACGGTTAGCCTTTCGTCGTGTTTGCGGGCAAATTAAACGATATGCGATTTCTCAGACTTTTTTGATTACACCTTATTTAATTATTCATGTGATGATTTACGCTGATGGATGGAGGATGACCTCTTTTTAATGGACTTTAAAATCGAAAAAGGATGGGGTTTTGTTTCATTTTTTAATTATAATGGCAGGCACGACTTGTGCATTATGCAAGGAGAAGGTTCTATATTTAAATATTTTTGTTCCAATACAGTTTATCAAGATGTTAAGGTAAAGAATGAATAATTACTATAAAAAGTTCGTTACGTCAAAACTATTTAAAAGACTAAATTTGTAAGCGTATCTTGGCTTTCTTTGTCAAATGTATGGCTATTTGATTTTAAAACCTGGCAATCCTATTTGCACTTAAATAAACGCTCACCCGACATTCTTCACTGTAAAATACTAGCAATTTCTTAGCACATCTGAAGCCTAATAAGTACCACGTTGGGCGCCAGTTGTGGCGGGTTCGATGCTTAGGCAAATGAATAAAAGGCTGACAAAGCTCGAGACCTTGGTTTTTAATAAAGGGTAAATAAAAAAACCCTTTTCTTCGGATTTAGTGAGTAATTTAACTTATATAATATATTTGATTTGATTTTTTTTGGGTTCAAACTAGTGAGTATAACGAGAACAGGTAATAAATAGATTTTAACATTTTTTTACAACAAATTGCTATTGATTGAAATTAAGTCGTATAATGTTTCAAATTCGACGAATTTACACGAACTGACATTCACAAAGAGTATATAAAATTCTTTAAAATTTGAAATTAAAAAAAAAAACAAAATTTGAAAAATGAGCAAAAAGTTTGCATGCGGGAACCTAAGACGAAATAAACGGTGGTACGACGAACCGTAACAAATAAATACTAATAAAGTTTAATTGAATCTTTCATTAAGTTGCCGATGGCCTACGTTTATGTGCGCACAAAAAAAGCTTAAATACAAAAATACGCCCACCGATTTAGTTGCCTGCTACAAAATATTCACATATTATAATTAAATAACACTTATAGTCACGTCATAATATTTAAGTAACAGTACTTAATACTTATATCTCTATGAACTAGTCGCAAATCCGTTGTCAATTACAGCCTGTAAAAGTGATAGGAATACTCAATCAACTTGGACACTTGTTTAAAATTTATATAAAAGACAGATTGTATTTTAGATAGTTGAGATATAACTATATAATTTAATATATTAGCAGTCAATATTTATATTTCAAAATTAATCGATTTTCGATCATGCATTTTCCCAAAGTATAGTAGCACTGAAGGGTTAAAATATTATGAAATAGCACTATTACATTGTAGTTATGGTTGAATTTATCATGCACATTGAAGTAATAAAATAAAAAAAAACTCATCTCTCTTACACATGAATATTCGCACAAAAACATTAGAAATAAAACAGCATTAAACCATACAATCGTAATAAAGTGACAATTAATGTGAAAGGACCACAATTACAACACCACGCTAAATAGTCAGTTGAACTTAATGGCATTAAATTACGTAGTAACAGTTAAGTAGTTTTACGTTACATCTTGAAGATCGGTTCAGTTGGCTGCTCTGAATTGTTGCTAGCTAATACAAAATAAACCACAGCATATGCTTTTTTAATGAGATCACAACTTATCCCAGTTTTGGATGTTTTATGCTTTGAAAGTGAAACACAAAATATGCAATAAAAGCCAACATTACTATTGGGTATTAGGTATTGAAACACTTAGTGTAAAATCGTAAAAGCCAGTGTTTTATTTTGTAACAGCCGATTATAGGTAATTTAGTTCAGTGTTTCTCAAAGTGATTGATATCAACCCCTAACTGTAGGATTTATTAAAAAAAATTTTTTTTGTGACAATCTAAATATAATTCCTATTAATTAATTCAAGTTGTTAAATTATGATTAGAAAATTATGTCAAGTTCACTCAGTTAATATTTTAATCAACCGCAAAATTTTAAAACTATTTTGTATCCATATCAAAAAGCTTATGAATGAGGATTTTTAAAATAATTTGGCTATGCGGTTCACTTTGGAGAAATGTATTCTTAGCGAAAATAATTTGGGAACATCTGATCTAGTAATAAAAAAAAAACATAATGGTACCGTGTTCAGGCAATAGTGCATGAGTTCCGGCCGGTGCAGTTGAGGCGGGTGTGGTGCGGATGCTTGGGGGGGCGCGCGCGGTGACGACTCGGCGCCGCGGATATCGCGTAAGACTTGAGGTGGGATTTCAACGCTGTAGGCAACGGCAACCGTTCCAATCCATACACAGACGTGCGTGCCACTATAGCACGACAGCATAACTCTTGGAGACTAAGCACTGTAATAACAAATGAATGTTTCAAAACATCAACATTTAAAACATAATTATTAATTTTATAGAAAATATTTACAAAGTCATCTGTTTCAGATGCCGGAAACTGAATTTGAAACAGTTGTTTATACAATATTTAAGCATTTTCTTATAATATAAAATACAGTGGTGGCCATATAATTAGGAACGATTTGTAGTTATAGAATGTATTAAAAGAGACTTGTCCTTTTTTTATATTTGTTTTTGTAAGTATTTACTTAGGTATTCAGAGAGCCATTTAGTTAAGATAAACTGAACTAGGATAGACATAAAATTAGTTACGATTTTTTTGGGAAAAGTATATTTATTGTGGACAGGTATTATAGTATGTGATAATAAAGCTGGACAAATAATTAGATATAATACTCTTAAGTTATTGGTAAAAAGGAAAAAAATACAGAGTAATTGAATTGTTATAATATAAAAAAATGTACATTAAAAAAAATTAAACATATTTTAAAGTAAAATTAAAATTTGGTCGCATGTCCACGACTCTCAATAACTGCTTTACACCGGAGAGACATTGACTCTATAAATTTTTGACATTCTGTATAGAATTTTTCTGAGAAATAGAATTTCATTCTTCCGAGAAAACGTCGTATAGTTCCCTTAAATTACCACACAGTCGATTTGCTATCTTTTTTAACTTCATCATCATCAGCCCTTTTACGTCCCCACTGCAGGGGTTCAGGCCTTCCTTATGGATGGTTAAGGAGGATGGGCCATGACAATCCACGCTGGCCCAATGCGGATTGGAGGGTATTAACGACTGCAAAACTGCCGGGACCAACTGCTTAACGTGCCTTCCGAAGCACGGAGTAGCTCGAGATAATAATTTTTTGGTCACCCATCCCGTGGCCGACCCTTGCGAAAGTTGCTTAACGACAACGATCGCGGGCCGCGGCGCTTATCCAATACGCCACCGAGCTTAAAGATATTCTATTGACTTTAAATCAGGGCTGTTGGCTGGCCAATCTAAGACAGCAACGGATTGAGAGTGAACAAAATTCCTTTACCAAACGGGCTGTATGTTTTGTATCATTACCATATGGTAACATTGTTTCTTAAATATATTTTTGTATTGAACTTGATCCATGCTTCCTTCTATAAGCCTAATAGGGCCAAATCCATGACCAGAGAAGCAACCCCAAATTTTCAGGTTGCTACAAAAATGTTTTAAAGCCACCTTAGTAAACTTGGTGTCAAATGCCCTAATGAAGTAGTGCGTGCCGAGAACGCAGAAGAAAACCTTCGCCAAAATATTCCTTTCGTATCTCGTTAGACCCTTTGAAAGGATGTAATTTCGCAAGACGCATGATGTTTCTGTCGTGTTTCGTGTCGTCGTGTCGTGGTCGTGGCATGCGCAGAATATTTAAAGTACTGTTATAGGTTTTAAAGTAATTTACAGCATTGAAGATCATGGTTTTCGAACATTGTAGATGGTCAGCTATTTTTTAATAAGACCACGTTTCCCAAAGTTTTAATACAATCTCCCTTAAACTAAACGGCGCCAGTTTTATGAGAAAATAGTGTAAACATAGAGTGTTCTTTGTTTGAATTTAAATAAAAAAATAAATAGATTGCATTTCTAATTGACTAATTGAATAAGAAGTATTTCTTGGGTTAGATTTTACATTTGCATAATTTATACTTTTTTTTATTCATGGTTTAATAAATCCAATTTATAGAAGAAAGAACCAACAATGTAGAAATATTTTGGAGTACCACAATAATAAAAAAATAATACATGCAACAAGCTATATGTTTTTTTAAGTTAATGTACTATTTTCAAGGGTTCTTAATTATATGGCCACCACTATATTATCGTAGATAACCTTAAAAGATAATAATATTATCAGATTTCTGTTAATATTATTCTGTTTATTAAACAAACGTTTTTAATATAGAAAAAAAATAGAGCAATGATTTTGTTCATTTCTAGTACAAATATTCCAGAAGAAATTGAATTTCTTAAAAGAAAACAACAAGAGGCTATAATTTGGAGGAAATATTTTTAAGAATATAGGATACATAATTACTCTAATAATACAAGCAATAATGTAATATAAGATTCATAAATATAATTATTACAAACCTTTATTGCTTCTCCATAATCTCTCCATTCCATTACGATGGAGAGCCATCCTTGACAGCTCACAGAAACTTTCCCTGATATTGAAATCACATAGAGGGCTAACTTCAAAAAACGCCATGTGATTTTTAGCAGCATACAATTCAGCATCTCTTTCTAAAACCTGCCGTTTGAAGGCAAGGTGCAATCTGTTGCCTACTAATACTTTTGGGACTCCTGGTGCATGCTAAAAATAAGCAAAACATCACATTTATTGTATGGGAGCCCCCTTAAATATTTATTTCTGGTTTTTAGTATTTGTTGTTATAGCAACATCAGAATGGCATAATCTGTGAAAACTTCAAGTTTCTACTTTTCATGGTTCATAAAATACGGCCTATTGACAGACAGACAGATGGATAGTGTAGTTTAAGTAATAGGCTCCTGTTTTTACCCTATGGGTATAGAACCTTAACAAATTAATTGATTGAAAAGAAATTGATATTAATGCTTGATCTTATAATATTCATGACAATACCACTACACATTTACATACTACAAAATGAGAAACATCCATAGCTTAGCAGAAGACTTAAACAGTGCTATTAATAAACAAGGTTTAAAGTTAGATTAAATTCACGCTAAAATTCCAATTTTAGTATTTGTCCAATTTCATATTATACAAAGAATGAGCGAACCTACAAACTTCTAGGAGTAAATATTATTCCCGTAGAATCTCGTACTAGGTTAACCTGTGCTAAGTGTCTGTTTAATAATATGAATTTTTACTATTATTAAATGCAATCTCAGTGTAAATTAATTTTAATGTTAAACATTGAAAGAGTTTAGTGTGCATGATTTAACATTTTTATTAGATTTATATAGTTTGAGTAAGCTTAGAACAACCTCAGAACTTAAGTGTTATTTTATGATATGAATAGTGAGGATGGAAACATAAGAGGTTCATAGTATTAATTTCATAGTTCATAAATTTTAATAAAGCCATTTAATTAATAGTCAATTTTATCAAAATATTTGTAAAGTTTAAATAATGGTTGCCGACTAGAACCTTGTAAAAAATATAAATCACATCAAGTTTACCTGTTCAACTTCTTCAAGCCACCTGTCGATACTGTCAAATGACCATTTATTTGTTATGTCATAAACAAGAAGTATGCCTTGTGCGCCACGCGAGTATGACCTTATTATTGTGCAGAAACGACCCTGGCCTGATGTATCCCATAGTTGCAGTTTAACTCTTTTGCCGTCCAACAATATTGTTGTTGTTTTATAAGCTAGAAAAAACATTCAATAGTCATAATATTATATGAACAAGAATATAAATACACTCTATTTTAATTTAACTTTATTTGTTAATAAAGCAGTGATTTATAAGTCTTCCATAGCAACTTTGGGTTGTCAAGAACACCACTACATATTAGTATTTAAAATAAAAAATGTTGGGTAAAGTAAAAGGCTTACTCAAAGTTGCACAAACATCCATTAAGGTTTAATTACCATTTTAATTAAATTTGAAAATTTGTATTGATGCTGTCATTTTAAACTAATGACAATTATATGAACATTTGTACAACTGGCTGTAAGTCCATATGCATCACTCACAGCCACTCAAAGATTGCTTTTATAGATACTATTTTCTTTAAATAGGTATATAGTGTATAAGATAATACATCACAATTTTTCTCACCTGATTTACTTGTATAGGATCACTTTATAATTTAGGAACTATAATAATTTATGGTTCTAGTTAAGTATTGTATAAGCTTACCACTGCCACTACAAAATGGTGAATCAGCTGAGCCATCCTCTAGGTCCTGTAGAATTTCTTGTTTTCCAACATCAGAATCTCCAACAAGGAGAACTTTTAATAAATAATCATAAGATTTAGGTGCTGCTGGTGGTCGACCTAAAATAATAATGAATATTATGAATTAGTATGAATTGGATCAAATTCTCAAAAATTGTTCTTTTCTGGGCTCAATAAAACATGATCAACTCATTTTGATTAGAATAGTGAGTATAGCTAAAAGTACTTGGATGGCCCACCATAATTTAAACTTTAAATTACACTTATGGTTATAAAATATAGAACACAACTCACATCAACTATTCTAATACAAATGTTTGCAATAAATTATACGACTTACAAAATTTTACAAAAAAATCAGAATAATAATGAGATATATTCATAATCAAAAACATTTTTGAGTAGTACTGGTTAGACTAATAGTTCATCCTTTTATGAATTAGGTATCTTAAAAAGATATACATATGTCAAATTTATGACAAAATTTTTAACCATGAAGAAAGAAGAAATATTTGCTCTCTAACTAAAACACTGACTCAAGAAAAATACCAGGAATTTGATAAAGATACCTGTTCTTTGATGATGAGAACGAGGTAAGGTAGTACTGCCATTCTGTGCAACCTGGTTTGTCGCTTGTTGAGGTGCTGCTCCCATACCAGAAGTGGAGAACATAGTCATGGTGAATTCACTATCCTGTCTTCCAGGTGGTCTTTACCACAAGCAAAATTCATAATATTGTATCCGAGCGTATCAATTATGATGTTTAATTAGATAAGTCTATTAAAAAACAACATTTTACTACAATACTGAATCCAATTTGTTAATAATTTATTGCAATAATTGACTTTACAGTAACTTTGTATTCATAATACACAGAAGTTATCTACGCAAGGTCGAAACTCACGACATATAATTATTTACCTATGAAATTAGCTAATCAGAAATAGCAAACCACTAGAAGACCAGAATATAACGTTGTCCTAAATTTTAAGCCAATAATTACGTTTTAATTCCTCTAAAAACACAAAAACAACGAAGGTAACAAGGTTGCCAGATGTCGTTTTTGAAATTACTCCACACCACACCACAGAATTGTTCCTGAATTGATTTTAAGAAAAAAAAAGGAAGCACAAAAAAAGTACCTCGCTAGACGGCGACTCTACCAAAAGATGATTTTTGTAGGAAAGGAATGAACTAAGGATAGTCATTTCCATTCCTTTTAAACTTAGATATAAACGAAAAAATACTAATAAAATATGAGTTATTTATTAAGTTTTGAAAATTAATTTACTTTTTTACATGAAAGTAAACCGAAAAGGTTGTCATGGAGAAATCGAGAAAGTGCCATAGTGACATCTAGTTTGATTTCTGGAACTAATGTTTTTTTTAATACTTCCTCATTATAATAAAATATCACTATAAGAAAAATAAAAAGCCCTCTCTGGAGGTGCCACATTATCTTTTTTTGTTGTAACATTGAAACATTGTAAATTGGCTAGCTAGATTATTATTTTAAGTGTTATATGTATTTTAATTTTATGTTGATGATATCATATTTTCCATGGCTTTTTCAAGATTTAGTATAATAAAGTTTTTAATATAGATTTATTATTCGTCTCAGTTTTATTTTATCTGATAAATCACTATTCACACTTACAAGTTTCTGAATTGAAAAAATACAAAATCTTAATTGATTATTCTCAATTACTTATTTTTTTTAAGTTATACAAATTAAAAAGGTTTATTTTTTTATCAAACTGCTATCAACAGATGACTAAAATCAGAAACGTAAACTTGTTTATGTATAGCTTAAGACGTTCTAAACTTTAAATTCTCGATTCAGAAACCGGAAAATATTTAAACTGAAAATATTTAGCGCGATCGGGGCTCGGTGTTCGGAACTCATCTCTTTGCAACCTTAATTAAACCTCTCTTTCTTCCTAAGTAAAAACTGAAAAATGGATACTCTCATATTCGTATATTATTCATTGTTCGTAGAAATTCATATTATCATAAATTCCTCTTTTCACCTCTTTATGTTTTTAAAAAGAAGTAAAAAAATAGAGTTTGGCAAGCGAAACGTGACACCACCTATTTTTCCGTTTTCATATGGCAACAACATAGAACTGTCAGTTTGACACTACGTTAGACAATTCAAGAATATTGAATTTTGTTGTTTTTGCGAATTTGAACTTGTGTTTTTGGTTAAAAATTATGTCGAAGCCGATAAAAAGTTCATCGAGGAAACTTCTTTCCATCATGATTGACAAGTTTACTGAAGTGAAAACTGAATTAAATAAAAATTTCATGGAGAAATTACAACGATTAGATAAAGTTGTATCTTTTTTAGGTTAGTTTTGTATTATAATTTTGATACTTTCGTTTTAATTTTCTGTAATTAACTAAACAGATATTTTTTATAAAATATTGCTCTATTTCAGATAACTGTGATGGTGATATTCAACCAATAATGGAGGAGATAAATGCAATAAAAACTTTAGAAAAACAAGAAATGCTGAATTCGGAAACGCAGTACTTACAAAAAATTTCTTCAATGACAGGTCTCTTTTCTTGTTTTGATTTAAGATAGATTGATAGTATTCCTATAATATTTACATAGGTTTTTTATGATGTATTGGTTTTTATTGTTGACATCCAATGATGTCATAAGAATGTTTTGTTTAACAAGGAAATTCACAGAATTCATGAAACTATTCAAACCATGTAATTGTTATACATGCTAAATATGCACATAAACTTAACTAAATTAAACATAAATTGCATTCATAGTTGAATAGGTATTTAAATTATTTTGATGTATGTGTCTATCATTATTTGCTTTTAAATACATTTAACATATCTTTGTTTCAAAGTGTTTAATCTTTTATAGATGTAAGTATAAGGACACTAAGAAGGATAAAAAATGAAGCATTAATTAATAAAGGAAAATGGGACACTCCTGGGAAAAAACGACCTCATCAACCAACAGTGTCTGCTTTAGATAATTTTGATTTAAGTGCAATTCGGAATAAAGTAAATGAATTTTACTGTGTGAAAAAAATTGTTCCAACATTAAGAAGCCTTCACAATGAATTAAAAGATGCAATAGGATTCAGTGGTAGCCGTGAGACTTTACGAAAAATTATGCTTAAGAATGGATTTTCTTTTAAAAGCAATGAAAATGAACGTTCTATGCTTATAGAAAAATACCAGATTTCTGCATGGAGGCACAAGTATTTGAGAGAAATAAATATAAAACGAAACGAAGGAAAGCAAATTGTGTACCTTGATGAAACTTATGTACATCAGAATTATAAAGTTAAAAAGTCTTGGCAAGGACCTTCAACAACTGGTGTCACTACAAAGATATCCTCTGGAAAACGGCATATTGTTGTGCATGCTGGATCTGAGGAAGGTTTTGTGCCTGGTGCATTATTAGTGTTCAGTAGTAAATCCAAATCTGCTGATTATCATGATGATATGAACTCATCGAACTTTATGAAATGGGTCAGAGAAAAATTAATACCAAATTTAAGTAAGCCCAGTGTAATTGTTATGGATAATGCCAGCTACCATATAAAACAAATCAATAAACCGCCTATAATGTCTAATACCAAAGCAGATATCCGTAAATGGCTTGTAAATAATGGAATACATTTTGAGGAATATCAGACAAAGGCAGAGTTAATGTGTTTGGTTAATGATAAGAAAACATTGCCTGTATATGAAGCTGAAGAGATTTTAAAAGAACATAATCATGAACTTTTATTGCTGCCACCGTATCATTGTGACTTAAACCCAATAGAGATGGTTTGGAGTCAAGCAAAAAGAAAAATTGCAAGCAGAAACATTGGAATACCAGGAAAGGAAATGGAAAACTTAATAATAGAGTGTTTTAACTTAATTACCCCTAGTGACTGGAAGAAATACACTGATCATGTTTTAAATGTCGAAAATGATTACAAATTAAAAGATGGCATTGTTGAAAACGAACTTGAAAAATTTATTATATCTGTTGGTGCAGACAGTAGTGAAGAGAGTGACTCTGATGATTCCTTGTCATTGTTATCAGGTGTAGAATATTTAGAAACAGATTTTGACTATGAATCAGACTAAAGTATTTTTAGTCTGATTCATAGTCAAAATCTTATCTTAAATTTTCTATTGTGATTAACATGATGATTTTGTGACACCTGTATTATGTAATTTATCCATGGCACTTAATTGTAACAAAAATAAATGTTTTTTTTATTGTAATCTGGTGTTTATATTGACTAATTTAATTTGATAGATAGTGGTTCTGGATCAGAGCAAAAGGTTGTGATGAAAATCCCTTAGGAGACATGTATGTGTTATGAACACATTATAAATATAAGGGCCAGAAATCAAAATTGGCTAACATCACATTTATTAAAAAAATGTGGCCAGAGTCGCCCATATTCATTACAAAAAAACAAAGAAGTCGTTGCAAAAAACACCCTTTTAATTAATGACAAATATGAATTTTTAATATTATAAGTGCTGTTAGCCAATAGGTATAACGAATGGGTTAAAAAAAAGATTCGATTAAGTCCGTCAGTCAGATAATAGAAAAATATTGGATACGTATTTTTTTTCGCTTTAATTTAACAACAAATGGCTTAAGAGGTACTATGCGACGACTTCAAATATGCTTTGCAACAATGTTACTTTAATACAGTTTATCGATACGAAATCAAGTGTCAAAATGGAGTCCAGTGGAGAATGCCGATATTGACATTTCGAAATTGCTCATCATTGATAGAGAATACGAAATAGTGATTTTGACACAATCAAAGTGTCTATTTTTTACGGTGATGACGATTCTTGGTTGTCAGTTGAGTTAGTGAATAGGCCTACTGATATGCTGTTAACTGTACAATTAAGAACAGTCACGCTTTAGTCAAATGTTCCAAAACAAATAATTTTAATTGATATCTAAATGTTAAGATTAAATATAATTAATAAAAGTATCAAAATTATTTTGCAGTACTACATTCAGTGTTTACTGCTTAAGAATTTTTGAAATTGCCGCCCTTTTCTTGTGACACGTTTCGCTTGCCAGACTCTAACTATGCTATTTTACTCTTACCATAATCCCTTCCTTCAATGAAAAATTCCTTAATTTTTTCCCAAAAATCACGAACTGCTCCTTAGTCTGGCAATATCAATTAATCGCAGACCAATTATTAATACAGACCACTTACATTTGGACTAAGAAGGATAGTATGACTTATACCTATATGATGATAACTTACGCAACGGACCTTCTTGATATGATGTGAGCCTAGGATCAGATGTATTTGAATCTATAGTTATGGAACAAGTGATAAATTGGACGTTATACATAATCCCCAACCATTATGAAAAACTAAATTTTATGTAAATTTAGTTTTTCATAATGGTTGGGGATTATTATATCAAACTAATTAGAGGAAAAATAATATCAAACTATCAATGTATGAAAAGGGAACTGATACATTGACAAAACATATCATGCGTTGTTCCCTGTCTGCACATTTACCTTTATTATCGTATTGCAAATTTGTCATATAGCAATATATTTATTTTATTTATTTATTTATTATTACAAGCTTATCGCTATTATTACAGGTAATCCCAATACAACAGCGTAGCCACATTATCTAAATACAATTATACTTAATCCCCATCACTATAACATAACACAAATTGAGCTACTTTAGTGAATTCACACAGGGTACAAACAAAAAGATCGATTTCTACAGATACCTTATTCAAAATCCGTATAGCTCGCGTCAGTGGGGCTTCATTTAGCAGGTTGGTCCTCCCGTGAGGTACTGCAAATAACTTTGGTTGACGCTGTCGCTCCACATACCTATCCGGAACACTTAGACCCACCCGGCCCAGAATCAACGCATTGCTAATTTTGCCTCTTAATAATTTAAAAATATATGTTACCATTGCCAATCCTCTTCTTACTTTCAGTTCAGTGTATCCGACCATACCAATGACGAACAGGGTGGGATACATAAGTGGATAAAACGGATAAATCCCGTATACTTTCAGGTACAAATATCTTAAAAATTTATTTTGAATCCGTTCTAACATCATACTGTATTTTATTTCATTAGGTGCCCAAATAATAGCATTACACTCGAGCTGACTTCTTACTAGTGCATTGTATAATGCTACTACTGACTTTATAATAATGACCGTGCAATGTGATAAATAATGAAGTTTAGATAGACATTAATCACCTGGCCCGATAAAGCTAGACATTATTTATGATGTTCGCACATTATTAATATTGCATGCATTAGTGGTCCTGGTCCATAGCATCTACAAACAAGACGTAAGACTTTTGTCGAACGAACACAGAAAACGATTCTGTGATTAAGCTCCTATTTATCAGTGGGGAAATAAAGGTGATAATTTTCTAAGGAAATAGTCTAATCTCTCTCGTCTATGCTTGATCTAATCGATTATTTTAGTTTCTATACTTATTCTCCTTTAATTTTACGGCGAAATATTGTTTGAAAGTGATAAAATTCATAATCGGAATAATTATGGATCAAAGTCAAGCAAATGTGTAATTTCGACTTAGGGTTAGGGATGAAAATTAAGGCAAACAAGTTCACAATTTCAAACAAAAGATTTGCGCGGCAAGTTCGAAGTTTTCAATTTACCAACCATAGTTTTTGAAGACTTTTTTTTTAATTTTAAGTTAATCGAAAGTTTTAAAACAAGTTAGCTGTTTAGTTTAAATTTGTGCTACTGTATGCATTATGCAGCGACGCCATTTAACAAGAGAGGAAATGTTAAGGGTAGTAGGCATCCCCCAAGCTGGGGCTACTCAACGGTTATGGTCACCTTATCGTGGTGTTGGTGAAGTGGCTGAAAGACACCTAGGCGGGAAGCGCATAACCATAGACCGATTTTTGCAAATTATTGTGAGAAGGCAACCAAATATAACGACCATAACGACCGGCAGTTGGTTCAAGGGCTCCAGTCAGAGCACCAGTTGCTTGTGAGTGACCAAACTGTGAGGTGAAGACTGCATGAAGCTAATCTTCATGCTCGCAGACCGCTTCGTACTCCTGCACTACGCTGAGGAAATCGTGGAAGAAGATTACAGTGGGCTCGTGAATATTTGGTCTGGGAAGGTAGCCAGTGGTCTGTAGTGCTGTTTACCGATGAGTCCTGATACGGTTTCCATCCTGATTCGCGAAGAGTACGTGTATGGTGAATTCCTAGTCGTGACAGACACCTGCAACACCCTCAGGAAGTCCATCCATACAATGGCGGGACGATTATGGTTTGGGCGGGAATTCATGTTGGTGGAAAAAAATGACCTCGTTTGGATCAGAAACACCATGACCGCTGAAAAATACCTCAACCAAGTGCTGGTACCAATAGTCTACCCACATCGTCTACAAATGGGTCAACAATTTACGGTCACGCACGACAATGCTTGACAATGCGAGTGGTCACCAACTGGCTGCAGGAGCACGATGTATCGGTTTTAGGCTAGCCTGCGCAATCACCAGACCTAAACCCCATAAACACGCGTGGGACATGCTTCAAAGAAGAGCTTTGAGGAATTTATCTAAAAACATTGTCACTAAAGGGCAACTTTTTTTGTATCTTTCCAGGATGTGGGACAATATCCCGCAGCAAGACTTTGATAAGTTGATTCGAAGCATGAAAAATCTCTGCAGGACCGTTTTTAACGTCATGGGTGGTTTTACTGACTATTGATTTTTGCTAAATTGCAAATAACGGAATAATTTCGCTATATTTTAAAGTAAATTAGTTTTCAAAACTCAATAAACAACTCATATTCTATTTGTACTTTTTCCTATTTACTTTTAATATGTTAGTATTTTAAGAAAAAAAGAAAGCACTAAAGAAGTACCTCAACAGACGGCGATCCTAGCAAAAGTTTTTTTTTGCAGAAAACGAATGGACCAAAGATAGTAATTTCCGTTTCTTTTAAATAACGTGTTAAAAAACTGAAATTTGCAAAGTTCAAAACTTAGATATCAATAGAAATACGAAAATGTAATTGTTTATTGAGCTTTGAAAATTAATTTACTTTCATATATGAAAGAAAACCGGAAAGGTTGTCTTGGAGAAATCAAGAAAGTACCGTAGCGACATCTTGTTTGATTTCGGGAACTAATGTCTTTTTAATTACTTCCTCATTTTGTGAGGGCTCGACTGGATCGATCTGATTTTGATATTCCATTCATAAAATCGAAGAGCGATATCAGTTCAAATCATCTCAAATGTACGAGTACTAATATTACCAAATATGGATTTTCTTATTGGGATATTTTATTCCCAATAGGTATAAATAAATGAAAAGCTCGATTTAGTGGTTAGCGTGTTTGATCTGCGAGTTCGGAGTTTAAGCGACGATCACAAAGTACGGTAGTCAATTTTTTTTGGAACGATTTAGGACGACCACGGTCACTGTCGATCGTGAGCGCGTTAAGATTTTAGTATGGAATCCGGTACAGCACCCCTAGCGGTAACTACCAAGAACTACAAATCTCAATACAAATTCTTAACGTGCTCACTAGTAAAGTAGAACTTACACTTACCACTCTGATTACTGCAAAGAGTACAGGATTACTGTATAGATTGATGGTACCCATTAAGAATACCGGTGCTTTAGCATCGATAACCATCATTGGAACCTTTACGCGGGCTCAGTGCGGAATTCATTTATCGCCATAGATTTAATGAATCTATCATTCTATGATTATTCCTAAAATCTTCAGTGTTAAGGATCAAAGTCAAAGATGCTTCGCTGCTGTACTAACGACACAAGTTGGTGTACTAAACCTGAATAAAAGCCATTGTTCTATTTTGATATGTTTATTGAAGTCTTAACAAATTGAACCTTTGCTTAGTCTAACGTTTTTAACATTTCGAATATATTTTTCTATAAAAATATACTTAAAATAGGAACATGAATGCAAGAGATTTACCATCATAATAGTTTATACATCAGGCACTATATAAATGCATAAAAGAACGATATTAATGAAATAAATGTGGATACATAATATGCTACTAATATCAGTATTCAGCATAACCAGGCAGTGGGAATGCTCGGCTAAAACTTTCGATTTCAGTTCTGAGAGTATTGATTTTTTGTTTGAAATCTGTATTATCTTCAATAGTTTTGTTGAAGTCAACTAACTTTGGCCCAGACACCTTTACAACTTCTTTAGCAATATTAAGTGCTTTATGTATGTAGTCTACCACTTTGTCAATATCAGCTTCTTTGAGGCCTCTTGTAGTCAAAGCAGGTGTGCCTGAAACAATAATAAAAAAAATGATACCAATTAGCAAGTATCTTACTTTTTAATTATTAAATAAATTGCTCAGATGCATAATTAAGTAGTAAAAGCACTTGTGGAAATCTAAAACGAGGAAGCGTCACAACATCCAAACTATATTGACCTGACCGAAAATCGAATCTGGCTTATGACCCGCAAGATCACAGAGGTCCATTTATATGGATCTATTATGGTTTAGTATTTTTAAAATGTGTAAATGCGAATTGTTTCTTTTAAGTATTGTACTAATTAAGGAATACATTAAATAAAAAGTGAAGAGCATAATTTTGTTGAATGCATATCATCATCAAGCAGTTGATATCTCTAAGGCATAGATTGTTCTATGGATGGAATCACCATATGGAAAGTAGCTCATAATCCACAACACAGGCCCAGTGGGTATTAGTGAATTAACAACTTCCAAAGAGGTATTGTATTTTTGATCACCAATTCCAACCACCGCCCTATACGAATGTAGCTTGACCTATGCAATCGCAGGCCGTGCATTAAATAAAAAAGTCCACATTGACATTGTACGGTCTGCATTACGTTTGTTAAGCAACTTTCGTATAGCCGGCTATAGGATAGATTACCAAAATCATTACCTCTGCTTCGGAAGGCACAGCCATAAGCGTTGTTACACAGCTGCATTTGCAGTCATTAACACCCTCCAAACCGCACTTGCTCTGTGTGTTGGAATAGGCAGACCTATTCCATTCTATCATGGAAGGTCTGTGTTCCAGCTGTGGGGAACATTAATAGGCTGATGAATTGATGGCATTGACCTCCACAATTCTTACCTAGCCTGATGCCACTAGGATTGAGTGCACTCTTGTCTCCGGGGACAGTGTTCTTGTTGCAAGCGATGCTGCACAGCTCCAGGATCCTCTCAGCGGGTGCGCCAGTGAGGCCTGCACTGCGCATGTCCACTAGTGCGAGGTGGACATCGGTACCGCCTGTAGCGATATTGTATCCGCGTGAAATTAAACCTTCGCATAGACGTTGTGCATTCTTTATAACCTGTACAAAGAAGTTTAAAAATTAATAAAAGCGGCCAAGTTTGAGTCGGTTTCGACATTATTATCTATAAAAAAAAACTTAATAAATCACATTTGTTATATTTATTTTAGTCCATTTTTAATATTTGTCATAGTAGCTGTGGACAGCAGTCTTAGTAATGGGGTTCCGTTTTTACCCTTTTTATATGGAACCTTAAAAAATTGATAAATGATATAAAATAGTATACTCTCCAGTCTTCCACTCTCTCTACACAAGATAATGATACCATAATGATGCTCGTATCAGTCGTGAAACAAAACAAACATTACTATTTATTATAAGTAAGGACAGAAAAGTATTCAATATGAAAATATTAGACGGCCTTACCAATAAGTAATGTATAGGCGTTATACAATGTTTTGTCTTTTTCACATGAATTAAAAGTGACATTAGAATGATATGAACACAGCTATGTGTAACAATTTTGTAAATTTCTTATTTGTTAAACGGAAAACAAAAAAAAAAAAATGGTAATTCATCTTTTAATCTGTTTTTTCTTCTTATCAGCCAAAAGACGTCATGAACGAGTGTCAGGTAAAAATGTTGGACGATTCAATAGTACCTTCTTAAAATAAGTTTTGACTAAACATATTTTGATTTTGGCTCTACTTACTTGTTTCTGATATTCAACGAATTCAGGGGAAGTAGCTTGTTTCATTGCTGTGGCGATAGCTGCAATAGCGTGATTGTGAGGACCTCCCTGTAGGCCTGGGAATACCGCTTGGTTGATACGGCTCTCGAAGTCGTACATGACTTTAGTTCCATTGGGCTTTACGGAACGTACGCCTTTGCGGTAGAATATAACACCGGCGCGGGGACCGCGAAGTGTTTTATGCGTGGTCGTAGTCACAATGTCACAATACTCAAAAGGACTTGGTATTACACCTGAAAAACGAAATTAGACAAATTTCATGTTAGTGGAGTTAAGATTTGGTGGTGATTGTTTTAAGACTATTATATTTTGATTAATTTTGCATTCACAATGCCATACTGAAAATTATTATTAATACAAAATGCTTAAAAAATTCACTTGGTCCCTGGCACCCTGAGATGGAAATCGACTGCTCTTACCACTGAGCCCAGGACCTAACAGGACTGACGAATCTTTCAAGCACTTGTTACTTTTCGCTACTACAATACAAAGCTTCTAACTCAATTTGCTACAAAGATTGTTATGTTATTACATTAATATAAGCATGCAGATGAGTATAGACCCTTGTGAGTAAAATCAAATAATATGAACATTATTTAACATTTATATATTCTTATTGCCTGAATTGGTGTAATGGATATGATCTAGTTTTAGATTGTAATGTCTTAAGAAAATATTGATTTAGTAAGTTCATTAATTAAACATTACCTGCAGCAACCAGCCCTGAGACATGAGCCATGTCTGCCATCAGGTATGCTCCATTTTGATTAGCAATTTCTCTGAACCTTTTGTAGTCCAAACACCTTGAGTAGCAGCTCATTCCAGCAATTATCAAACGAGGATTAAACAATTTTGCAGTTTCTGATAACTTGTCATAATCAATTAAGCCAGTTTTGGGATCTACCTAGAAACAAAACCAAATTTTACACCATATATTTATCTTAAATAAAAATGCTAAATAATTGAACCAGTTCCAGGTTCCAGGATAGAATTTGAGCCACTGAGTTTTCACTATCCGAGCAACTGCTCTAACCAATTGACCTTTTAATATGAATATAACATTGTTAATGTGAAATTGTTCAAATGAAAAAGAAATTATAATATGAATTACTTAGCCAAATTTACGCTGTGTCCTTTTTGTTGCCATATAATTGATGAATAACATATGTTCGTCGCTGATATTAATTGTAATTGGTCCAGTAGTTTTGAGTTTATTTATTAGATACAAAAAATCATATCATTCCTAATATAAAATTAGTTTAAAAATGGTATATGTAAGAATTTAACATGAAATAAATTAATCAGACTTAAGCATTAATGTGGTATTTGTTTACATTTTGCATGTATATATAGTTGCGTAATATTATTACTAATTGACTTGACTGATAATGATGTAATTATTACAGACAAGATAGTAGAGATGTCATTTGAACGTAATGTTTGTTAACTGTTTCATAATGTATTAATCAATATATTTTTATGATAACAGAAAGTAGGCATGTATTCAAATTACAACAACAAATATAAAATTCCTAATAATATGCTCATTTAAAAGTCAGTAATCTATTATTTTTAGAATGTGACCCTTAATGGATTTTTATTGTTACTTACTTTGTATGGCATGCTCTCAAAGAAAATGGAAGTTGCTGAAATTTTCTTTGTTGGTGTAAAGAAACCGTGTGTTAGATGACCACCATCGGGAAGGTCCAGTCCCATTATTCTTCCATGTGGTTCGACCACACCAGTGTATACTGCAAAATTAGCTGGAGAGCCTGCAAGAAAAGTTTTTCATATAATGAACTTATATTTGTTTGATATATATTTTTCTGATCATAAAATACAAGAGTTATAAGAGATAGAGACATTATCAATATTAAAGTTATCATTAACTTGTATTGGAATTAAGAATGTCATAATAAGATGCAAGAGAGAGAGAGAGAGAGAGTACTAAATATATTAATTATAAAGTTTATGCTACTTTTAAATTTATTTTATCAACATTAGTTAATTTATAATTACACTTATTTTGATTACTTTTTTATAATAAGGTATGGCATATACCTTATTATAAAAAAGTAATCTTTAAAAAATAATGACCTGCCATTGTGAATGAAATATTTATCAAAAATAATAAGATAAATGCCAACCTGAATAAGGTTGAACATTTACTCCCCATTCTTCAGGATTGAGTCTATATGCTTCCAAGGAACGTTTTTGAGCTAAAATTTCAACTTCATCAATGAACTCATTTCCACCATAGTATCTAGAAAACAGAAGTTTAAGACAAATAAAGGTAAAAAGAAATATTTATAAATGTAACTGCAATATTTGCATGAATATAAAAATTCTAAGAAATGTGTTTTTCTCTCTATAGGTTTAAATCACTTTCCCCATTTTATGGCAAGTTTTATTTTATTTCAGTTTCTTTAAAAGAGGAACTAAATGCATTCTGTTTCATTTGCAGTGTCAGTTCTGCAGAAAGTATTTATGAGTGGTTTCAAAATTAGAAATATCTGTGAGCCGATTGTTAATATTGAAATTAAAAATACTTAAAAACATGATTTTAGTCTACATTTTAATTACAAAATTTATATTAACATATATGCAAGTACAACTCACCTCTGATGAGGCATACCCTCAGAGTATTTATTGTGCAGACATGAACTCAAACATTGTAGAACTGGTACAGATGTAAAGTTTTCTGAAGCAATCATCTCCAAACCAGCAGCTTGACGCTGTTTCTCATTTTTGATGATTTCAAAGAGTTCAGGGTCTGTCTCCCATAAATTTCCAGTTAGCAATTTGTTACTCATTGTTGTTGACACGTGTAATGATCTACTTATACAGTTCAACTGAAATGTGAATATTAAATTTATTCATAAAACTTCAGTCCAATTGATTCTAATGCGTCACGTACAAGACTGAGTGCGCTTGATAACATTCCAATAATATAAAGATCAAGAAACGTGACCTGATACTGATAGAGAATAACGCAATACAAAATAAAAGTTAGTGATAATTTATATCATATTACTACATCGGCTTTTGAAATGACATTATGGTTTCGCGACTTATCTATTTTAAAATTGAATTGATGTTGAACAGATTGTTGAAAGCAACATCATGTATTTGAAGGTTAAATTGGCCTTAGAATCTACCTTTATTTTGTGTTCATGACTATATCAAAGATCTGTCAAGTACAATTTTTTTATTATAAAAATATAAATTCATTCAATAGATAATGTTAAATCGCACAATTCATAAAAACTCAAAAATCATAAAAAACATGATTGGTTGAATGTAGGAGTAGGAATGTTACGTTATTCAGCACCTACCAAGAGAATAAGTTTATTTCTATTAAATTAAAAAAGCTTAAATTCTCGGTAAACTTCTGCACACTATTAAAAAACACAAATCGCAGTTTTACATGTAATGAAATAACTAAAAGAAAAAAAATCAAAAATAACGCTGCCGCGCGCCGCATCGACAGGTTGTGTAAAATAAATAATTATTGTACTATCCATTAATTTGAACTCTATTAACGCAGGATTTGGTACATACCTTAGAGGTTACTTTGGAATGCAGTAACAATTTTGATTGTTTTTGATATAATTCTAGAGATCCACCAGTCTTGCGATTTATGTCAAAAAAAAGGGTCCGTATAAATTTACTAGACATGATTTATATTAAACTACAATCTACACCGCTACACACATGAATATGTTCCACATAAAGATATTTATATTTTAATTTATCACCATTGGTTGATAACCTATTATGAACTTTACTGACATGACATACAGTTTTGTTGTTGGTGACGACTGTGACTGACACTAGCCTGATACTTTCTCAGTTATTGACTCAAAGGGAATAAACATCATACAGCCTGAGAACAACGCAGTTCAAGCTACAAGACTAGTTAAGTAGTATGTTATAAGAAATAAAGTACACACTTTATTACTGAACGCGTTTCAAAATAGATTAATGAATACTTAACTGTTTGTTTTGTGATTTTTGTTTCAATTGTCAAATGTGTAATTCAAACAAGGGTGTGACGCGTAATTATTAATAAATATACTCAATTCTTGTGGGAAAACCTAATTAAATATTACTGTTCCGTGAGAAGAAAAGAGAAAAAATAATATTTTTACTATTTTGGTCCCATTGAAGTGTTATAAATATATAAGGTTATAAACCAAAGATTCAATAACTAAAATGACCTCGGTGGGAACTTAGTTTAAAAATCAACGGTAGTTTTGTATTAATCTATGTTTACAACCGCTAAGGGTTTACAGTTTACTATACTGACACAAAACATAAGTAACTTAGTAAGGGTTCCAAATATCTATTAATATATCTTATCTAAATGATAGTTTAGTTAAAAATATTTTGCAGTTATAATGCTGCTAGTACACCGACACAATCGCATTTTGCATAATGTTTCGCATGTGCTTTGTCTCGCTCTATTATTAGCTCGTCTACTGCGAAAAAAGTCGTTACACAGCATGTGCTCCTGTGGCTCATGTTCACACGTTTCCCATTCAGGGTTGCCACCCGAGGCGGTATCTGATGACTATCCATACATCACGAATTTTCATATTCAAAAGGTGACAACCTTGTCATCAATCGTACAGTTTCGCAGATGATTAGACTGACGCACATTGATTGAATACATTCTGACGCATTCATAAGCTAATAGCATGAGTTCAGTGAAAGTATTTGAATCCTATCATAGGATGTTATTTGTTATAAATTCTCGGAAATTTGGTAGTTTCCACGAACTCTATGTTAGTACTATATTATGTGTTATAAGCAGAGGTCGGAATTAGGTAGAGTTATTTATGTACTTGCATCGAAATGTTGATATTAATGTGGACCTTCCCGGGATTTCTTTATTTTTTCTTCGTTATTTCTTTCTTTCATTGATGTAAGTTTGGCAACGTCGTGCGTGCAGTAGTTTAAATTGTGTAAAAGTACATAACTTTTTATTTAAAAAATCACGGGATTTTTCTGCTCTTTAAAATTAATCTCGGGATTTGAGGCATATCTACTTTATTCTTTCGCTGTATGAAATTAGTGTAAGTACATGAATAACTCTACCTAATTCCGACCACTGGGTATAAGTTATTACACAAATGAAAATATGCATAAAATCATTATTATTTATTTTTTTCTTACAATATACGTACAACATATAATAATTTACGTTGGTCATTAGATACATTGTATTGTATGTTGATAAGTAATTAAAATTAGGGACATATATTATTTTTAATTTAAAGTAGAAATATACACAATACGTTTAATTAACTATCTATAATGGTTGAAATTTCACTTTCTTTTTTTCATAAAACATTTTGGCACATGTCTACACTGACTTAATATATGCTATAATTAAAATTTCGGACAAATATTCAGACATTTCATAGTGGATTAACGTGCAACAAAGTTGTCGTATAATCATGAACACTTACTTCAAACTTCTACGAAATATATGTAGGTAGGTACATAATATTATACATATTTCTTAAAATTGTAATTTATTTTCGAAGTTTAATGTTTCACTCTCGTAACGTATATGAAGCGTATGTGTTACGTTTCTTGAGCTCAAATTATTACTCCCATTATTCAAGTTTTTTATCCTTTGCAGACTCAGTCTACGGCTAAAAATTCATTAACGAGTGGGTGCATCATACGTTTTATTTTTTATCAATATAGGAAATATGAAATTGTATAACTTAAAAAAAACTAAAACGTGTTTTCAGTAAACAGTTTGCTTTTTTTTACCCGCAAAAATGTTTTTTATACACATATAAATTTATATACCTACCACAGAGTTTTTTTTATATATAAGTTATCTAAGAGCCTTCCTATGAACTCAAAAGTATGTTTTAAATTAAACTGTTTTTTTTTCTTTTAACAAAGGTTTGCTAATAGAAAAATGAATTATCTATACTAATACCATAAAAAGGTAAAGTTTCTGACTTTGCTTTGGAAATGCTGAATGGATCTGGAAAATTCTTTCACGTGAATTGGATGATATAAGATATAATTTACGCGGGCGAAGTCGCGGGAATCCAGTTACAGTATATTTAAATGCAAAATTCAGAAATATCCTTTAAGTATTATGAACTTTTAACCAAACACATTTTAATCTTTCATGTTCGATCCCCGAGGAACTGTAAACATCCGGTAACGTTGGAGAGTCATTAAGATGAAAGATTTATTTGTTTACTTCAGTCTATTTGTCATTGATTTCTAATACCAATTTTAAATAGTTTTTTGTTTATTTTTCTGATGATGGCATCACAGTTTATTTATAAATGAAAAAGAAAATTTTCTACCTCTACTCTGTATTTTCATAGAAAAAAATAAATAAAAGGAAACGACTTCTTAACTCAATTTTTTTGTTTCAATATTGTCTGTAATTTTTATAAAAATAATAAAAAAAAAATACTTATATAGTATACTGGATGCTGTGCTAAAAGCAAATACCTATACCATACCTACATAATTTGATGCAACAATGAACATAAACGATTTATAACAAAAGGTAATTATAGACGCAGAAAGCTCAATACTCTTTGTTCAACCTATTCCAATAAATTATAGTTAGACTATCAGTTTGCTGGTAGTAGTTCTGTTCGAGTGATGTAATTGGTCTTAAAGCTATTACCCACATACTTTGATGACACAATATTTGATCAGAGTGAAAAGATCATACACGTATTTAAGACATAACTTTAATGTTTCAGAATCTCAGCAATTTGAGGAATTTTTGATATACCCTATGTGCACTAGACGCGTCCCAGTCACTCGGTTCTCATCCCCATGTAAGTAACACTGTTTAGTGGGTAGGCCTCTGTGGGTCCCTTGACCTAATACTCGTTAGATGGACTTTACGCTATGTTTTTAAAAGTGCAAGGAGTCTTGCGCTCGGGTGCAAGAGACAGGAGAACAACCTGAGAAATAATTCCGTAGAGATTATATGCGCTCTACGCTCGGACTCGTCGATCAATGTAACTGAGCCGACCACTGATTTAAATCATTAATAAATCCAACGACGCCAACTTAAATTGTTACTAGGAGTTTGTTCGTTCTAAAATCGAATAAACAAACTTTGCCTTAACCTTGGCCTACTTTGGATTATGTGGGTGTACTTTTTACTTACCCAAACGTCGGTAAACAAGGGTTGTCGATTGGATGAAAGCCATTTCATAAATGCCTCTATACAATAAATTGGATTGCATCGTTGATCAGTGACAGTCTAACAAATACCTATTTCAACTTCAAATATTATTTTTATAATGATATTACAATATTTTTAGGACAGGCGAACAGACGGATCACCTGATGGTAAGTGATTACCGTCGCCCATGGACACTTGCAACACCAGAGGGGCTATAAGCGCGCTGCCGGCCTTAAAATGTATGGTAGATAGCATTCTTGAATTCAAAAAGGGTAACCTTAAAACTATGATAATTAGCATACAAAGCGTTGATTGTGTGTGTTTATGTCCCATAATCATTAGAAAAATGCAATCCTATGTTATGCGAAACTGTAGAAACAACATAATAAGTAATTTGTTTAAAGACCAACAGGGTCATATTTCATTCGTAAGTATACTTTTAATTGAATTGTGTTTTAATTAGAAAAATAAATAATGTGTCATAAAAAGGAAGAGTAAATACTCCGGTTACAAACTGTGAAACAGATCGGTCAAAGGTTATGTAAGTAACAGAACGGACAATTTGACTTTAGCGCCTATGCTCTACTTTACATTTATTTGAAACTCTATATGAGACTGAAACTTCGAAACTCCGGGGTTTCAATTGAAAGAATCGAAACCTAAATCCGGAGTTAAAAAAGAACTCTGATTTTGATCGCAGCTCTCGTGTTATTATACGTATTATATCAGTATCTGGTTTATTTTATAGCTTGAAAAGCTTCGTTATTTATACACGGGCAAATATATACACTAAAACATATACAAGGAGAAATAACAATGTTAGATCTCAACATTTTTAAGTTTAACTGTTGATCGTAGTCTTTAACTCGTTTAGGTACCTAAAAGTAGGCATTAAACATGCATTATAAGACTATACGTCTGGTCTTTGACATGTTCAATTATAGTCTATGTATATTGGAGAGTAGCGTGCCATTATTTTAGTACTAACATCAGGCCCATCTTAAGCACAACAGACGCCCGGGTGCAAGTAGTGCTCTGCCCCCCATCCCCCTCCATTTCAGGGAATTTCCCGATGATCATCGGCGCGGCGCCTTCTGACTGCGCATCGCCCGGGTGCGTTGCACCCCCGGCACCATGGGTAAAGACGGGCCCGACTGACATGACCTATCTACCCTTTTTTATTGTAATATCATTCATTTTTTAAACATACTTTTGAGTTATCGAGTTTGGTCTTGTTCTTGTACGATTTCTTGTATAATACTTGTATGAGTGCGTTTACCAACGTTACTACTTCAATACTATAATTTATTTTCCTGCAGTGTATGTTATCTCTGATTTCAGCACATAATTGTCACAATCAAGTTTAAAATAGATAAAGATATGTTGTTAGTTCATTATACAGATTTTGATTGTATAAATATACTTTTTGTTTGATGTTTGTTACAAACAATTGAAAACAAATAAATTTTTCATTACAATTTCATCTACGTTATCAATTAGTTATATGTATAATTAAGTAAGTACTTTACATTTCATACACATTCAATTCTTATTGGAATAGATGCAGTTTAAATTTTGCGACTTTTACTGTAACTTTGTGACTATAACTCGGTGTATCTACCTTTATGATTATCATAATA